AATCAGAGCTTCATTCAAAAAGTGCGAATTTGCCTTTGAATTTGAAATTTGAATAAAAAATCCGAGTGTTTAATGGTTCTGCACTTTGCAGAGTGCAGTTTGTTAGTCTTTTTTAGTGGTTGCATCTAGCTGTGATGTGGCAACATTCGCCACTCAAGGGTCCCATAAAGAGGCAACTATTCAGGCGTCGCTTAATTTATGGGCTTAAACTGGATATGTTGCAATGCTTGATACTTCTGGGGAATTATGACAGCCGACAGTCGACAGTCGACAGCCTCTCCATCTGGAGTCGGGCAAGGAGTCAGCGGATCTGAAGTGGGTAGACAACAATTGCCAAATGTCTGATTGATTTGCGATGCCGAAATGTGCATTTAAAATTCACAAATATGAGTACATCACAAACTTGTGTGTGCCTTGTTTATTTCGGGCTCGAAAAGGGGACACTGGGGGATGGGCGGTATCAATAACACACTCGTTAATTCGCTTAGCCAACGCAGCAGGCGAGGGACGATGAGGAGCCGAAAATTCGGTTAACAAGATTTGCATATACGATATGTTTGATACGTTTGAAGTAGCTGCTCCCCTGGCAACACCAGCTCCTGGATTATCCTCGCTGGGCATTTAAATATCATTTGTCAGAGGTCGAGGGGAGGCCAGAGACACTGAGACAATTCCAGAGACAAATGATTGCGCGAGGCATTTCACTTGTCCGGGAAATGGAGCCATTGTCAGTGATAAATCAAAAATGCTGCACACCTCGTCGCACTAAGGTTCCTCTTGAGCACCTGCCCTCCACACCTGTACCCACAGGTGTCCAAGCGGCGTGCTTTTTTTCCCAGTGAATGCAAATGAAAATCTAGCGCCGCTCGGCTGCTCCGACACTATCGCCCCTCGACCCCAGAAGTGCCGTCGTAAATATTTCAATTTGCCTTCATTAACCGAAATGGTGCTTCCGTATGTGTTCCTGGTTTTTTCGAGGAAAACTATTTCCTCGGTGCGTTTTCACCGGAGCTTAAGCGAATTTTTTGTGGGGGCGAAGAGTGTCAAAAAGTTGACAAAACCGAATTAGTTGGTTTTAGCTTGGCAGAGTGTGATTTTAGCCAATTAAAAATTACCTCAAATGCGGGATTACTGAATCATATTTAAGTTGCGAGTTTCGGGAAAGTGAATTAAATAAAATCGTGTAGGCTGATGACTCTAATTCTGGATTATAATTGCAATAAATAAGCAAATATACAAAGCAGAATATTCTACATATATTAAATTGAGTTTTAAATATTTTAATTCCTTTTAACAAAATCAAAGATTTTCAAATATCATAACTAAGCCAAATATGAATTAATTTCAATTCGGAAAACTGTCCCATGTTAGTTTTTATTGGGTTTATAAATCTGCATACTCAATTTATAATGTTAAGAAGTTACACTTTTGGTCAATTTTTGAAAATTTTAACGATGTAACCACTTATCTTTTTTACATTTTAAATTTCGAAAATGTATTTTTTACCCGGAGATGGCAATATCGACTGGTCAATAGTATATATGATTTATAGGGCTGACTCCTTCACAAGCTAGCAACATACAGTTTTTTAAGAATATCATGAAATATAATAAAACCTTCTCCGTTAATAAATTGTAACAAACTTTTAGACACCATTAAATCATATTATTTGAATTTGTATGCAACCATCTCTTGACATAAAATAAACATATTAACTTACTATATTTAACAAATATTTGCATAGTGAGGAATAGGTTTTTAGTAACTATTAATAAGGGTCAACCCTGTCATAATAAAGTTGTTCCAACCAAAACCCAAATTGCTGTCAGCTTTATATAATAAATTTTCAAACAATTTCAAAAACAATTAAAGAATCTGAAACCTGTTTAAGTGAACTTTAATTATTCAAAAGTTTAGCTTACAAAAAACACAAAGTCGAATGTAAAAACCTTTTTGTCAAATAAACGTTATACTATATCACTACATTTACTATATAAACTGTACATTTAAATTGTACAAATTCGTCTTTAAGTTGCATAATTTACACATTTTATGATAGTTCCAACTTAATATTTATATTAACTTGATGTATTCGCTTGCAATTTTTCAAATAAATCGTTTCAGAAAACTCACCTTTAGAAACTGTGGGATCTAGGATAAGGTCGAAATCGGGATAAACTGTTTTTTTTTTGGGTGCCCACTCGCACTCTAACGCACACTTGTTGCCCGGACGAATGTGAAATTGTTCTGGGCGAATGTTTGCCGAAACATCCTGTTTTATATGCTGTCCTTTTGTGGCAACAATGGCAAGAGACGCCAAACCTCTGCTGCTGCTGCTGCTGCTGCTGCTGCTGCTGCTGCTGCTGTTGCTGCTGCTGTTCTTTTCCTGCGGCTGCTGTGTGGGCGCGCGCAACAAGTGCTGCAGCAACATGTTGCTGTGCGGGGCATTGTTTGCCTTTCCTTTGGCTTTGTGTTGTTACCACTGCAGTTTTTCCGTATTTAAACTGCTAGTCACAGGGCCTTAGATTAGCAAAAACGAAACAAAAATAATACACACACAAAAAAACCTTGACACTGGTCAGTCAGTCTGCCTGGCCGCTGATAGGTTTGTTGTGGCTGCTGTCAGGGCCGCTGTCAGCGGGACAAAAGGCTGGAATTCAGCCAGGCATTCATGTTGGCTTATTAGGCGGCCAACAAAGCAACACTAGTGACGTGGCAACATTTCGTCGCCAGTTTGCTGGCCACTCGAGCACCAAATTGTATGCAAATCGCCCACAATTGTTATGTTACGCCCACTTTTAAGCCGCAGCAGGAGTAGCAAGAGGAGTAAGGATAAAAAACAAAGAGCAGGGGGCAGCCAGGCCGGGCACGTCCAATTAGCCGGCGGGAAAGTGGATCGACTACGTGTCCGTATGCGTTATAATTTGCCCTTGCCGTCGCGAGAGGCGTTTATGGCGCTTTATGGCCCTGTAACCTGTAACGGGATACATTGTGGCGCCTCTGGCGTCGCATCATCACCCATGCCCCAGTCCAGGCCCCATCCCCTCCAGCTTCTTCAGAGCCTCGCCTCTGGGGTGGGGCTGCGAAACTGTTCAAAGGCGGAAGTCTGTAATTACGGCCAAAGTTTCAAAGAGAGACGAAGACCAGTCTCGGACGGACTGAGGAGTTCCATCAATGGTAGGCAATATTACCTACCACGCATGACTGGCCAGAAATGTGTCAGTTTGCCAAGTCACTCGACTGGGCTTGTTGTCGCCAAGTTTATTGTGTCGGATGCGCTCTTAACGATCGCCCAAAATCAATACAAACACGTTCGATAATATCGTCCATCGGTTTGACTTCATTTGCATAAATATGTAGCTGCGGAAAACAGAGAAACAGCTGAGAAAGATGTGAATTGTTGAGGCCAGCTCAAGTTCAAAGCGGTTTGGGTTTGTTGACCAGGCCAAGACACACTCGAGACGTGTGCCAGTCGCCCAGTTACAAATGGTTTGCATATTTTTAAAGAGTCTGCCATTGACTGGGCCACAAAGCGTTATGATCTTGCTCCTTCTAGATTATAAATAAACCTATGATATCGTAATATTTAAACGTCTTTGTCATGCTAATTTTTGAATTTAAACCAATTTCTATACTTCATGGGAACCAAATGGGTTTAATTTTGAATGAGTAATCAAGGTTTAGTGGAGTTGTATAAGAGGATACGATATTTTTTCTATAGGTTTTCCTTCTCCTCACCATCCCAGACATGCTAAGCGCCTAGTAAACTCAATAAATCTTTGATTTTGATATAAAAAATACTCCATTGTGATGCTACATTTTGAATTTGAAAACATTGCTATACATTAATTTCAAATAAAAAGCGAAAAGCTTACCCTAGATCCAAACATCCTAGACATTTCTAGCTCCATGAGACACACCATAATCACTTTAAATGGTATTTAAAATACAAATCCCATGGATTATTTTTTGGCAAGCAGAGGGTCAGGTGAGTTGGCCAAAGGTCAGGCCAACGGCTGATGATGCTGTTACTCCTCTATTCCACCTCCACTCGTGTGAGTTCGATTAGTTCGATTAGCCTCAGCCCTGGCAGAAAATAAAGCTGGCCAATAAAGTAACTGCTACTCCGTCTGCGACTCCGACGATGTTTCGATGTCAATGCCATTGTCAAATTGTCGCTAGCTCCTCTTTCTGGCCATGCTTCGGCGCTGCGATTCCGATTCGGATTCGGATTCAAATTCATCCGCTGAGCAACAACTGTAACTAACAAGGTCCGACTGCGTCTAATTAATGGCCGGCGCGCAATTGGGATTTATGTGTGTGCCATAAAGCAGGCTTACTTTTCCACTTTTCGCCGTTACACCCACCCAGCGACCAATCTATCCGCCGATCCGGTTCGGTGGCCTTAATGGGAGGGCAGTGTTAACCCCCATTCCCCTCAGCCTGAATGATTTCCCTAATTCGGGTGCACACACTGCGTATGCGCAACGCGCAGTGATTTCAATTCAATTTATGGATTCACCTCCAGTTGCAGTTGCAGTTGCATCATGTGCCAAGTGCAACTGCTCTGAGATGATAATAAAGATGAGCAAGCAAAGAGGTTCCGTAGTAAAACAGGTGAGCAAAACTACTAAGCGGAGATCGTTAACTTAGAGTGAGAACACATCGCACAGTAGTAGTCCAACCCCTGACCGTTGTTACCTCGAAGGGGTTAAGCGGGGCCAGGTGGGTTTTCAGGGGGGAAGCCCCCTGCTCAATGCTGGCCAGGTTTGGCCCGGGTTCGTGTGTGTCACTGCTCGAGTCTCGCTCTCGCCCCGCTGCACTGGCTCAGCAGCTAGTTTCCGAGAGATTTCTCGAATCCCAGCTAGCCGACGCCGATGCGATATACATAGTTTGGCCTGAAGTCGTTTTCGTTTTATTTTCCATTAGGTTTGTTTTGAGTTTGCAAGCCTCTTTTCGTTAGTTCCGCAGCCAGGTCCGATCAGTTTGTGTTTAGCATTCGGTGAGCGCGGGTCAGCCGAAAGTATCTGCGGCTCAAAAACTATCTTGATATCCGTGCATCGATCAATCTGCCTGAGAAAGGGTCCGCCGCTGTTGCCAAGTGAAGGTGCGAAAAATAGCCAATATGTTAGGCAATTAATTAAAACAGAAGCTCGAACCGAAAAGCGTTTAGAGTGCCACTAAAGTTTGTTAACAGCTTCTCAATGAAGCGAGCCCAACATTCATCTGATTAAGACGCAGTCCAAGGCTCTTTGCCTATGTTTATGGATTTATTTTAATGAGCTTAAAATCAATGAAGCGATGAAGTCTCAAGGAAAAGTCCTTGGCTGCATCTGTATCTGTATCTGTATCTATGGATTTTGCAACAGAAATTCCTCCATGACTTCGTGACTATTTTCTCTACTTAATGCACTCTTTGATTTTATTATCGCTTTGTTGACATCTGTGCCTGCTCGAAACTGGTTAGCCTCCAGAAGAAGAAAAGCCGCTCCATGTAGCAGAAGGCATTTATATTTTTTTTTTTTTGGCAATTTCTCAATTGGGAAACTGGGAAATTCAGGCTCCACCTGGTCCCCCATTCTTCTCCAGCCAGTGCAGCTGTCGCCAGGCATGCAATCTCGGCGTCAAGTGCTATATAAATTGTGGTCGTTCCCATGACTGGCAGTTATCCGGGAATCGTTTTATCGGTGTTTGGTCGGGCCTTAAGGGGGGTTTTGATGCCAAAGCTCTGATCTCGAAATGGCAATTATTGCCGCTGTGGCAGATTGAGTGTGCTGCTGTGCTGCTGTACTGCCAAAGATAAGCGGGTCAAACGGGCTAAGCTGAGCTGTGAGGCAATCTCCTGGCCGGGTTAACACATGTCTGCCCTGTGCCGAGCCAGATTCCGAAATTTCACTTTCAAAAAACACGTTCGCTGCTGCAGTCTTTGGCATCAAATTGAATTTATGGTCTCTCAGCAATGAACTAGGCTTAATGGCTCCGATCTTGGCCGCAGGCTTTCCATTCTTGTCCCAATGCTATAGCGATTAGCGCTTTTAATTTGGGCCCAAGACATTCAGCCACTGTTTGTTGGCCATACAAATTACACAGCAAAAATATATGAGATGTTTAAAGTCAGAAAAAACAAATACAGATTAAATTTAACATATTATAAACAAGAACATTTAAATAAGAGTGTACACTACTAATTGATATGATAATTTGAAAACGTAGTTTTCTAACTTTAACTTTTATTAATTCTTTCCTGGTCTATTCTTTAGTTTGTTCTTTAAACAATAGCATTAACATTTTGTTAAGTGATTGGAATAAAATATTTCTTGTCGTTAAAACAAGAGTTAATATTGCTTTAGCTAAGAATGCATTTGCATTCCAAATTTCAACTCTTAATACATCAAAGTTCCCCTGAAATCTTTATCGCCTTCAAAGTGATAAGAATATATAAACTTTATAATAAACACTATTCATTTCCTGTAATATAATTAAATTCCGTAGAACTGGACTATAAAATTTTAAATAAAGACGACTCGTTACTCGGTAACTATTTTCCCCACAGTGTACCAATGAAATTATAGTCGCACTTTAATGTTTAGTGTTTATGGCCAGACAACAGCGATCTCCGGTTTCAGTTTCAATTGTCGCCTCATCTCATGGAGCGGCTGCCCATGATCAGCCAGAAGATTATAGGTGCCAGTCCAGCCTGTTAACCCAGGTCCAAGTCCACGCCTTCTAATAACAAGGCGTATTCGTCGGATGCAGGTCAATGTGTCAGCGGACAAACGGCTTTCAATCAAGTTTACTTAGCGGATTGGTGGAGTAGGAACTGGAAGTAGACCTGGAGCTATAACTGAAATGGAAACCGAAGGACACCAAGCCAATGGGGTGCGTTGGGCATGCTCCAGCGCTTGCGACAAGCTCATGGCGAGATATCCAAGACCTGCGGCTCGGACACTGATTTTGCAATGTTTTAATTGGTGCCGTAACATGAAATTGGTGTCGCTCCGCTTGCCCACTCGACGCGATGGTCACTGCGTTGACACTCAGAAACCCAGTCAGCCAGTTGGTTGGCCAGTAGGCCAAGCATGGCCTAATCCGATCTGCAATTGTCGCTCCGCAGGCCAACTGGTACTGGTTGCCTGGTTGCCTCATATGTGGCTCGGACAACTTTACAACCAAGATCAAATGAAATTAAAAGTGCACTTGGCGGAGACGGCGACGGTCGTTACGTGCTCGCACCATAACTGCACAAGCGAAAATTATAACAATGTCAACACTAGAAATCATTTTTTACCAACACAATTAATGCATAATCATGGTAAACTCTAAATAATTGTGGGTGTACTTCAAATATTCGAATCATTCCCTTGAAAAATCCGCTAGAGCCACAAAAACTATGCAGGTTCTAATGCTTTTGTATTAATATTAATTAAATATTTATTTATGTATCTCCAGAAGCCATCAAAGATGACTGCCAAACCAAAGTTTGTTTATGAAAAGGATGACCTGGGCACCATAGGTGAGGTGGACGACAATGAGGTGGATCGGATTGCGGAGTGCTTCAAGGGACGCAGTCTGTTCATTACCGGCGGCACTGGATTCCTGGGCAAGGTCCTGGTTGAGAAGCTGCTACGGTGAGTGGGCGGAGCTGACCTTAGCTGGGCGGGGCGCTAGCCAGCTGGTCCATGCGTGGCCTCCATTAATCCCAATTGACCGTTCGCTTATGCAATATTATTAAATCGTGCAGGTCGTGTGGCGGCCTTAAGCGCATTTATCTGCTAATTCGCCCCAAGAAGGGCAAGGATCCGCAGGAGCGCATCAAGGATATATTCCAGAATGTGGTAAGCAGGGGGGCTTTAGAAATTATGAGAATCATGAGAACTTATTGCCCGCCTTACGATATTAATGAACTTGGAACGCTCTTATGTGTGTGTGTGTAGCTTTTCGACCAGGTGAAGCAGCTGCGCGGCGAGGAGCACATCCTGCAGCAGGTGGTGGCCATAGCCGGGGACGTTCTTTCTCCGGGCCTGGGCATCTCTGAGAAGGATCTGGAGACTCTGCGCCAGGAGGTCTCCATTGTTTACCACTGCGCGGCTACAGTGCGGTAAGTTACGTGGCTTTTATGAAATATTTAATTATCTTAACTTGAATTCCTTATTTGAAATTAAAGAAAGATAAACAAAAATATTCATGCTATGAAATTTTTAGCAAATATATGTAAACAGATTACAGTTTTTAAATCTATTTTAAATCTTAAAAAATACAATAATAGTTTTTATACCCTTGCAGAGTATTATAGTTTTAGTCAGAAGCTTGTACCAATATATATACCATATAAATCATATATATTATTAATCAGCATCAACAGCTGAGCCGATCTAGCCATCTCCGGTTTAAAATAAAATTTCCAAACATTTTTTTTTTAATTTCAAAATTTTATAATGGGTTACATTGTTAAAATTATCAACAATTGGAAAAAATTTTAATTATTTTTAAATGAAAATTGCATATGCACACTTTTTGACCTAATAAAAACTAGCATTGGAAAGTTTTCCGAATTAAAATTAATGCATTTTTGGCTAAGTTTAGCTTTTTTAAAACTTTGATTTGTCGAAAAAAAATTGTCATATAAAAATATTGATAAATCTCTTTTCAAAGAAGCTTAGCTTTGATCGATATTCGGTTCAATTCTATAATTCAATTGTAAATTACAAGAGTATATATATTCAATTAATTTCCTTTCTTATTCAAATTAAAAATATATTAAGAAATCCATAACCATAACTCCCTAACTACCTCCAGCTTCGACGAACCTCTTCGCAACGCCGTGTTCATGAACACTCGTGGCACCAAGTACATGTTGGATCTGGCCCAGACTCTAAAGCATCTGGACTTCTTCGCCTATTGCTCCACAGCCTATTGCCATTTGCACGTAAAGACTCTGTACGAGAAGCCTTACGATCCCCCAGCAAATCCGCACAAGGTGATGCAGGCCTGCGAGTGGCTGACAGACGACGAAGTGGCCACCATTGAGCGCAAGGTGCTTGGTGACATACCAAACACGTACGCCTACACAAAGTCGTTGGCGGAGGCACTGGTGGTGGAGAAGTTCGACCAATTGCCGGCCGTGATTCTCCGGCCCTCGATCGTGATCCCCATCTGGAAGGAGCCCATTCCCGGCTGGACGGACAACATCAACGGACCCACTGGATTGCTAATTGGAGCCGGAAAGGGTGTCATCCGCACCATGTACTGCAACTCCTCGGGCTACGGTGACTTCCTGCCCGTAGACGTGGCGGTGAACGGCATCCTGGTGGCCAGCTGGCGTAATATCACGGCTGGCACCGATACCACCAATCGGGTGGCCCACATGACCTCCTCCAACGACATCAAGGTGTCCTGGGCGGAAATCATTGAGCTGGGACGCTGGGTGATCGAGAACAAGGTGCCGCTGAACGGCGTGGCCTGGTATCCAGGAGGCTCCATGAAGTCCAACTACTGGGTGCACTGCGTCTGCATGGTACTGTTTCAGTGGATGCCAGCCCTCTTTGTGGATGCCCTGCTCTGGCTGCTTCGCTATCCGCCCGTACTGTGCCGGGTCCAGAACCGGATTTTCAAGGGATTTGAGGTGTTTGAATATTATGCGAACAACGTGTGGAATTTTGACAACACGGAGGCGGTGAAGCTGAGAAAACTAATGAACAATAAAGAGCGGCGAACCTACGTGATAGAGAAGATCGAACTCGACTTGATCGACTATTTCACCAACTGTGTCCTCTGCGCCCGTCGTCTAATCCTAAAGGAATCGGACGAGTCCATTCCGGCAGCCAGGCGGCACATGAAGGTGTAAGTATAGATATATCTTCCAAAGCAACCTCAGTACTGATTCCGATCTCTATCTATTCCAGCATGTGGGTTGTAGACAAGGTGTACAAGGGAATTTGGATCTTCGGCATCCTCTATATGCTCTACAGGTGCTTCTTCGCGGGCTAGGATCCGCCTTCGGATGCATTGCTAGCTTAATTAAGTGCTTGACACCAAAAGATGCGCCCTGCCCCAAGCCGTAGCTTATAGTTGTTATTTAGCGCTAAGTCTTCTAGTTTTTAGTTGGTGCTGTTCATTAGAAACTTAATTCATTTGTTTTGAAAGGCAGCGAATAAAACATTGGTTTATGTATCGGAATGAGTTATATATGTCATGGTTATTTTCATATATATATTTTCAAAGAATTCCAAAGAAATACATTTTTCCCATTGGTCAAAAGAATTTTGAATTAAAATTTTTAAATGGGGCGCACACTAGTACATTATCGATACACTTAAATAATCCCCTCTGATCAGCCAAACTATCATCATAACAGGGAGAGTTAAAAATCGTGGTTGAAAAAAGTATATATAGAATGGATAATACTTTAAAAATTAAATATTTTATTATTGTATTTTGTAATACAAATTTTTCCACTACCGATTAAAGAAACAATCGATACGTGCCGGCTAGAGCCAGACCATCGCTATCGATAGTGCCATCGATGGCTGGCCAGCTCTAGAATCACTTTGTTTTGCAAAATTTCTACTTTTGGTACCGTTTATACATGGTTTCTACCCCATTCCTACATACCGATTGATAATTTTACCCCATTCCTACATTTAACATTTCCCATTCTACATCGTTGTTCCGTGAGTGATTGTTTTTGTTTTGCAAAATTTAAGCTGGAGACTTGATTGTGGTGCGAGTTCGTGGAGCAGCATTGCGTCATCACCTATTCCTGGACTAGGATTGCTCCTGGAACGCGGCACGCACACGCCAACGGCACGGAACGCTCCCGGCGACATAAACGAGGTCGGTGGAGGAACGGAGGAGGAGACCGTGGCGGAGTCGCGGGACTTGGAGGACATGGCCAGCACCACTGGCAGTGCGCCCAGCCTGGGAGCTGGCAGCGCGAGCGGAGGTGCTACCGGGCTCAGTGCCAGTCCCGGCACGTTGGAGGGCACGCTGAGCAAGTGGACCAACGTGATGAAGGGCTGGCAGTACCGATTCTTTGTGCTGGACGAGAACGCCGGCCTGCTCTCCTACTACACGGTAAGTGGGTGCAGTGCCTCCATTACTAACCCTTCCTTATCGCACCCAGCGACACCCTTATCTTATCTGCGCCAGCTAGATATGTTTGGATACGGATACACACAAGCACACACACAGTTGTTGGTGGCTCGTTGGCCTTTATTTAAAGATTGTACCCAATTGAGGGCTTAGTTGGGCGTCGTTAGACTCTTGTGGCGCTTATTTTTCTGGTAGGAGGTCTGGTAGAAGTCATAGAAGCCGTAGAACATGGCCGCGATGACACCGGTGTAGTAGCACAGCGCAAAGGCCGGAATGCCGCATAGTACCAGCTGGAACACCACCTGAGTGAGGATAAAGGCGAACTGCGTCATTTGCATCACCGTGATGCACTTTTTAATGGGCCTCAGTGATCGCACAAAGTCCTTGTCGGCCACCGCCGCCACAAAGTAATATGTGTACATGCAGATGTGGACAATCGAGTTAAGGAAGACGCAGAAGTAGGCAGCTGTGCCTGCGTGTGGATAAAATTAGTACACAGATCATGCCTATCTGGATCCCCTTACCGTTTTCATTGAAGTGCAACAGCACATACACCAGTGTCACCGTGGTGATGTGATGGAAGATGTGCAGCTTTGACACCTGGTTCTGCTTCCTGCGTAGCACAAATATCACGGTTTCTATTAGCTCGGAGAGCTTCAGCCAGAAGAGAAAGTGGGCCAGCTCGAAGTGACGGCGCACGTGTTCCTGACTCTTCCCGAAATCCCTACACTCCCAGAAGTACTGGACTGCATTATCCGTAATGAAGAACACCTAGCATTCGAGGAGAGGGACGTTCCTTAGCAATTAGATTATCCTGTTTAGTCTCAATTTACCAACCTCTTTGAGGACATATAGACAGGACACCACCTGAATCAGATTGTGCGCCATTATCAGTTTCTTGAGTTTATAAGCCTTCCGAAATTCCATAAACCTTTACGTGAGAAAAAGATTTTAGTCACCGTAAAGCAAGGCTTCAGAATTGCTAATGCCATTCCAATTAGTAAACCCCCAAGCAATCGAAGTTCAGTATACTTACTGTGGACCCACAACGGTGACAAAGTACAGATAGACTCCCAGAACGGCAAGCATGAACCAGGGATCGGACATCACGGCGGGATGCACCACCGCAGGCACTCGACTAGCACCTGCAATTCTACTTGACACATTGCCCCAAAACTGATCAATAGAAGCTCACTTGTTGCCGCCTCCATGTTGCTCCTTTTAAAGGGTTTCTTCGTTGCCGTTGGGCCCTAGGCTCCAGAACTCTGTTCGTTGTGTCGACCCGCAGCGCTGACGCACTTTTAAATGCGAGCCGTGCCGCGACCATTGCTTTTATTCCTTATCCACTGCCTATTTGAATTCTTAAATTAAACCGTTGAGCCGACACTTAATAATTCCACTCAATTTCAATCGCTGTTTTATTCCAGTCGAAGGAGAAGATGATGAAGGGCGTGAGACGTGGCTGTGTGCGCTTGAAGGATGCCCTGATCGGGATAGATGACCAGGAGGATAACACGTTCACCATCACCGTGGATCACAAGACCTTCCACTTTCAGGTGAGGAAGTAGCAGCTGGCATTTGAGAAAAAAATTAAATTCGACGAAATTCAAACTCAATTTTACCTACAAGAAATCAAATATTTATGTATACTGAAATGCGCACGAATTCTAAATAATGACCCTATAACGTTAAATAAATTAAATAGTGGCACGATTTAGAGGCTTTGATTTTAAAGCAATAATTTATTCAGATCAAAAATGTAAATTTCAATGAGCTTTTGATTGTTTCCTTTGATTGAAGAGTATTCAACTTCTATAACTTAATCTATTTCCAAGTGATATACATATGTTTATATCAAATAAAATTAAATTTCAATGGTTAATTTACTTTAGTTAGTTTACGTGAGCGTCAAATGAATACACCCATTCAGTGTCCGCATGAAAACTAAAGTATGATGTGTCCGGACAGGGTATCCGGCCAGCGGCCTAGAAACCTGTGTCTGGCCCTCACGTTCCCTCCTTTTGTTTGACTTTGCCTTGTTGCCTTGATGTAACGATAAAACTTTTTTCCCAATACCAACTCACCAGAAACTTGCCAACTTTCTAAACCTTTGCAGGCGCGACACAACGAGGAGCGAGAGCAGTGGGTTCGCCGACTGGAGGACACCATTCGTCGCCACGCGAATCGCTTGCGTCTGTGGGACATTGCGGCCGGAACCGGAGTCGCAGGAGGAAGCGGAGTTGGGGGCAGGCGCCCCAACCACCTGGAGCTGCTGGCACGCCGCGTCTCAGAGGCGGACGCCTACCTCCAACTGATGATTGAGCAGACGGATGTGAGTGTGCGACCCGTTGTGTTATGCAGGCATATTATGCAATTTACCGTCACATTTTATTCTTTCTCCTTTTTATTTTCAGTTGCTGGACAAACGAATCGCGGAGCTGACCGATCCGGCGGAGCAGGCCAAGTGCAAGGCGCTGCAGGACAACGCGAGTGTGAGTAGGGGGAATGGAATGGAAATAGGGACATTAGTTCGATGCCTTTGGCTCCGTGAGTGAAATCTCAAGGTGGAGCTCGTCGCGGAATTGATTTGAGAGCCGCTCCATTTCGGTGTACGTCAGCCGCCAGTAGTTGGAGTCTATGGTCATAAAGCCGGTTGTATTTGGCAGTGATTAACCTGCCGAACACTTATTATAGTAGCGATGCGGACAGCGGGGTCTCTGCCGCACAGGCTAAGCGTGGCGTTCAGTCGATGTAGGTTGCTGGGCGTCACCAGCCAAATGACGAAAACTGTATCCCTCTGGTTATCCAACCACCGTCGGTCACCTCGCTCGAATTTCTTGCTCCTCAAAGCTGTCTGGCAGATGAGAACCACAACCGGGACGTGGGTCGCCAGATGCGAGTGCTGCTCGGGCAGAAAGGCGTTGTAGAACTTCCGCCGGCGCTGGGTTCTTGCAAACTGATGCTCCAGCCTGCCACCGTAGGCAAGCAGACCCAGCACCTTGTTGACCTGAAAGGCGCAACTCTGCGGCTGGAAGGAAAGCACCGCCTGCTCACCCTCCAGCACCGACAGGCAGTAGGAGTCCGCCTGGTTGTGGTCGCATAGGTAGTGAAGCAGCAGCAGCTGATTATCGACGCGCCGCTGGCAGTCATGGTAAACACACTGGCTGGCCCCGCTGCCAACTACCAGTGGGGCCGACTTCATGTCTTTGTCTTCTGTTTCATAAGAATCAGATTCTTCCTTAAAAGGAGCCGGCTCAATGGCGTTCAGATCCATTTGCTGACGCTCTTGCCTCTTATGTAGCTCCTGCAACCCCACCCGTAAGTCCTTCATGTTTGTGTTGAGCTCATCGAAGCTAGCATTCCAACTCAAGTTGTTCAGCTGATGCTCAAACTCCTGCTGCTCCTGCCGGCGGTTCCTCTTGTAAGCCTCGAACTGGACGATTACATCGTCACGCTGTTCAAGCCAGGGTCGAGAAGCGCCATTGCGCTACACCCTTTCTTTGTGTTCTCCATTCCAAACACCACAAGGACAAAAACAATCTATGAGCGAGAAATTTAGGGAGTCTAACGGCGAGACATTGAATCTGTTGTTCTCCCGAACGGAGTTTTTGCCGGCCGACTCGAATTTCTAGGCCCACTGGGTCCCAGCCATATCGATTTCCAATGCAAGTTCAGGGTTAGTCGGTGTCGGCGGCCAGATGCAAGCGCCTGAGAGAATGTCACTCGTCCAGCAGCTGACTGGAAAACCGACAGCGGCAGCTGCTCACTTCCTCAGGCAACTTCGGCGAGGTCATGTCGAAGGTTTCGGTTTTTATTTCGACCTTTGCCGCTCGGTCAAATCGCTAATACCTGTTCCCATTCCAGGCCATGTTAGATCACATCAAGCACTCGATTGTCAGCCTGCAGATTGCCAAGAACATGGCCCATCCCATCAATGGAATCTACAACGGCCCGCCAGCCACTGCCTCGACCAGCTCCTCGGCCAGTGGAGCTGCCACCACGGGCAGCAACAATAACCTCCAATCGGGTGGACTAAAGGTGCCCCTGGAGGGCCATGTGACTGTCATTGGCAAAGGCGAGACCGGCGACGATGAGGAGGATTCGGCCACTGAAAATGGTGAGTGCTGTCGTGCCCCGTTTATCTCCGATAGGTAACCAGTTCAGGGTTAAGAAGCTAATCGAATTTATACCTCTAATCTTGGCAGCCACCACCGCTCCGTTGGGCCTTGTTGTGCCGGAGACCTCCTACTCGAGCAGCGAGGGGGAGGAGGACTTCTACGATGCCTACGACGATCCCTTCACCAGCCTTGGCAGCTCCCCGATTGGCTGGTGAGTGCACCACTTAAAACATGTACATCTAAGTAGCTGAAACCAAGGCAGGCCACTTGACCAAGTGTGCCGACTGGCCATCAATCACAGATGCGATGCGACAGCCGGCAAGCGTGCTGGCCGTACCATATGAGCCGTGTGCTAAAATTACGCATTCATTGCCCCACAGTCCCCATCGCCGTTGCTCCTTAGCCTCATCCCGCTGCGGTGCCTGAGAGGCGCATGCGCCTGGGCAGCGCATGCAAAATGCAGTGCCCGAAGTTCGTCGCAGTCGCAGTTTTCGGGGAGACAGCCAGTAATTTCGGCCAAGTCGCGTGTAAATAATAAATACAAGACCTCCTCCACCTGCCCCAACTCCCGTCGGAGCGCCTGCTGGCACAGCTGACACGGCGGCAAGTTCGCGTTGCCATAGTCGTCGGCTCTCCGCTTCGTCATCCATCGTCCTAGTCGTAGTTGAAGTCGCCATTGTGTGTGCCTGTCAGTTGTAGTTTCGTTCGTCATCGACTCACAGTGTCAGAACGCTCGTTAGGGTGCATGGTGCCCCCAGCCCACTCCGCATTTGTCATTTTCAGTAGTTTTACTTGTTTTTCGAAGCGGCTTTCGATTTCTCAGTGCTTCCGCTGCTGAAGTTATGCAGCTGCCTGGTGAGGAGCTGCTGTAAAGCTTGCATCCGGCCAGCATCCTAAAGCCATGTTCAAGAAGTGGGTGCGACGTGTGAGCCTGAGGTGAGGAAGTGTGCATATGTATGTGTAATATGTGCCAGGTCGCCGTAAGTGTTTTCCTTCATAAATTGTAAATGAAGCAAGCAACAGTGAGCAAAACTCACAGATGGATGAAGGAGAGGAGGCTGTGGAGGCTGCGGAGGCTGTTTGTTAGTCCCCAGTGACGCACACGCACAAGCAAAGGCAGCCAGGCTGACATCACGCTGGAGGATTTATGTTGAGACATTACTTATGCCCAAACACCGAACGAATCCTAATCCTAATCAACAAGTCTTGATTTCCCTTCCTTCGCAGCACAACGCGCGGCTTTTCGGAAACCACATCGCCCACCCACGAAAAGGGACCGGATGGCTTCGCCAATGCCGAGGCCTTGCCTCCGGCCGATTCGGTTGCCCCCCAGTCGCTGCCCGAGATCGAGGAGAGTCTGGCCGATGCGGATATTAGCATTAAGACGGCCAGAACGGCAGCGAGTTCCCGAAGTGCCAGCTACGACAATGGAATCGACTACGACGCCCTTTACGAGGAAGAGGAGGACACAGACCTCAGCATGGAGGCCCACGGCTCGATGATCACGCACTTGCTGTCGCAGGTGAAGATTGGTATGGATCTAACCAAGGTGGTGCTGCCCACCTTCATACTGGAGCGCCGCTCACTGCTGGAGATGTACGCCGACTACTTTGCCCATCCGGACCTGTTTGTCAAGTGAGTATCGATCGAGTGGGCGCGAGAATCTGATTCATATCAGCTCTTTCCCTTAATCCTCAGAATCTCGGAGCTGGACGATCCACGAGATAGAATTGTTCAGGTTTGCCGTTGGTATATGAGTGCCTACCATGCGGGTCGCAAGAGCGCAGTGGCCAAGAAGCCCTACAATCCCATCCTGGGTGAAGTCTTTCAGTGCCACTGGGACCTTCCGGGTGAGTATTAGACAATGGTGGTGACAAAGGAGAGAGTGGATTATTATATTTGTAATTCCAGGCGAGACCCACGATGCCCAGGAGGTGCGTGATGGCCCCGTGCCTTGGTGCCGACGGGATCAACTTACCTTCTTAGCGGAGCAAGTGTCGCACCATCCACCAAGTAATGAAAATCTAAGCTATCAATGCGACAATTTGTGATCTCCTTTGACCTGTTTTAGTATCTGCCTTCTACGCGGAGCATTACAACAAGAAGATCACGTTCGCCGCCCACGTCTGGACCAAATCCAAATTCTTGGGACTCTCGATTGGCGTACACAACATCGGTGAGGGTGTCGTCACTCTGGTGGACCGCAGCGAAGAATATATTGTAACATTTCCCAATGGTTATGGCAGGTGAGGAAGATAAACCTATCCGATATCTGAGTTTTTAATCTCTAAAGTTCATCTCTGGTGATGTGGCAGGTCCATTTTAACCGTGCCTTGGATTGAGCTGGGCGGCTCGGTGGAGATCAAGTGCCCGCAGACGGGCTACTATGCCAACGTCGAGTTCCTCACGAAGCCTTTCTATGGCGGCAAGCGCAACAAGGTCTCGGCCGAGGTGACTAACTATTCCTATGTCTTAACTACGGGCTACTCTAACTCTGGTATATCTGTAGGTCTATGCGCCCAGCGAGAAGAAGCCTTTCGTCTCGATTGCCGGCGAGTGGAGTGGCCTAATGGAGGCCAAGTGGCACGACAAGAATGTGAGTAACCCTATTTACATTTTCTGTATTGTAGGTAGTTAATGTTACCGTAAATGTTGAACCTTTTTGTGTACTTCTTCCTCCTTCGCCTACCTCTGCGCCCGAACGCTGCCCACGAAAACAACTCCACGAGTTGGCAGCCACATCCTCTATAACCACAACTACACAACATCCCACTACCTCAGCCTCTACTTACTATCCACGATTCTTCTGCTTTTCTCTTAAATAGTTTTGGGAGCATTTCCTCTGTGTGTTTACTTTGTTTGTCTAGAAAATCGAACCTAACCCATTTGCCTGTCTGTCCAGTAAATTGATTGTTGCCATCTATGATATATAATATATGATTGATTGTTGTGCGTTCTCTGAATTAGACCCCAAGCCGAAACCAAATCATGAATGAATCTCTTGAATTTTCTAGAAAACCGAAGTATTCGTCGACGTAAATCGCATACCCATATTTAAGAAACAAGTTCGACCAATCGTTGAGCAGGATGAGTACGAATCGCGACGAGTTTGGAAGGAAGTTACAGCGGGACTCAAGTAAACAGCTCACCGAACACTTATCTCTTCTGACCCCTTTGATCCTGAGATGCGGAATAATCTGATCTTTCTTTGTTCGTTGCTCTCCGCAGGTTCAACGACATCGAGCGCGCCACCAATGCCAAATTTGTGGTGGAGCAACACCAGCGTGACCAGGCGAAGGTGCGCAAGGAATACGACTTGGCCTGGGAGCACAAGGTAATCCGCATCCCTTATTGCTTGTGTAGCTAGTACAACCGATTTCCCTGCAGCACTTCAAACCCGTGGGCGACAACTGGATATACGCCAAGCCGCTAAGCCAGCGCATGTATCTGCAGGAGAAGGAGGCCAAGAGATAATGCCAGCAACTGCGTCTATATATATATATGGATCATATCAAGAACGAGCCTCAACTGTATGTTTATTAATTCCACAAGTGCGCAAACCTCTCAACACTGACGATACAACGTAACGAGTGCAGGAAACGAAGAGCAAGAAAAGACGTCAGCGTCCCGTTTATTAATTGTAAATAATATACACACGAATATCTAGGAGGAAGGCTCTGCTCATAAGGTTGCAATGCGGGTCGAGCAAAGAACACTCACAGTTTCTACACACAATTAACGATGATTATTATTATTTACTTTTAAGTACTAGTGTGTTTCAAAGGCAATCGCAGTAAGCTGCAAAACAACACAGAAGAACACCTATTCAATATACCTTTTACATAACTAACTTAACATCTACTAAACTAGCAGCAACAAAGAGAAGAAGCGGCGGAAGCCTGCTCACACACATAATGGGATATATCAAAAGTTGTAGATTACGAAGTGAATAGTGATTTAAGGATAGAAACTCTATTTTTGAAATAAAAGACTCTGCTATAGACGAAATACAATACCGACACGCGAGTATCTGACGGATGGAAAGGATACTGCCTTTAACGCTTGTTCCCAACACCCCAAGACACAACACAGGGACACGGACATACGGTGCACAATGATTTATCTGATTTCATAGCTCTTAAATCAAATACACTTACACTTTTAGTATTATGTTTCGAATTCCACAAATGTCACAAACGATAATAAAGCTTTACTAACAATCCGCTACGAGTCCCACAAGAACACACACTATACCTATACTATATACTGTAATAAAAGGATTAAAACAAACCAGCCCAACTCTTTAAGCCAATCAAATACGTTGTAGCCTTTACATTTAATTTACAATCTACAAGCGAATACAGACACAACACCCACTGCAAAGCTACCAAATACTCTCACGCAAAGTTAACGCAAATGAAACGAAAAAAGTAAATACGCTTCGATATTTATTTAAAGTAAATATTTAACGAACTAGATAACCTGTAGACTACACAAAACTAGAATCCCCGGAGACATGGGTGCCTGTAGCCACCAACCGAACTTGTATATATTTTTTCGAATTCCTTTTTAACCAACGTGTTAAACGAGAGATAGAGCAAAATACCCTAACAATTGATTGTAATGAAGCCCAGATACGATTATTACAAAAATAAAGCGATTTGTTCTTACAGCAAATTAAATGTTTTATTAGTTAAATACTAGTTAAACCAAAGCACTTCAAACTTCTTCTTTAAATTACAATTTCAAATTCCAACACGTTAATCGCAATCGACTCATCGTAAATCGATAACTTCCACCCTCTTAATCGACAACTAACAAATCCCGCACAAAATCCCTCTTTTTAAACGCATTGACACGGTCTGGTCACTCCAATTGACGTGGCCTCAAAATTTTTTGTTCTCTGAAAATGCAAAAAAGTTTGCATTTCTTAATAATATAATTAACAAAACATAAAACCCGCCCCAGAACCGCCCCCGACACCAGGCAGTGTCCGCAGTCATCCGGAGTACGCGAAGAGCGCCAGAAACGAGAGTTAGGGCGACAAGTTCGGAGCGGAGAGAAAAGTTTGCGTGAAAAGTGCAGTGAAAATCGTGTAATTCCCGTTTGCGGAGCGAGTTACCTGCCAGGGATTGAAGGCCATTCCCAGGAAAAGTGTCCATCCAGCAGATTCCGCAGCTCGCGCGTGTGTTTCCACGAAGGGAAAAGCGGAAAAGCCCGCAGTCAGCGTGCGCCCGCAGCAAAATCGCCAATCAAGGGCGGAAGAAGAAGAGCAACTACAAAGTGCAAGTGCTGGTGGACGGTCAAGAGCTACAGTGTACATGCCACTGGAAACTGCTCCGAAAGGTGATAAGTGATTATTTGATACGGAGTCTACGCTCGATACGCCTTAATAGTAACTAATTGGCATCAGTGGGGCGAACGACAGGAGCCGTGGTAGAGGGTTGGGTCGTCTGACTCCCGACAACGTCATCAAAAATTCGCTTTGTTATCTGGTGGGGGGTCTGAGTCAGAGGCAGAGGAGACATCAGTTCCTTCCTGCTTCCGCAGCCAACTGGGTCAAAGGCACCCCCGCCCACTTGGCCTTTGGCTCACCTATTAGCGATCGCTTCTGCTGACGAGGTCAAGCACATCGTGCGCGCACACACACAACGCATTCTGTGCTCTTCGGAGCTCTTGAAGCTTAGCCCAGCAATTGGCTGCTGTCGAAGCTGTTTAAACAACCGAATGTGATACAATTCCAGCTTATTTCCGACTTACTGTTGACGTAGACAACACACACTTCTGTAAACATTTGCTCGACATATTTGCATATGTACAATGGTGACGGCGGCGATAGCTTCCACATTCCGCTGTGCTCTGGTATCACTCGATACGGGTGCAATTACCTGCATCCGAGACTGATCTGGGGCAGGGTTATCAGCTGCACGTTCGGCTCAGCACCTTCCACGGGGCGTCGCACATGTAACTCGTATTTCGGCATTGAACGATAAGATAAAACTTTAATTTCTAGTGTCAGCAGCAACCTTCGGGTGATAAGATACCGTCTAACCTAAACCTTACTTCCATCTTTCCAGAACGCGAACATATGAATTAGCAGCATGTCGGCATACAACCCAAACTTCGTGCCTCCCGCCCATGCGCCGGTCCCTCTGAACGGCAATAATTTGGTAAACGGTCTGCCAGGAGCAGGCCAGCAGCAGCACCAGCACCAGCAACTACCTCCGCCAGGGGCTCAGCAATATCTAGCGCAGAAGCTCCCAATGCAGTTACAGCAGGCGCCTCCGGCAGCAGGAGCTTATCCAGGAGCAGCAGGTAACATTCCGAACAAGTTCTTGCCGCCCACGTCCGCAGCAGTTGGGGGTGCTCCGCCTCTTCAATTGCCTCCCAGTACGGTGCCGCCAAGCACGTTGCCACCGCATCTGCGTCCGCCGCCGCCCACCAACGCCAACGGACCCATCACCAATGGCAGCAATGGAGCGTCTAGTGCCAACTCCTCGCGCACCGCGTCGCCACGGCCAATGGGTGCAGCGCAACAACAACTACCATATGGCCAAGGATCTGCAGCTGCAGCGTTAGGGAACCCACCACCCGCATCAGGCCTGCGTTCGTCTCCCCTACCGGCCACCCAACAACAACAACAACAACCAGCTGTGGCCAATCTGACGAGCAGTATGCAGAATCTGAACTTGATCCCGAACCGTACTAATGGAGGTGCCAGCGTCGCGTCGGGACCGCCTCCTCAGCAACAGTATTCCTTGGCGCATAAGGATTACATGGGCGTGGCTACGGGACAGGGGCGTCCGCCTCAGTTCATCGATGATAAAGGTGTGGCCCTGGAATAGTCCCGAACGTCATGCCGTCGCCTTTCAGTGGACAAAAGCCACCCAATTTGGGTCCACACCCGTCGAAGATGTTCGGAACTGCAGCGGCGCCTGGCAGACCCGCACCACCTCTAGCTAGCCAGAGAATTCCCTATGGAGTACCGCATCCGCCTAATACTGAGCAGCAAAATCAGCAGAACAACAATCTGCAAAGAGCGGCGCCGCTTCCGTAACCACCTGGCCAGAAGAGTTTCAGACCAAGTGTCCTATGCCACAGCAGGTCCAGCAGCCAAGCCCCTACGCTCAGGCGTATCCTCCCCCTCCGCAGCAACAGCCAATGCAGCAGCCACCGCCTCCTGCAGTGCAACCTCCGCCGCCGGGAATGTTCGGAACGCAACCACGGGAGCACCACTCCAGTATCAAGCCCAAGCGCCGCCCCAGTCCTATGGACAACAACAACAACAACAGCCACAGCTTGCAGGACCAGCTACTTTTGGCTCTCCCGCTCCGCTGAACGTGGCCCAGCAGGGATTCAGCCGGCTGTGGGGACAGGACACCATCGACCTGATGCAAAACCGGCATATTTTGTCGCCGGCTACGCTACCGCCGCCAAAGGTTGTGCTACACAACCAGTTCCATGAGTCATCAACTGCAGCCCGACATTATGCGCTGCACGCTCACCAAGATCCCCGAGAGCAACTCGCTGCTGCAGAAGTCGCGACTGCCACTGGGCATTGTGATTCATCCCTTCCGCGATGTGAATGTAAGTCCAGGATGCAGAATATTCATCTGAATATTCCACTAACCACTCGATCGATCTCTCACAGAGCCTGCCCGTGATTCAGTGCATCAACATTGTGCGATGCCGCCTGTGCCGCACCTACATCAATCCCTTTGTTTATTTTGTGGACAGCAAAATGTGGAAGTGCAATTTGTGCTATCGCGTAAACGAATGTAAGTTGCTGTAGTTGAACCCATAAGTCGTCAAATTTATGTATAATTCCGTTTCCTTATAGTGCCGGATGATTTCCAATTCGATCCGGCCACGAAAACGTACGGTGACGTGACCCGTCGGCCCGAGGTGCGCTCCAGCACCATCGAGTTTATTGCCCCCTCGGAGTACATGCTGCGTCCGCCGCAGCCAGCCATGTACCTGTTCCTCTTCGACGTCTCGATCATTGCGCAGCAGAGCGGCTATCTGAGGCAGCTTGTGCGGTGCTTAACCGTCACCTGGACGAATGCCTGGTGACGCCCGCACCCAGGTGGGCTTCATCTGCTTCGACAGCTTCGTGCACTTCTACAGCATGGCCGAGGGCCTTAACCAGCCACACGAAATGACACTTCTGGATATCGAGGACCCATTCCTGCCGCGTCCCGACAGTCTGCTGGTGAACCTGAAGGAGTGCAAGGAGCTGGTGCGAGACCTGCTCAAGCAGTTGCCCAAGCGCTTTGCCCACACCCACGATCCGGGCTCTGCCTTGGAGCTGCTCTGCAGGTCGCCTTCAAGCTAATGGTAAGTCACTAGCATAAGGAAGTATGTTAAAGATAATCTAAATTGAGAACTTTAATTTATTCAGCAAGCATCTGGCGGTCGCATCACCGTCTTTCAATCGTGCCTTCCCAACAAGGGCCCCGGCGCCCTGGAGCCGCGCGAGGATCCTAACAACCGTTCGGCCAAGGATGTGGCCCACCTGAATCCGGCCACCGATTTTATAAACGCTTCGCTCTAGAGTGCTCTGGCTACCAGATAGCCTGCGACCTCTTCCTGATGAACCAGCAGTACAGCGACATGGCCACTATCTGTAAGTAACCAGGAAAACGCTCAAAGCCTTCATCTTACCCATATCATGTCTCTTTACAGCTGGCATCAGTAAGCACAGCGGCGGTTGCGTGCACCACTTCCCGCTTTACCAGAAGACCAAGCCGCACATGGTGGACTCGTTCCGGACGTGCTTCAAGCGTTACCTGACCCGCAAGATCGGTTTCGAAGCGGTAATGCGGATCCGATGCACGCGCGGCCTGCAGGTGCACACATTCCACGGCAACTTCTTTGTGCGCTCCACGGACCTGCTTTCGCTGCCGAACGTGAATCCAGATGCCGGCTATGGCATGCAGATCTCCTACGACGAGAGCCTCACGGACGTGAAGACGATCTGCTTCCAAGCGGCGCTACTGTACACCAACAGCGAGGGAGAGCGCAGGATTAGGGTGCACACAGTGTGCCTGCCGGTCACGGCATCTCTGCCAGAGGTTATGCACTCGGCGGATACGGAGGCCATTGTAGGCTTGCTCTCGAAAATGGCTGTGGACCGTTCGGTGGCGTCCAACTTGTCGGATGCCCGTGACGCCTTCATCAACGCCACGATCGACGTGTTCAATTCATTCAAGATTGCACAAAATCTGCCCTCCGGCCAGTCTGGTCAGCTGATAGCGCCGCGCAGCCTGGCATTGCTGCCCCTCTATATTCTCGGGCTGCTTAAGCATGTAAGTTTCAAGAATATTCGAATTTCGTAGGTGATCTTAATTAAACAATCTTTCCTTTAGCCCGCATTCCGCGTGGGCACCAGTACGCGGTTGGATGATCGGGTCTTCGCCATGGACTGCATGAAGACGCTACCACTAGACCAGCTGATGAAATACGTTTACCCGGAGCTGTACAAGATCGATGCTTTGATCTACCACGCCCGCAACTCGAACTCTAGTCCACCGCAAGACGACGAGAGGAGGAGGACGAACCGCTACCGGAACTGCCGCGCCTGCAGTTATCAGCGGAGCAGTAAGTTCTGGTCACCCAGAAGGCCCATTCGGATAACTAAAAGATTTCATTTACAGCTTGGACTCCCGATCGATATTCCTGATGGACTGCGGCACGCTGATAATGCTCTATGTCGGACTTAATGTGCCGTCAGACGTCTTGGAGACGGTGCTGGGTAAGGCGGCAAAATCTCTGGTCGAGCTAGGTCACCACTTAAATTTTGATCCATTTCAGGCATCAGCTCCACCGCAGAGCTGGGCGACTATGTTTACGGATTGCCAAATGTGGTGAGCAACGAGAACGATGTGCTGAAGCGCTTTATTTTGCGACTCAACTACGACAAGCCCTACTCGGCCCTGGTGCAGATAATTAGGTGAGTTGCAAAGCGTGTTTAAATGGGGGTCAACGTATACCAATTTCCCCTCTCTGAATCCACAGGGACACGAGCACGGCCAAGGGCCAATTCATCGAGAGATTATCCGACGATCGCAGTGAATCTAGTTTGTCATACTATGAATTTTTGCAACACATTCGGGCTCAGGTTAAATAGTACATAAGCAGGGAATCCCCTACCACTATTGTATGCAACATAAATATGAGTTTCTCAGAACGTAGAAAGCTCCGAAACTCTGGTGACTAAAATAGAGAAGCGAATGCTAGCAAACACAATGGAGACGGAGACGGAGACGAGACCTTTACCCCTTTCCCCACTCTACTCTCGGCTTAGGTAGTAATTTTAAAGTGCATGTATTTATTTATTTGTTGATTTGTTGCACTAAAAATAAAACTAAATCAATTAAAGAAGGCAGAGAGCCAGTTGTCACAAGCGAAACTAGATATCGTTGCCAGTAGGAATTGCGCGAAGAACACATTAGTCAAAGTCCCGCTAGCCAACCAACCCAAACAACCAGTCAGTAGAGCTCCCAGGCAGCGGATTGCACTGTTATTTATTAAAGCTATGTTATACGCAATAAACTGAACGAAATATACACTATTGTAAATTATAATTTAACGCGATTTCTTTTCGTTCCACTTCTGCTTAGTAAATCGTGCTAAAGACCTTATAATAACAAAGATGAGTACACGGTATGATTTTTTATACTTAAATTTTGTATAAAAACCAACTAAAAGATCGCGCTAGATAGAAAGTTTAAATTTGTCACTTGCTGAAAAATTGCTTGGATATGTACATGAATCCATCTTGTTATTATACAGTCTTTGTGCTAACTTTCATTGTTATCGCTTGTTCCCCCTAAAACTTTATATTTTGCTGTTATCACTAGTATTTATTTCCGAAAAATCCATATGAATCACATTCATAATAGTCTATTATTTTTAAGTCGGTACGCGACACTGTAGTTAGTGAACTTATTTTTCAAACGAATGTGTACGGGAACAGATTTGGTATTGTGTATTGCATTGATGGGACACGGACTGCTTGAAAGTGAATGTCTTAAGCTTAGATGGATTATTGTACTGTATCAATAAAGAGACCCCCAAACCCTTTACAACCCCAGGCGAAGCAAACTAATCGAAAAAACCATATATACATATATGTACTGTACTATACTTTATACACATACGAGAGTGCATCAAGATATAAAGCGAAATACATTTTAATTAAATCATAAGGCAGTGGGTTTTATTTACACTTTTGTTGGGCTATCGGAGAATCACTCTGTGATGAGCTCTCGAAGGTAATTGCAATAATGGCATATGCTGGTTAGCATAGTTTGGGAATAGGAGAATATATTAGTCAGTAGTCATCACCAGAAGAAGGTGTTAACTGCGTCCAGACTAAGATCTCTGAAAAATAATAGGTTTAACTATGGGAAAGTCTCACTCTTTGATGATATCTGAACTTACGGATTAAAGAAGGGCGAGCGTAGTGGATACTTCCGCTTTGGAGGTGGACACAAGATGGAGTTATTCTCATCGTCGTTGGTTAAGTCTACATATCTTTGGTAGGGCTTCTCGCACTCCGAGTACATCTCCGCTGGACGGTAACCCTCACTCGAGTGCTCGATCTTTACATGCACATTCAGATAGTCCTCAAGGAGGAACACCTTATCACACAGTTGGCACTGAAAGTGGCCATCGTCGTTGCACGTCACATGAGCCTCATGGTATCGATTGTAGTGCTGGTGCAGCTCCAATGGCGATCGCATCCCTCGTCCACAGATGTCACAGATGTGGGTCCTGGCTACCGGCTGCGGAAAGTGAATCATCAGGTGATCCTGCAGTTTCTCGGCAGAGTCGAAAGTCTGTTCACACAGTAGGCATGAGAGGCAGATCCACGAGTAATCGCACGTTCCCGAGTCCATTTCTGGTGGCTAAAATAGAGAAAGGGAAACGATACCGGCTGAATAACAGGGAAAATTATATATTTTTCACTTATATTCTTTTAATATGTACACTTTTAAACACCTTTTTATATATTTCAGTATCGAAAATTCATTCAATAACACCTCTCTTTTAATTTTGTAAAATCTCTAGTAGCATATGCTTTAATTATTTCACAATATCTCTCAATAACTCACTTTAAAAAATTATCACCTTATCGTTAATTAATTAAACATTAACGATCAATATGCACAATATATGTTCAATATATATAAATTCTATGAAATAACTACCATTTTTCCAGTTATTGCCTTCTATGTTGTGACTTCTTTCGTTTATGCTCAAGGTGCCTGAACTTGTTTCTCAACCCCTAAAAAGTGAACACCCGCACGACCGTCTTCGTTGAAATTCTGTTGTTAATTAATTTCTACTTGTCAGACGAAGACTTTTAATACTTTGCTCTCTCTCTCTCTCTCTCTCTCTCTCTTTTACGTTTCCACCCTCTTTCTCTCTTCTCTTTTTTTGCTCTCTACTTTCAGCGGTCTCTCCTTTATGCGATCGTCAGTTATTGCGTGCTGGAGATAGTAAGAAAAACAGAGAGAGGTATGAGAAAGCAGGGAATCAGTGATGTACTTCTAGGAATTTTTGACCTACTATTTCGAACGGTAAAATTATAGAAAAGACCAATTCTTTGGCGGATTGTTGCACCTTGAGCATCACTTATAGGGACAGAGTCGTGAACAAAAGCAATATTACACTCTTCAACAGGTAGTTGGTTCTAATTAGGCTGGGGCGTAGTCACAAACAACCCTTAAGAAAAATAGAGGTTTTCTATTTCTCACTCTTTTGAATCCATTTTTTGGCAACGCCTATTTTGTATCTATACATACAGTCCCTTTATACATAAATTAAAACATAGGGATTTGTTAAACTTTACTATTTATCTATGTAATTATATTACACATTCAAAATCCCATCGCAAAATCCAAAACATAAAAGTTTGATTATAGAAATAGAATTTTAGAAACATCGTTTAATTTGTTTACCCTTGCAGAGTATTATAATTTTAGTCAGAAGCTTGTAACGCTGTAAAGTACTAATTTCTGACCCTATAAACCATATACATACATTATTGATCAGCATCAATAGCTGAATCGATCTAGACATCTATCATTAATATTTTCAAAAATGTTGATTTTGTTAAATTTTAAACTAAGTACATATGTACATTTTTTAAAGATGTTGGAGCCACCCCAGTAATTCATTCCAAGTATGGGGAACACCTATGATCCTGTGCATGGGCATATGATGATTGTAAAGTCGGACCATACACCTGCAGGTGTATGCATGATATCATCATCTACAACCCTAATTGGTACGCATAAATTCGTACGCATCACAAAACACCCCTCTCTCTCACACTCCTACACACCCTATTCGGCTAAAGATCACTCTAAACAACCACACATTTTTACGCATGAGAAAACACTCCTCACACACACACACCTTTGGGGTGAGAGAAAAACAAGACAAGACAAGACATGACAAAACACCCCAGCCACTTTTACCATTTCTTTGGGGTGATCCTCCACCTCACAACCTTTCTAACTTAATTAAGTGACCTTTTTATGCTAATTAGGTCAATATAACACCTGTGTGCAACCATGCGTGACTAATTAGGGTCACCCCCACCCCCTTTTTTGACATGAATTATTACCTAGTGGGCCAGGACCCGTATTATCCTGCTACCTATGCATATATGTATGTATGTATATGTATAGGAAAATATACATATGTAGGTATGTACATTTATACATCATAAGTCGATGAGTATAGTATAGAGTGAATTTTGCGTCTTATTTTAGAGATCTAAACTTTTAGCACATGCAGTCCTCATTACTAAACTAACCCTATATACCCATTCAAAATCCAACCGCAACTACTACAATGGTTATAAAAACATAAAAGTTTATAATAGAAACAGAATTTTAGAAACATCGTTTAATTTGTTTACCTTGCAGAGATTATATTTTCAGTCAGAAGCTTGTAACGCTGTGAAGTATTAATTGTCGATCTAGACATTACGTAAAGTAATTTTTAGAAATTTTTCAAATTAAAAAAAACTTACTTCGTTAACATTTTAAAATGTTGATTTGTTAAATTTAAACTAAGTATGTATTTTTGTTAGCAAGCAAAAACTTGCATAGGACAGCTTTCCGAAATAAATGAATGCATTTTGACTTAGTTATGAGTTTTTTAAACATTGATTTGTCAAAAAAATTGCCAATATTCAAAGAATGCAAATATTTAAGCTGTTTATGATGGATTTCGATACGATCTATAATTTAATTCCGAACTGCAAGGGTATATAAACTCCGGCTTTCCAAAGTTACATAGTTTCCGATTTGTTTATACTATAAGTTTTATATGAATGAACGAGGAAACTTATTTAATGTTTGCTTTTGAGATTAGACCGACACCCATGTATAAATGTTTGTATATATTTAGTTTCAATTTGTTATTTTATTATGCCAATATAAGCAACGAGCTACTATATTATATATATTTTCAATCAAATAAATTACTGTATAGCCATCAAAATGTTTTTCTTATTATGTAAAGAGTACACGAGCTCTTAAAATATCATCATCTTTTACTTAACAAAAATATCACCATATGTTTTAAAGATTTTTCCACTTAAGTAACTATATACAAAGGAAATAGCCATTGATCAATATTTAACTATGTTTCCCAGCGATAAGGAAACATGTGTGAGACACACGTTTGACAGGGACTTTTCTCACTCTGCGGGGGTTCACTTAATATTTCAAGGGATATACATACATACATATGTATGTAAACCGGGATTACCGATGTGAAGTACCCTAAACTCGTAACTCATGGAAGTACGTAGTAACAACGACTTTTAGCTTATATATACATATATGTACATATATCTTTATTCCCACTCACTACGATTCTTAAAAACTAATATATTCATATAGTACTGAATACACACGAAGTCAAGCTAAAACAGCTCAAATTTCTTAGCTGATCTCAGCGAAAATCGTTTATTAAAGCCATCGCTGGGCTCGAATTCGATATCCAAAGTGCTGAGGCATCTAAACATTTCCCTTACGAAGCTGTATTTTTGTGTATTCATGCAATTATAACCATCTTTGAGTCTTGGAAGCTCCATTTAGCTGTGACACCTTCTGAGAAGCGGACAGCTTGGCTGACATCCGCTGGAAGACGACGATGATTTCATCCTGAATATTAGATATTCCCAGATGGGCTTGTAGCTCCCTAGAAGTAGGCATCGCAGTCCAGCCAGAGATCGCTGGAAAACAAAGAGAAAAAGTAGAACAGTCAGTGGGGCGTGCGGCTGATAAGGCTTATCTGGAGACCTACGGATTGAAGAACGGCGAGCGCATCGGGTACACTCGCTTGGGCTTTGCCGCGAACCCGGACTCCGGCAGCTCGGACTGCTGACGTGGCGGATTCACATACTTGGCCGCCGGCTCTGTGGCCGGACTGTAGTTGGCTGCAGCGACCGCATTGAAGACTTTTGTGCTCCACACTTCCCGTCTCGTTCCCTCGGAGGATGCTGCCGACAAAGGTCGTTCCGGCGATAGTGAACCCTCCATCACGGGTGATTCAACTGTGGCGGGTGGTGGTAAGGTCACTACCTCAGCAGTTTCACTTTCACAGATCCCGTGCTTGATCTTCATGTGCATCAGCAGAAAGGTGCGACGCTTGTACCGCTTCTTGCAGGTGGTGCACTTGAAGTGCTTTTGCACCTTTTTGCTGACCGTGTAGGTGGGTGGATTTTCCATGAAGTGGAATCTACTCTGATGATATCTCACCGACTGCCGGGAACTCAGCCCCTTGCCGCACCAATTGCACTGGAAACGACCAGTCGACAGTCGCATATAAGGATCTTTGCTTTGGTCCTTCTCCGGTGGATCTGATAGTAACCTTTGGTTGGCTAACGGTTGCTCCTCTGGGGATGGAGATGGACACCTTTCCGCTGGCAAATTGTTTTCTTCGGCCTCAATCGGTGATTGAATGGGCTGTTGGGGCTTTTCCAGGACTATTCGTTGCAGCTCCATTGAGGGGGAATGTGCAGATGCTTTTCAATGGAGAACTGATCCTTCAGATTGTCTTCTGGCAGTTGAGGTGGCTGCTCCTTTGGCTGATGTCGTTCAATGGGTTCTTTCGGTTTCTTCAGAACTATTCGTTGCAGCTCAACTGGAGGTGGTTGATGCACCATGAAATTGGGCTCAACTGGAGGAGGAACCGACTGCTGCACCATGAAATTGAGCTTATGGTGAAGCTCCATGGGTGGCTGGTGTTGCTGAGGAATCGGCTGAACCTTCCGGTAGCCAAACTGATGTTCCATCATTTCTATCGGGGATTGGGGTGTCAGTGGAACTGACCTGTGCAGACGCTGATGAATAGGAGAATCCATGGGCTGAGGCTGATGCACAGAGCAATGTCCTGGGAACTCTAGTGGCGACTGTACCGGCATTTGTTCTTGCAGTTGCATGGGAAACTGCATTGATGGCTGATCCATCATCATTCGCTCGGAAAGAGCGATGGGAAGCGACATAGGTGAGTGAATGGGGCCGGGAACGGGAGCCGGTATCGAGACCACGGGAGGAGGCGGCTGCTGAGGCAACTGCATGTGCCATGGACGAAACGGCTGATACATGGGCTGATTGGGCGTCTGTGATGCCTGCTCCTGCGCCGTGTTCCAAGCGTGAATCTCCGCCGCATGCTGGGTGAGGTGCTCCTTGAAGGTTTCAATGTCGTTGAAGGGCTGCTGGCACAGATAGCATGGAATGCAGAGCACAAATCCCGGTGGAACATTAAGCTGTCCATTGCGGGCCAGAAGATCTGAGACCAGAGGCATGTCAGCAGCCTGATTGGGTGACCAGCTATCGTCCAAAGGTGACTGCGGTGGTGTGGCCAGCGCCGAGGGTATCTGCGTGTACATCCTACGCGGATCTAGCATAAATGCTGCCGGAGGGTTATCCATCGACTTAGCTACGGTAATCTCCACGTCACTGTCACTATCCGTTTCCGGGTGAAGTAAAGCTCTGGGGTTTCGTGAGAACCACTGCGTGGTGCTGTCGTATTGGATCTCAAAACTCAAAGACTCACAATGCTATCCATATACACTATTTGCATAAATATAACGCTAAGGATCGGTGCACAATGGAACACGGTGAAGTCACCCCGACGATTGTTGGAGGAAGAATGAACTGCCAAGACCTCGTTTCGTTTGCTTTTATACTTCAGCTGCAAGTGCGAGCGGGGCGGCAAAACTCTGAGCGGGAAAGGGAGAGTGAATGCTTATCTTTAGTCCCAATATGTCCTTTTTTTTGTCCTTTTTCCTGCAATAGTGTGTGTTTTTGCCTGCTCTATTGTTGCTTACTCTCCAAGTTCCATCGCGAGACTGAAAATATGAATTGGTTCGCCTTGGGAGATAAGACGGGACTAAATGGGTCTGTTTGCTTTCCCTGGACTATTGACGGCACAATCTTTACAAATGCTGAACAAGCGCAGCTTTACCAGATAAGATGTGAACCGCGATTAAACATTCATTAATATTTTGTATATTAGTACCTCATCAAAGTGTTTTTTTAATATTTTATTATATTTATATTTTAAATACGAGCATTAAGATGCAATTTCAGAACTTGGCTTCCATATTTTCAAATCTAGAGAGATATTTTATGGCCCTTTTACCTCTTTTGATCTCGAATACACAAAAAGCAGGTAAGAAAGGACATTTTTTTAAGTGGCCAAAGTCGTAAATGTGCCACTTTTTGGTAAAAGGATATCAAAAAAGAAAGGACATAAAAAACCGATTGTGTCGAGGGTGTTCTAATGAGGGTTCTGAGTGGGAAATAGTGAATAAATAAAAGAATCCTGCATTTTAGGGTGTCTTGGACATAAACACTTTTTGACTTTGCGACTTGGAAGGACATTAATACGAAGAGAAATATCTGTAAAACAATTACCCAGTCATTAACGAAGGCTCTATATATCTGTAAAAAAATACCCTGAGTTCTTTCCATCTGTTAAAAATAACCCCGTATTTAACTGAGCTTCTCTGTTGAAATAACAAAATCCTTTCATCCACAGGACTCTTAATGATCGTCATTTTAAATTTTCCATTCAATTGACCTTGGATCGTTTGTCAGAGATTTATAAAAATAATTGTAGCTTATCACTCCATCCGGTGCTCACCGACGTTTATCTCAAAACACAATTAATTTGTCATTAAAAAACGGCTTATCACTAAGCTAGCTTATTCATGTTTTAAAATATTTATTTAAAAGCGGCGGCTGTTCATATTTCTCCTATCAGCTAAATGCTGAATTCTCAATACAATTCCCCAAATATTCAAAGAGACATTACAAATTTCCAAATCCTTTTAATTGTTTTCTTTTTATTTATAGATTTATTGCCCCAATATTAGTTAATTGCTAAACACATCGAAATTTTTGATTGTTTGCAGTCTTCTTTTTTTCTCGATAGCATTCGATTGGGATTAACATAATAAGAAAAAAACAAACACGAGGATTAATTAATGCTGTTTTGCAGTTTTGTTTAAAAATAATAATTACGCTGTAATATTCAATAATTGCTGAGGGTGCACATACACACGGTTTCATCCAATTTGTTACTCGACTAACTAATTAATGAATAGGATTACAGTTACGTATGGTAAAAACTACGGCTTTATAGTTAGATTGGTTATACAGACTATGCACTTATACAATGGCCGGTGCTTATCTATATTTACACTTCATATTTAAAATAGAACTATATTTATCTTTATATAAATATCCCAACGTCAGGCAGTTTTCGCACTCGATGCCTGAGATAATATCTATTTACATTATCGGATCTGAGGGAGCGCTCTGCCTAATTTCTAATAAAAACTAAAATACCAGATCTAGGGCTAACAACGAGCTGGAGCTGGTGTCCTGGCATTCGTCCTGGCCACCAGCCCCAACCCGTTTACAAGTAATAGGTAAATGATCTCTGTAATGTTATGACTTGGTGTGTGCCTGTGAGGGTGTGTAGTATATCTACAAATCGGTGTGGTGCTGATGCCGGCGGTTCTTCCGATCCTTCCAAATAGGAACATGAACGAGGGCTAATTATATACTAGCCGATATGAGCGCGGTATGTGCGGTGAGTGCGAGTGAGCGTTAATTAAAATTAAAGATGGTTTTCAGTCAGAATCAGTTCACCCAGCGCCCCGTCATAGCTCTGAGTGCGCAGCATAACTTCCAGGATCGGCTGGTATTATGCAATAGCTCGCTGCTGCTGTTGAGCCGCTGATGCCTCTGAAAAATTACATAAAAATTACTTATTAGTTTGGTGTTTCAGTAAAGAAAGAAAAATCAAAATACACAGAAAGCAATGAAAAACTGGAAACAATGTTAGGGTCAAGCCGCTGAGGTTAGTTTAATGGAAAACGCAGGCAGGCACAGAACGAGGAAACACAGAAGAATCCAAATGTTGGAGAATTTTGAGCATTCCACCTACCGGGAACTGGGTGCCAAAAGATATTCAGTTTTCAGTTTTGAAACATATTTTATTTCAGATTCTTGTGTACGAGCGATCGCTCAGAGCAATGTCTGTGCACATGACCAGGCAGTCCGAGTTAAAGGACTCTACGTCCTTCTGCCCCCCGCTGCCCGGGGCACTTGACGATCGCAAGTGGGATTCCTGGTTGCCTGCCAAGATCAAACGGGAAAGCAGTGAGCCAAGGCGTAACGAGATACGAGAAAACTTATAAATTTGAAACCCCTTAGTCACTTGTTTTTATCTTATTAACCTCATTTTTGCTATTACTCTTCCCCTTCTTGGGAATACTTCGGTCCTTTAAACTATACCAAGAGTGGTGCATAAGATATAAATTTCAATTTTTTGTAAACATTTCCACCACCTTTTCGGTTACAGTCCGACGCACTTCTCTAATCGCGCCTATGAGTCTTTAAGCGATGGAGTAAGGGACATCTGCTCAAAAATTAACCTGAGACATCAAAGTCTCGTCCTTTAGAAATTCAATACGAGCTAGTGTTGAATGCACCTGACTTTACTATGAATTTTTAATTTCTAAGACGGTCTATCCTATGTAGTTGTTGTATGCTTATTATAATTACGCTTTTCTTGATCTTTTACAATGGTTTATTTGATAGTTAGATTGATAGATAGAATGAATCCCTACAACAAATTATACTGTTAATGGAGCCTTACCTTGGGATCCTCGCGAAGCTTCATACTTGTCCTTGATTATGAAGCAGGCCGTGATCATGAAGAAGATGCCGCCCAGGACCTCCACAAAGCTGGTGGAAACAGGGCATACTGTAATCCCTCAAATTTCTCCGCATCCGTGTACTGAAATGGAGAAAGGGGTTTGCTTAAGTAATCTATATGATAAACATATGGTGTATATATTTACATCGGATGCAGATTTCATGGAGTCGATGATGCCGCTAGCGGTTGTACCGATCAAAGCTGTGGCATTCTCCGCCAATTGGGACATGCTCTGCATTCCTTCAGTCCAGAATCGCTGGGATTCTTATGCAGATGCTTCATAATTGCCTCGGATATCTGCAAGCATTTGAATATGGATTATATCGTTATTTTATAGCAATAAAATATCTATTACTTACCGCTCCCACCAAATAAGGACTGCCGGCATCGCCTAGCGCATGAGAAATAAGAATCTGGAAGGCTTCAGCTGTCGAACGACGCGTTGGAATCACCACATACTGTTTAATAGAATTAAAGGGTTAATTTATGTTTTAAAATACAAATAATAGCATTAAAGTGTGCAACAGCAAAAGCGAAAATTTAAAACCGGCGCCACAACCGATTGTTAAGCTACGACTATCGATTACACCAAGCTACAGATGCCTTCCTTTGGAGCTCCTTCAGGGGTTTTATAATTTATATATGTATAAACCCCTAAGCTGACTCCTCCAGAAAGTATTCTACATTACTGTTCAATTTTAATCAATTAATCAACATAAACAAGCAAAAACAAATATATAATTAATTCGTGTGTGTGAGTAGGTGTACTTGTGTGTAGGTGCCCCTCTAGCCCATGCAAATACGCCAAAAGCTCGCCAAAGATGGAGCCACTCAAGAATTGAGGGACAAACAAAGAACCGTTCCCCAAAAATTGGAATAATCAACATAGCATTGCAGGCTCTGAGGTTTGTGTCCAAGCAAGAAAACTCGGGAACAGCTGGCGGTAAGCCTGACTGGGAACAGTTTGCTAGCTGACGGCGGCGGCGGAACTTTGTTTTTCAAGTTACTCTTTCTTTTTTTGGCTTTGTTTTTGGATATTTTTTTATGTTTTGTTTTAAGTTTTAAATCAAGTGTGCCAATATGTTGCTGACTACTGAACTTTAAGGGCCACACATTAAGTTTTTACTGTTATAACTACAGGTGATTTGATGGGTGTTGTGTGTGATTGTTGTGTGTGTGTGTTTTGTGGGGCAGAAATTACGCAAAGCATTTTATGATATTACAGCAAAACCATACAATTTCTTCATAGCCTAGGTCATCCATACTATATAATAAAATTCCCCCGATAAAGGCTATCTCTAATCACGGTCGCTTATCGCCCGCCCAGCAATTAATATAGCGCCATGCCAGAGAGTTGCTCCTACGATCGCCTCTTTCTTTCTTTCTGTTTTTTTCGGGGTTAGATAATCGCAGAAACTGAAATGCGATTGCTTATTTCTGTCACGGAATCGCTTTTTGCAATGGCAACCACACACAAATGGCAACAAAATAGAAAAATAGAAGCACACGCAAATCAAGTGCGTGGTAAAAGCAAAAAGAGAAATATAACAACTAAAAAAGAGGCGACAAAAAATGAAAATAAATAAAATACAAGGCAAGAGAGTAATGCATTGGCTTGCGTGTATATATATTATATACCAAGTGTACCGGCGGCCTGATCTCTGACGTACTGCCAATTTTAGAAACATGCCACCCCAAATTACGTATACGAGAGGAGGCACTACGTACGTCCACGGTGTGGATTATATATCATATTCATTATCTATATCAGCTGTTCGTAAAGCCTTCTGTCTTCATTCACGGAATATAAACCCATATATCTATCTTACTTATTTCTTATTCAAGTCCTAGTTCTTTATAATGTTAACCTTTCAGATGCATTTATGGTATATGTATGTATCTAGAAGTTCTAGGGTCTTTAAATAGTAATATTGCATAATTTTTTATAGCCTTTCTTTGATTAACATTTTTATCAGAATTTGAAACTCAATGAAGGAGTCATTTCCGACCCTATAAATCGTATGTATTCTTGATCAGAATCAAAACCGAGTCATTTAGCCATGTCGGTCAAAATATCAATTTATAAATTTTTTAAGGGGTTACTTCGTTAAAATTGTCAAAAATTGGCAAAAATTTTAATTTGAGTATGTAGATTTATAAACCTCATAAAACTTAACATATTTAAGTTTTCCAAATTAAAATTAATGCAATATTGACTTAGTTATGCGTTTTTAAGCTTTGATTTGTGGACAAAATTGTCATATAAAAATATCGATATAAAGAATACAATTTTTTAAGCATATGTTGATTTCCGATACTACCCTATAATTCGATTGCAAACTGAAAGATATATAGATTGCTTCCGACAGTTAGTTTCTTTCCTCTTGTTATAAGACTTGGATAGATATATCTTATCTAGAGGTTACCATTATGGCTTCCTTGGGTGCATTTCTGTTGCAACATTACTAAGGTAACTTATCAAACTAGGTTACATTATCATATAAAATATAATTTTCTAATATATAATTCAGGAGATTTCTAAATTCAGTTCTTGTATAGAAAAATATCATAACACACCATGAATGTTCAGTTTTTAGGTCATATCTCTACTGTCTCATGATTTGTGATTCGATCACTTCTCCAAGTTGTTTCCCAAGAATCAAAACAAAATCCGCCAGACTTTGTCATGAATCACTAGCTCTCCTTCCTACGCTGTCTTATAATTCTCTTATCAAGGCTTATCTCCCCAAAAGGCGGACAAACGTGACTCCCCGCAAAAAGATAACCCTCGTGAATCGAATACAAGTACGAATATTTCGACACCTTCTATAAAGGGAACTTGAATTTCAATGGGGTTATATAAATATATACGACACTCCACTGGGGGTTGAGTGTCGAATTCTAGGGGGTGGATACTCTCCTTGTTACCAAAATAAAATGGGAGCAAGAGGGATGAAACTTACATAGATTACATTTACAAAAAAAGTTAATAAAACAAATGAGAGTCATGTTCCCCCTTGGGGAACGAAACTAAATTGTAAGTAATGCTTAAAAGGCATATCTTTAAAGATTGCCTCAAGTTCTACAGCAAAAGCCACTCCCAAAATTAAATAAAAGACAACCACAACATGGAGTATCGGATGACCACCACCAGTACGAGATGCGGGTAAGAACAACACACGAGTTAGAGGTTAGATTGTGGGTGCATGTGGGTGTGGTATGTCTCTGGTTTTGTGCAGAGTGTTGAGTGTGTGTGGACTCGTTATAACAGTAAAAAGTTAGCATTTCATTGTGTGTTTAATTACATTTACGATATATTAATATGTATATATTGATAATCAAGAAACAATACGTGGGTGCAAAAGTTACAAAGCATAATTGAAGTAGAACTCAGCGCAACTTGGCTTACCAGCAAAATGTCCGCAACAATAGCCCAATTCAAATTTAAAGCCAATTGGCCGAAAAAGATGAGCGAATAGGTCGCCGCCGTGCTACTGTTCACCAGCAACGTGGCTCCCGTCAGCAATGGAGCACTCACAAGCAGGCCGAAGGCGCAGATCACCGGATCTGCCGAGGGAAAACGTTTGATCATGTATGTGGACATGAACGAACCCAACGGCACGCCCAGGAGACCGGCCACCATGGTGATTAATCCAAACTTGAACGCAACACTGATTTGAAATTTCGTAGGGGGGATGGATATTACACATTCGGTTAGTTAATGCCAAAAAATAAAAGCCTGCAAAAATGCAGCATACTTGGTGATCACATGATCACCAAATATCTGGCACTGCAGGCCAAGGGGTTATAATCAAATTCAACGAGCTTGGTGGTTAGGGCAATACTTGGGGCTTAACAAAGACAGAGAGGTGCAATTGATAATCGATTTGCTATGGCTTTAAGCATTTGTTTCTGCTTTTGCTGCTGCTGCTGCTTCTGGACACGGCATCATCTTACCAGCAGGATATCAGCCACTATGGACCAGCACAGGTTGAGCGCCACCTGGGCCACGAAGACGAAGAAAAAGCAGAGCATCTCCGGGCTCGATTGGGGCACCATGAGAGCAGCAAATACCATGGGTGCCGATACAAAGAGTCCTCCGGCACAGATGTAAGGATCACAGTTCTCGTAATGTCCTCGCAGGCGCTGGGCCAGGAGGGAACCCATTGGAACACCAATGAGACCCGCCAACATGGCCACGATACCGAATTTGTACGAGATGCTTAACGAAACCATAGTTGATAAGGCGCGCAGCTCGATTGTTTTGGGGATTCATTATGGGGTCGGGGTTCGGAGCTCAGGGGAGACAAGAAAGCCTCATTTTCACAAATAGACTTCCAGGCTGAGACTCTAATCCCTTAATGATTAGGTTTCCAGGTTTTTTGGGTTACAATTTCTTTGATTTGTCAATCCCCAGCCTAGGTTTGTGAAAATGAGACTTGTATTAACCAATATTTGTACACTTACTCGTCCTGTACGAGATTCTCGTTGCCGGGCTGCATCTTCAGTCCTAGATAGATGAAGGAAGGTCCCCACCAGGCCAATGCTCCGGCCACAAATGCCACGCATGTGAATCCACCCGTGGAGAGCATAAATGAGCGGTTCTTGAGCAAAGCCTTAATGTCCTGCTTGTAGGTAGTGGCCTCCAGGTGGTGCGATCCTTCGCTTTGACCCCGCTCCGGATCCTTGATGAGCATAATTAACAAGACGGCCACAACGCCCAAAATGGGTGTCACCCTCAAAGCCCATCGCCAGTTGTTGGCCAGGTGAGCGGTCTTGGATCCCACGATATAACTGCAAAAGAAGAAGAGGTCGAGGGTCAGTGATGATTGACTTATTTACGCCGGGCCGCTGCATTGGCGTCCAATTGTGCGTTGCATAAATGCCAATCAACCCCCCCAATTGACCCAGCACTCACTCCCCTTAATTGAATTAGAGGAGCCGTCAATTGCGGCATTCCGAAACCAAATCAATTTCAATTCTCCCCAAAGAGTAGGAGTCACGTGACTCTTCTCACGCTTCTTCGGCCGCGAGAAGCGCTGATTAGCATCCCAGTGTCAGATGGCCGCCACCCAGCCTCAAACTTTGGCCCCATCGCCTGTTGCCAGCAATTGATAACAAGTTGCAGACTCAGAATCAGACGCAAGATAAGGCGTATCTCCCGGATGCCTTACTTGATCACCAAACTGAACATTGATCCCAGATCTCAGTTAAGACTCACCCCAGGCCGGATCCCACGGGAATGGCGAAGTAGAACAGGGCCAGCATCCTCGAGCGCATGTCGTGGATGAACAGATCCGAGATGATCGTCGGCGCAATCGTACTGTACGAAGCCTCGCCGATTCCCACCAGCGCCCGGAAGGTGATGAACCAACCGAAGTTCTGCATATACGATCCCAGCAGCGTTGTGGTGCTCCACAAGCCCACCCCGACCGCCATTATCCAGGGGCGGGAATAGCGATCGCCCAAGTATCCAAAGATTGGGGCGCACACCATATACGAGATAACAAAGACGGTCTGCAAGAGACCGGCACTATCATTTCCGATATCGAAATCTTTAGTTACGTCCGGCAGTACTCCTGAAATAAATAAAGATGGACACAAGGATTAGATCAGAGTTTACAAAATATACAAAAAACAAGGCAAAGCGATTAAGAAAAAAGTAGAACGCTTACTTCGGGAAACCAAAGTTTATATACCCTTGTAAATAAAAATGATCATAAATAAGCTTAAAATTTATAAATTTCAATTTGGAAAGCTGTTCTATGTTTGTTTTTATTATATTACTCAATTTAAATTTTTAAAATATTATATATTAAAGTATAAACGATGTAACCCCTTATAAAATTTTGAAAAATTAAAAAAATATATCTTTTGGCCGGAGATGCCTATATCAACTCGACTGATGATGCTGATCAAGAATATATATGATTAATAGGGTCGGAAATGACTTCTTAACTTTTTGTAACCTTCTGACTGAAATTATAATACCCTGCAAGGTAGGAAAGGGGGAAAATTTCTACTAAAAACCTAGATTATAATTTAAAATGTAAAAATGCTACAGATAATAGGTCGCTTATTTCATATTTATTGCCGAATATGCAGAATGCGCGTGATGTGATATGTGCTATATCAAACATACTTATATGTTCATATAATACAACAGCGACTAACATATATCAGGCCATTCCCAATGGGGGGTTGCTAATTACCCAAATAAATAAATGGTTAATACCAGTCTGCCAATATTCGAGTGTTTTTTTACGTAAGCCCATATTTATGGGGTCGTTTGGGGGGAGTTGTCTCTATAATTAGCACTTCAAACAAATACACAGAGTCATGGAAGCGTCGTATGACTCGAGGAAAAATTCCGGAAACATGCTCAGTCTTTATGGCTCATCATATTTTCAGAAAAAGAGTCAATTAATTAACCCATTGATATCTATTAAACAGCAACATAAACTAAAAGATAAGGGGAATTGGCGTGGATTGATCATACTACCTAAATTATTACCTTTTTATCATATCTTGGGTCTTACTCAAACAGTCGATAGTTGACCATCGATAAACAATAACACTCTCCCTTTAGGCTGATGCATCTCCAGCCTTATCGATATGTATCTGCTGCAATCTGTGTCATGATTTGAATTTTCAATCATTGCTATCACCTTCGCACACATTTTCTCAGCTATTTCCTGCACGTCTTCACCTGATCGTTTAAAAATTCATTAACAAACGGATGTGCAGCTTGAAGAATTAATGGCCAAAACGACCTCATCGTCAGTAATAACTGTTTCTTTTGCCATCTAACGCTATTTCCTACATTCTACACATGCAGCTCTAAGAAATGTTGTGAGCTTTTAAGCCCCGTCGTCTCGTCCCAAAGTCTGGGTCTTTCTTCGTACATTGGCCTTTCTAAATGGTTAAAAACAATAACAAAATATAGAAAAAATACCTACTTAAAGTGCTTGAGCACCCGAAAATAAACAACGGCCCACAAATAAAGTTTAAAGGGGGGGGGGGGGGGGAGTGAGTGAGAGCTGGATCAAAAGCCGGCAAATACAGCCCCACCGACAGCAACAACAACAACAACAAAATACAAAAAGCTCAACAAGTTGTGCCGCTAAGAGAGAGAGAGAGAGACCGTGGGCGAGAGAGCCTGAAGTGAATCAGCGTTTGCTTTTTAATTATTCCATTTTCTGGGTCTTTTTGCTCATTTCGCTTTTGAGAAATTTATCGTACGATGTTTTCGACCAATCAGAGCGTTTGTTTGCCTTGCCCAGTGACGTAACGGTTGGAGGACGCCACGCGATAAGTGCGCGTGTGTATGTGCGCTGCATTGAGATTGTGGGCTGGTTTGGGGTGAGGCATCGTGCTGCGAGCCTTGTATGTGTTTATAAATATTGCTATCTGGTTCCGTCGCGCAAGGAATTCCGATTGTTTATGGGCATTCTTGGCCCCCGCGGCCAAAATAAAAAATAATAATATTATAAAAGAAAGGCATCTATAAGTGAATGTGCTACCGCAAGCCCCCTTTTGGTTGTACACTTGCAGGGGAGTTCCGTAAACGTAGGAACAGCACACATTTGTATTTCCTTTTAGCCGGTTGCCGCAATTTTAGAACCTGTTTGGCGCTCTCTCTCTCTCTCGCTCTCAATTCTCGCTCTCAATTCCCGCTCTCACCTAGGCTGTTCTCTCTTTGCTATTTGGCACAAGACAGTGCGATTCGTACCTGTAAAGGCTAAATCAGCTTAATCTCTCTGAGTGGCATATTATGGCTCACTACATAAAGTTAAGTGGCAATAACATAATTCTTAGCAAATTTAAACTAATAACTTGATCTTTGTAGGCTTTGAAAAGTACAGAGGTACTCAGAAATAGAGCAAAGTACACTTATATTAAATTTTCTAAATGCTTTAACAAAATTTAGTAAGAAACGATTTATACGATTTATTGCATTTTTGAATTTTGCTTTAGCTGTTTTGTTTAGAAATTATGAAAAAGTTTAATCTTGGGCCTTACACTCTCACAACGCACTGTACTTTAACGATGGGGAGAAACTCCAGAACATTGCCACGACGAGATATAGCCAATATTTATAACCAGGCAACTGCAAAAAGGAAAAACAACAAAGCCCGGTCTGACGCTCATTACCATGAATGAAAAAGTTGTTTCTGACCGAAAGTGACACTAACTGAACTGAACTGACTGTTCTCAGTCTGGGAGAATCTGTATATAGCGTCGCCTGGTGACGTTGGCCTTGAAATATCGCGCGATATGAGTGCGATGTGCAAGCTTTAAAATCGGACGATGATTATATACAATTTATCCGAAACCAGAGGCTGTGACTTTCGCTTTGGAATGCGCTGAGTATTTGAATGCGAAGAGCATTGGAATTGTTTCGGGGGAAAACTTTCTTTTTGTGGCGCCACGTGGAAATCAATTGTGAAAGCCATTGGCCAAGCAGCAGCAGCAGCAGCAAACACTATGGAAAAGAGCTCCAGCCATTCGCTACCCCAACTTTTGTTTACTATTCCTCGCTTCCCCATGGTTTTTTTTCTAATGGTTAATTCAATTTGTTTGAGCAAAAAGTGTGCAACGCCTGATATTTGCGTAGGTCGTTGACACAGAAATGCATTCTAGACATACCCAGGGAATGTAAAATAGAATAAATCAGAACCGAATCGCGTGAAGAGCTAGAGCTAAAATTACAATAATGTTATGCATGGTACTAAGCGTTTAAAATGTTTAATTTTTAAAATAATGGAATATAATATATTACACAGTTTTCTAATACTTAAGATTAGTATTACAGAATTTTTCTTTTAAAAGTTATTAAAGATTTATTGTTTGCAATTACTCATTGGAAATTACACTTTTTCAGTTACTCAAAACTGTCACTACTTTTTCATTTAAGCCAGTCCAAGGGTATTGACAATTTCGGCTTTCAAGGCTTTCCGTTTTTTGTGTCTTTTCTGTTTATTATACTCTTGCAGAGTATTTTAATTTTAGTAAGAAGCTTGTAAAACTGTAAAGAAATCATTTCCGACCCTTTAAATTAAATATACTCTTGATCAGCATCAACAGCCGAGACGATATAGCCATTTCAGGGGGAAAATCGTATTTTTAATTTGAATTTTTTAAGTTTTAAAGATCTAAGATTTATTAACATAATAAAAACTAACAAAGAAAATTTTTCCCAATTAAAATAAATGCTTTTTTGGCTTAGTTATGAGATTTTTAAACACAGATTTATCGATTTTCATATAAAATTATCGATTCAAAGTATGCGAATATTAGTTTTAAATGATTTCTGATTGGACCCAATAATTCAATTGCAAACTGGAAGGGTATATAAACTTCGGCTTCCCGAAACTAGTTTATTATTTCTTTCTTCAGCTGTCTGTGATGGCAATAAAATGGAAAGTTTTTCGTGTATCTTTCAAAATTTTGTTTGGTTGAGCGGAAATAAAACCAATCTCGGTGACTTTTAACAAATGCAAAATATGCACAAAAGCCAAGTCAACACCATTAAGCGAGAAAAAGCAAATAATGTGATTACATTGGCTTGCCAAACACGATCAAATAAAGGCCAAAAACAGAGGTAGTGTGCGAATTTTGTTGCCACCAAAGTCTGTTTTCGATCAATGGATATATAGACACAATTATTCAGATCTCTAGCATTGGAAGGGGGCCAAGAAAATTACGTCGGAAGCACAGAGCAAAACGAAATCTTCTTGGTATATATATAGTGGAAAACGCCTTCTTCATTCAGCCCACATATCTATATATCTGATGACCAAAATAACTATGCTTCGGCGTTCAAAGTTCGCTAGCAGTGCCGACAGCAATTTACTGTCAACAATAATGGCCCAGAATACCAGCAGAGATCCCCCGATCATGAATGAAGAGGGCCTTATGGCATGGTACTATAACATCAGGCCATCGTCAGCAAAAACAAAACAAAGACCGAAAAAACTATGCCAAAAATTGAAAATTCAGCAAAGCCGGAGGTCGAAGCCAAAGGCCAAGACGCACTTAAAATTGTAATAATATGCATGATATTAGGGTGGCCAGACATCGGACGACTACTCTACTATATACGGTGAAATACAATATATGCGACACATGAGCCGCACTGTAAACGTGGCAAATGTGTCGAAATTCCTCTGAAAAAAGAAACCGCCAGGCCAAAAGCTAAACAAAACAATATTGGCAAAGGCAATCTAATCACGGAAAAAAGGCCAAAAAAGAAGACCGCTTGGTCAGCCACACGTGTCATCCACACACCTGTGTGTGATCGAATGCAATTTTAGTGTGCAGCCACTTCATGATAAGACCTTAAAGTTGGCCAAAGTAATGATAACATTGCCACTGGAAATTGGCTGGCAACCTTGAGGGTCAATTGTTTATTTTAGTTTTCGCTTCGCCTTGCCTGGCCGTATGCTAAAATTCTCAAAATGAACACAAGTTTTTCACAATTAATTAGAAGCACATGGTTAATTATGAATTTTCGCGCGAGGCCCTGAGGGAAACACACAAGCAAATTGTAATTGAAATCAAAAGAAATCCAGGCTGGCATTGATGGCCGGACTGGGACTGATTCACTGACTGGCTCGTCGGTGTAAGTGTTATCGCCCTTTCAGTGAGTAATTCCTTTTCCTGCCTGATTAAAACTCGTATGATGTTTCTGGGGGCTTTAAAATGGCTCAAAGAAATTGTGCATAATTGATTTCTAATTGACTTGGCTCACCCAGGGGGATCACAGCAGTCTGGCCATAATTATATGTATATTTGTGTGACATGCACTCCCATTATCATTGCAAAATATTCGCAAAATTCACAAATAGATCTTCATCATGATTAGGTACTTTGGCAGAGTTGAACAAAAGATCAAAATACACAAGTTTAGTGTCAAAGAGCAAAGTATCTTTTAAATATATATATTCTACTAATTATATGCATCTCCCTCGGTTTATGCATGCAAATTAACAGGTGCCAACTCGTTTTATCCATTTTAACTGCACTGTGGAAGACAGTTTATTTTGTTTCCACCGTGCAAACGTGGCGAACAAACAAGTTTCCATTTAATTTACACACTGGGGTTTTGTGTAACGGAATGTGATACAACCAGGCACAATCTGAAGTCCACTTCTCCATTTCTAGATAGGAGCAATTCCAAGTCTGGAAGAATTCCCAGACTTTGTAAAGTGTTCAATTGGAAGAAGCCCGCATGAAATTCAATAAATTAAGTACCATTTCACCATTAATGCCATTAATAAATAAACACTAATGAAATGGGAATTGGAGTCCATTCAAGTGGGTTTATTTATAGGCCGTAACATACGATTACCCGGTAATTGTCACGCGGGCGGGTTCTACTGACCAGCGATCACCCCTTTCTCTAATCGCTGATCACTGGCTCCAGGTCAGGTGCCAGCGTTGCGGCTCTATTGTTATTATTATTTTATCGCACTTTAGTGCGAGGAATATTCGCGAAATGGGCTTGATTGATTGCCCACCCAGTACCCAGTTGTACCCAGTGGAAATGTCCCGGGTTGGGTGCACACAAAAAAATAAAAATGGGAAGCTGATTCCTTTATCGATACGATAAAAAGTTCAACCGCATGTCGCCGCCTGTATCTCTGTTTGAATATTTTTGGATCGCGTGATTCAATTGTTAACCCGATTAGTCATTCAATATAGTCAGCTAAATACTACGTTTATTTGTATATACGCAATCTTTATGGTAGATTTTGTAAACAACAGTCTCGCTACGTAAATCATGACATGATGATGTGGACTGTTATTCGCCAGTGATAAAGTCACAGCAACTACTACTGATTAAATTTGTATGTAAATTTTAAACGGGAAATTTTGGATTTAAAGGTGGCTTTGATTCATTGTTTTTTTGTGCCAACACTCGTTAAATTACTATCCTTATTTTGCCAGTTTGTTTAATCATTCTAATCTATAGCAATCGGTTTCCCTAATGTCAACACATTTCGTTATCAGATGCGGAAACTGAAAGCCCCTTGACGTCACTGTGGGAGGCACATTATCTGGATTATTTGAGATAAAATTATGCGGGTGAACTCCGCACACAGGAGCCTAAATCTTTAATGGTAATGTAATGGATTTTTATTGGGAGAAATCTTTCAAAAACTACTGGGCTTGGAAGTAAACAACAAAATATACTCGTGTCAGAGTGGGCACCATGCTCCAGGACTTACCGGCAATCGTAAAGCGATCCATGTAGTTGATGAGGTTGACAAAGCAGAGCACCGCGACAGTGAACCATTGTGACCGCCCAACGGCGGCGAAGCGCGTGGGAACGACTGACTGGAGTCCCGGCATCAGCTGCTGTGACGAGTATGTCGGAGGCAATCCAACAGGTAACAGATTAGCCAGGTTGGCAACATCCTCCTGGCTGCTGTCGCTGCTGCTGCTCTGGACCATCGCGGGATTATCCATGGCTGCCGCTGTGGGGAGCGGTTGGTAGGAGGGTCTTTGGTGTTTCAGCGACATTCACCCGCCGATCTCCTTCTTGCGCCCTCTTCTTTGGTTCCAAATTCGCCGAAGATCTCAATAATGGCAACGCGGCAAAAGTTATTTGCACACCCTGCCTCTCTCCACTATGCCTCACAAACACACACACACACACACGGAGCCCGAGGAACACGCGATTTAACGACTGCAAAAGAATGTGTATTTTCTTTTCTTTGCGAATCTGGCAAATCTCCACTTTCAATCAGCTTTTCTAATCGCTATTTGTGCCAAGTATCAGTTGCAGTTGCGGTGCTTCTCTTATTTCGCGATATTCTGATTTTTCCGTCCGAGTTTTTCAATTTTTTTTTTTCGAATGAGCTTTTTGCACTTGTATTTATTATAGTTGGTCGAGTGTGGCCAAATTTTTTTTTCCAAATTTCGCAGCTGTTACTTAACATTTACATCCTACACGTCTCGATAGCCATTTTACACGTTTACAGACACATGGGGTCAAATTCTCACTTTTGCGGTCGAATTCACATGTAAAATGTAAAATTCGTACCATAGCCGCTCTCTTCTCTCTCGTTGGCTGTCGGGTGGATCATGATACAATTGTATCGTGGGGTGGATGTTAATTTACATACTCTTGGGTGCTGTAGAGTAGTTAGTTGTTGAAAATATATCAAAATACCAATATATCGGTTTATTTTTTCGTTTTTTTATTATGTTGTTTCTGGTTGCTCTAAATTCGGAAGCTGTTATTTAAAATTTTACATCATGCACTTCTATAAAACCATTTTACACGTTTCGAGATAGTAATTAAAATTTATTAACAGATCTGCTATGGATTTTATTAAGCATATTTGGCGTGAATTTTAATTGTTTGTTTTGTTTTATCTTTTGTATTCCAGAAATGTAGCTTTTTCTAGGGCTCATCACTGACAAAAAATGAAAAAGGGTGTGTTTGGTATAAAATTAAATACGGAAAGTGTGACCGTTTCTGGGCGATAAAATATATTATCGATGACGAGAAGAAAAAACGAAGAGGAAGAGTGTTATCGAGCGCAAAAACAATCGGCAGTATTTTTAAATTATATTGTAAGTTTGGTATTGTGTTCCTGGAGTCCACAAATATTAAATATAAAAACTTTTATCTAAAAGAAAACAAATGAAAAATAATTATAGTTATTAATTTATATGTTTTTACAAGTGATATAGGACACAATACGGAAGTAATCTTAGTTTCGTTATAAAATTGCATTTATTTGTTAACAAATTGTTTATACAAGGTGCTAAACTTCGGTTAAATGTAGACGGAACTGAAAACTGAATATAGTATATATTTGTAGTTTTGAACATATACATATATTAATAATATTGTATTTATTTTAATCATCTAATTGGAATCTTCAATGGTATTCAAAATTCTTGTTTTTAATGGATTGAACTTCTTTTCATTAGTCATTAGTCAATGTCGATTTCATCCAAGCGTCCTCGCACTCGATTCTTGCGCTTATGCTTTTTGGTGGGGGCGGCAAGAAGCTTTCGAGGAACTCGATGGTGGTCAAAATGGTTTCCGAACTCACATTGCCAATGTAGTTCTTGTCGAAATAGACAACGGGCACCGCCGGCGCCTCCGTGGAAAGTAAAAACTTTTCACAATTGCAGCGTCGCAGATCCAGGGTTTCCACTTCCGCTTCCGCTGTGGTGGTATTTGATTTATCTGAAAAATGGGATTCGGTTTAAATGGATAACAAAGAGATACCTTCGGAATGCTCAAGCACTGAACCACACCGAATAAGGGGCGAAAGCACTCCTTGACCTGTATCCACTTGGTGCAGAATTGTTTGATGAAACTGTCGTTCTGGTTGAAAAAACTTCGCGCCGCATTGTCCACACGATATTTCATAAATCCTGGCACATACGGCCACTTGCCCTTGGCGGCGTAGAAACAGATGATGTCTGGAAAAATACAGTTATTTGTGGGTTGAATGAAACTAATTAAGTAAGGGTGCAAGTTTATGTCTATAAAAGTTTCTAGTTTCGGCGAAAGGTAATTATTAAATTCTGAAAACTCTCAATGAAGTTGTGCGGCTGCACACCAGCTGAATGGGTGCCAGATCGGCGGCACCCTATATGGTGCCTTATAAAAGCCCCTCGATGCCCAAAGGTTTTGTTCAGTTATTATATTTGCCTGAGATGAAGTACTTGCTGCTACTGATCGCCTGTTTGGCATATTCGAGTGCACTTGTGCATTTCAAACAGTTGGAAAAAGGAGGTATGTTAGGATCATATAAACTACAAACAACACAAAATTAAATTAAATATATGTATACATATTTAGCGAATGGCTGCAAAATGGGTAAATTGGAGATGAAGGTTTCCGACACAGTACAGGATCCAGAAGTGTGCGGCGTCTATCAATGTATGAACACGAAGGGCGAGGCCCTGATTTACTAGTAAGTAATCAAATAAATAAACTGAATTAACGCAAAAAATGTCATACTTAACTTAACTTAGGTACTTTTTGCACTTATTAAACTTTAATAATGATATTATTTTTTGTTTAAGTTGCCAAATACCGCCTCATTTTATTGGTTGTTATAAATGGGCGGTGCTTACATTTTTAGATTTTCCCGAATGCTGCTGGACTTGTGCTATGTATGTCTGGTGCGATAAGGACGGAAAGAGAATTTGGGGTTATACGGCCAACCCGTAAACTTAGACAACTATTGGTTATTAACCTTAACCATTTATTTATTAACCTCGACTGGACTCGTTAAAAAAAGAAAACACATAGCTTGTATGTATTTTAATATGTATTATAAATATACAAATGAACGAATAAATAATTCCATCAAGGATACATTTTCACTTGAAAGGCCAATAATAACTTGAGCCTCAAATATGTTATCAAAATATATCGGATAGTGTCTATCGTTTTTTATAACAAAAACAACTCACACGGCACATGGAAAAGATGAAGAAAGGTGCGCTGATGCTCCAAACTTGAGATCAGGTGAATGCCACTAGATCGCCGACTGCTAATCGATGCCTGTTTTCCGGCAAAGGGAATCTCCTCCACACGGACACTCTTCAGATACGCCTCGCCCATGGTGAGCAGAAAGCCCAGCACGAATACTGGCATTATGCGCCAAGCGATTTTCCGAAACAGCTCCATGATGATAGAACCGGTCATGCGGCAATGACGAATGCAACTGACGGAAGTCCTGCAGAACCCCATATGCATGAATTTATTGATTTTAATTGCGACCGGTGGGCACAGTTGACACAAATCCCAGGTACTGGCCACATTTGCATGTGTTAACCCAATTTGTAGGGAGAATGAAAATAACAACAGCAAGATAGAAGTTTATTGAACCCTGTCCTCAAATACATTAGAAGTTTAATGATACTTCTAGAAAAACTTACCTGGCATAAATTAAACAAAATGTAACATTCCAGACAAATGCAAAGTATTACTCAATATGTCTGGTAACAAGTTAATTGGTCTGTGAATAATTTACCGATTTTGCGGAAGAAACTATTTTCCGTTGCCGCCACATGGCGTATACGTAATATGCCGGCGAGTAAAACCTGCTTCCATTGCACACTATTCCCCCTTATTTTTTTTTGTTTGTTTAAATGCCGCCTCGTCTAAATATAATCCACGTGTTGCAAATCTATATTTTCCAGCTTATCAAGTCTGGAACAGTTTGAATGTAAGGGAATGCAAAGCAAACAAGTAGAACGAATATAAAATAAATAATGAGATACAAAATAAATTGATTACTTTTATTCGTTTTCATATACAACTGAAAGTAAACAAACAAATGAAGATTGCCTTAAGGGAGTTAGGTTAAAGACAATTTTTATTCAACAAAAACCGAGTTTTTGAATTCCAATTTTGACAGAAAATCAAAAAAAAGAAGCTACATAAGTCATGCCTCTAGACAAAATTAGCTGTGGTCTTTATTATTGTTGCAAACACATACCTATTATGTAAATATATACATATGTACGTATGTACATCAACCTCAGGTAACCTTACCCTTCATTGAGTATACTGGACCAGAGCCTGACTCTGTCCGTTTGGAATTCGCTGGCCACGTTTATCTTAAAGCCTTTCGAAGGGGCAGGTGCATTGGCGAATTCCTGGTAATCGCAAATGCCGTTGGGACGTGACTGCAACAGCTCGGTGGTGCACGGTGTCAATGACTCGGCATTCCGTGGTTTTCTATGGAAAGCATAGTGTGATAATATTTATTTATATTAATTATTTGAAAAAGCTATCTCACCCAGTCTTGGCAAACTGTACAAAATAGTCCACAAATGTGTGAATGACCTTTGCCTCGGTAGAGTTGCGTTCAAAGTCTGGAAAAATCAAGGGACTACGGAATAGATACAGGAGATCATCGCAGTGGACAACGCCGTATTTGCCGGTAACATTCGCAGATGTGTAGGCAGAGGCATAGCTCAGAGGACCCCGATAATTGAAACTGTACATGTAGACAGGATGCCTCTTGTGGCAGATATCCTGGCGAATGGTGTTATATAAAGGATGCTTGAAACCCCTATCCGTAATGAGCTGAAAACAATGAGTATATTAGAGCGATATAGTTGCATACAGGTCGCATAAATCATCCATGAAAAGTTGATATTAATTAAATGCTCGTTAGAATGAGTAATGAGCGAATAACCTGATGACTGAATTAGATTCGGTAGCACTTTGTGGGCATAATTTATCACTTACATCCATAAATCCCTGAACGGTTTCCTCATTCACCTTGTGCTGCTCCCGAAAGTACTCCGCCACGAGGAGCTTTGTGCTTTGGTTAAGCCGCTCCTGGCTAAACTCGGGCGGAAACTCCATTAGCTCCTGGAGAAGCTCATCGAAGCGGTCGTTGAAGCTCTGGCGCAGAGTCTCGTTACCCTGGATGTTCACCACACGCACTGCTCCCTCGCCTGGCACGGTGCCCAGGAGCAATGGGATCGATGGACGATTTCCCGCAGCCAAGATATCCTTGGGATGCTGGCTGATAAAGGCCTCGGAGGAAGCGGCACCACCTTGCTCCACCACCGGCCGGAAGTTGGTCATATGATCCACATCCCAAAACTTTAGCCCATCGCCGGCGTCCAGGAGTTTCCGGGCATCGATGCGACGCAGGGCTCGGGTTAACTTGGCCGTGCTTAGGTTACGGGCATCCTGTACCGCAGCGAACTCGGCCAGGCGACGAGTCTGCTCCAAGGGCTCCTCGGCAATGGCAAAGGGCACATTTGCCGTGCCGCTCATGCTGATCACGCGCTGGAAGAGTCCTCGGGATCTGGGACTCAGCAGATGCATGTGCGTGGCCACACCACCGGCACTTTGGCCGAAAATTGTGACCTGCTGGGGATCACCGCCAAAGAAGCGAATGTTGCGCTGGACCCAGCGCAGTGCTAGATTTTGATCCTTCAAACCAAAGTTTCCCGGCATGGCAGCATCGTGGGTGGACAGGAATCCTGGTCATGAATAGGATTATGATTATAAATCTTCTGTGGAAATGAAAACTACTTACCAAAAGGACCCAGTCTGTAGGCCATGGTGACCAGGATCACCTCGCCCGTGTCCATGAAGTATTCTGGTCCCGTGGCTCCAGGACCTGCCGAGCCGCCAAAGAAACCGCCACCATGGATGTAAACCATCACTGGCAGTAGGGACTTTCTGACCTAAAATCACATCCAAGTTGATAAATGGAGAAAGTATTTCGAGGGACTCACCTCTGGCCTGTAGACGTTCAGGTAAAGACAATCCTCCTCGCCGTAAATAACCGGAGTGGGCAGTAGATAGTTCTTCTGGATGCAGTCCATCTTGGGTGTGGTGGCATTATACAAGCCCAGCAGCTTGGGCATAACCTTGGGATTCTGAACAAGAAAGATAATGGGAGGAAGGTGCGGGTACAAGAACGGGAGGGAAACTCACGCTGAAGCGCAGATCTCCGATGGGAGGCAGGGCGTAGGGTATGCCCATGAAGGCCTCGAACCGCTCCGACTGATAACCCCTCAGGTTGGTGCCCTTCATGCAACCCACGCTCGGTGGGCACACGATGAGCTTGTCCAGCGTGGCCAGGGCCATGACGGTGGAGCGGGGTTCATGGCCAACGGAGAGAAGCGTCAGAAGCAGCAGAGGCACAGGTTGAATCATCATCATCATCATCATTATCAGAAGCTAGTGCCGATCGTGCAGATCATTATTATGGATAATTAAATATGCATATGTCGAGCGTGGCGTTATTTATGATCAATACTTGCCTCTTGATATATATTTAAATGGATCCTGATGTCACTCTTTTTTGGGCCAATAGGGAAACCTCTCGCAGAACCTACCGCTACGAAGGTCCAATTCGATCTGACGGCTTTCGAGGGCGCGCATTCAATTTAATCGTGCGGGAAAAACTTGGCTCTTAAACCGATCCGATCCGTTCCGAGACCAGTGGAAAATTTATACGACGATCACTTAGCTATGGTACAATCGGTTCACACGGCGTATGCTTGATCAGAGCGGATACCAATTGATCTGGAACTGCATCGACTACTTCTAGCAACCGACGACCTCTGTCGCAGTCTCAAAATCTGGTCTCGGGTAATTCGAAACACGCGCCAGAACCAATTGAAGTTCCGTCAATGGTGACGGGTGCGCCTCAACTGCCATCACCTTGGCTGGGAACTTTCGCTTTTATCCTGAAACTGCCATGAAATTACAGTTGCCGAGAGCGAGAGAGTCAAGTCTCCAATCTGGGTAAGCTTCCCCTGCGAAACACAAAAAGCGGTCGCCCTCAGCAGCACCTCATAAGTTCTCCTAAAAGTCTAAAAATAGTATATACTATTATTTTAGCTATCATTAAATCATAAAGAGAATTGTTATTTGTTTTCTATGCCTCAGATAAGTTGGCTAATCAGCTAATAACCTCCTAGCAAATAATATCACTCCGATATTGCAGAAATCAAGCAGAAATTATGATAAGTAATATCTTTGTTGGGAGGGTCCCAAATGATCAAGATTTACTACCTTCATAGTTACTCTGCTACGCATTTATCCCCGCCATAAAAGGTCACGCCTTTCACTCTCACTTGGCGCATGTCTCCTCCACCAGCGGAGATGGAAGATTGTGGAATTACAAAAGTCTCCAGGCAAGATCTTGCCCCTTTGCGTGAGAGATTTATTACTCCCGACGCCCGAGGGCTATCTTATCTCAACCCACCGTCGTGGTCGGCGTCGTCGTCGTCGGGCCTTTCATTCGCACTTAAGCTCGTTTCTTGCACATTCTGCATATTGTGGATGTGACCTTCGAATGACAATTGGTTGATGGGTGGGGGTTATGTAAATGGAGCAGATCCGCTCCATTTTCACTTTATATGGTGTATTATATTTGCCATTAAATGAAATATAATATAAGATATATTACATGAACAACTTCTGCCAAATGGAAAAGGCTTTAAGATTCAGGGAATTCTTAATGTCCTCCTGGAATTTTCCATTGATGTCGGAAAAGTGCAAATAGCTGCACATCTTTTGATCCTCAAAATCTGGCCCTTGACAGGATAAATCCTTATGAAATAACCTATGTTTACATACATACAAATATAAAAAGATATATAGTCCAGTATTTCTGTACAAACTCACCCCGTTTGAGCAAAGTCCACCATTAGGGATGTTATCCTCTTGGCTACCAGAGCATCTTCCGAGTCCTTGGGGAAATCCTCGAAGAGTATAGGTATTCGTATGGTGTGCAGTCCATCATCCATGTGAGCTGCTCCAACGCCCCAATCCTCGGAGGAGCCACTGAAAAGCTTCGTCACCGAATGCAAACCGTGAAATTCAAAGATATACAAGGACATGGGATTCTTCTCAAGATTGGCATAGCCTGCATAAGAGGAAACTGTCTCGTAGAAAGGATAGTAAAAGTTAAAGTCACCAGAGATCTCAGCCAGAGCCAGCATGGTGTCATTGTTTAGACTCATCTCGGCCTGAAAGTCATAGGCAGCCAGTATATCCTTGACTATCTCGACCCCAGTTCCATCTGGCAGATTGAGCACCAAGGCCAGGTGCTCCAGGAATTTCTCATTAAAGTCTTCCCGACGTTTCGGATCTTCGAAAGCCCGCAGCAGGAACAGTGAACCCTCGCCGGCTCTGGAGTTGACTCCCAGCAACCAAGGCACCTGGTTAATGTGCCCCGCGAGGTGTGCCTTTAGCGGATCCTCTACCAAAAAGGCATCCGGAGATCCTTCAGACTCCAGGACAGGCAAGCAGCTAATATGAGGCAGGTTGTCCCAGATCTTCAAGCTGTCGATGCTTTTGAGCAGCTTTACGGGACAGGCGTCGCGGAGAGCTTGGGCTAGATCCTGACTGCTGAGACTCTCCGCTTGATCGATGCCCACCACTTGGGCCAGCTGCCTGGCTTGATCCAAGGGATCTTTAAGGATCTTCATAGCCGGAATGAACATGGTGCCAGTCAAGGACATGGCTCGATGAAAGAGACCCTTTGAATTGGGACTTATCATGTGCAGATGCGCGGATATCCCACCGGCACTGTGCCCAAAAATAGTTACCGAGTTGGGATCCCCCCGAAGGCTTCTATATGCTGCTGCACCCACTGCAGGGCCAATCGCTGATCCTTGAATCCGAAATTACCCGGCATGTTGTCATTGCCAGTGCTCAGGAAACCTGTTAAAATACAGATTAATTCTGGTTTAAGGATATTATTGTATACTCACCGAAAGGACCCAGGCGATAGTTAATAGTTACCATGATCACTTCTCCTGTGTCCATCAGATACTCCGGTCCACTGGCCACGGGATGACCAGTGCCGCTAAAGAACCCGCCCGAGTGGATGTAAACCATCACCGGCAGGGGATCTTCCTTCCTTTCCTTAAGCGGAATAAGAATCAGAGTAGGAGTAGGATCAAGCTTCTGTATGTGTGAGTACCTTCGGCCTGTAGACATTCAGGTAGAGACAATCCTCCACGCCCCTTACATCCCATTCCTCTGAAAAGTATGTCCTTTGCAAACAGCCATCTCTGGCAGTTGCTGCATCGAGTACTCCCTCCCAGGCATCAGCTGGCACAGGATTCTGAATGGAAAAGGCTTAATCCTCTGGCTTCCAAAGAGTAATGAGTATAATCCACCTTCAGTCGAAGAGCACCAACTGGCGGCTGGGCAAAGGGAATGCCCATGAAGGCCTCGAAGTCCTTGGTTTGGTATCCTGGCATGAGCGTTCCCCGCAGACAGCCCAGATCCTTGAGGCACACATCCAAGGAATCACTGGCAGCAGCTGCAGTTACAAAAAGTACAACTCCGAAGCCGAACAAATGCATTTTGATATTATTAAAGTTTAGCTTAGTGGAGTAACCTTTATATATACTCAATCGCTAATGTGTCGGTTAACCTTAATCAAAAATAAAAGCCGTCATTTTCGAATCCTAAGAGGTTGTAATTTCTGTATTTAAAGTACAAAAGCGCAGGTACGCGCTGCCAACCAAGGCAGATTGATGATCGCATATGATATACACAAAGAGAGAGAGGTGACGTCTATTTAGCCTAAACACGCATTCAAACCGAACTTAACAATTAAGAGAGGTGCAATTACATATTTAAACATCTATATAAATATAACTTCATGTCGAGAATCGACCAACAATGAACGATACGATGAGGGGAAATTGATTTAAATTACAGGCCTAGGAACCGAAACCGTTTTACAGAGCTAACTAATGGCGACATCAGATGGGTGACAAGCTGCCACGCTGGGCGGCAGTCAAGTCCGGATGCCACATGTCCAGTATAAGTACTAGACGGGCCTGACTTCCATTGTGCCACACCTCATGCTCAAAGCTATCGTCAAAGATGAACAGCTCGCCCTCACGCCAGGTTCTGCAATTTGTTGTGCCCATTAAAGAGATATAAAAGAAGATAGCTATTTGCACCCACCTTTCTTGCTCGGCCACTCGCAAAGAGGTTTTCTCCGGCTCGGGAGCCACCAGCGTGAGGTGTGCCCGTAGGCGGCAATTGGTGGGTCCGCAATGTGGCCACACATGCGTCTGGGCCTGCATCACACTGAACTTCACCTGACCCCGTCGACAGCCTGCAGAGGCAGGAAACTTCTGCACCAGGTTGCAGGTAATTGGAGCTCTAAGGCAGTTGTCCTTCACCTGACGACCCTGGGCGTACAACTCGTACTGCTGCCAGACGCCCTTGTCGCGCAGTCTCTCCGCTTCATCGGCAAAGTAATTTCCACTTCTGCCCAGCAGCGCCAGAGCCTCATCCCGAATGGAGCGCCAGTTGAGCTGCAGTCTCTCCAGCTGCTGTTCGTAGCCCGTCTCCCGTGGCTGCCAAAAGGGTTGAGCCCTCAGCCTGGGCTCGTTGTACAGCGATCTTTGATAAAGACTGGCAAAGAATCCCTTGGCCACTCCCTTTCCATACACTTCGAGAGCTTCCGATTGCCGGGACAGACGCTGCAGGCTCTCACCCAACGAGAGATAGAAGTATGCCTCCTGGGTGCCCTCGGTCTGGGACTCCACGGCATATTTGAGATAAGGCTGGGCCCGGGCATAGTCGCTGTGAAGATTCATTAGCGCCAGTCCGTAGTGGAGTTGAGCTACGGCATCACCTGGCCAAAGCTGCAGAGTTTCGGCTGCTACCTTTTCCACCTGCCGAAGGCTAAGAGGGATAGGTAATGTTAAGGTTTTTTGGGGAAATGCCAAGAAGCCGCCGCCTTACCTACTTATTGGCCATGAGTTGGGTGAACGAGAGTTGATTGCGCATCTTTGGATCTCTGGGCAGGCGTTCGATGAGTAGCTCGTGAATGTTCACTGCCTGCTGCAAGTAACCTGAGAAATTGGTAATCCTTTTAGCAAAGATTTGGAATTTGGAGGCGAGGCAACTCACCCATAAACCGCAAATGCTCGATGCACTTATTCCCGGCAGCTATAAACTCCTGATCGCTGATTACTAGCTCACCAAAGGCAAGATATCTCTTGTATGCTTCAATGGCCTCCAAAACGCGCTGATTGCTCCGCTCCGCCTTGGCCAATATCTCCAGGACTCGGGCTCTGCCCAGATGGGCCAGAGGCTCGTGGGCATAGTGTTGTGTGAGCGTGTTAAAGGAACGCAGGGCTTGGGCATAGTTCTTTTTTGTGGTTGTTTTTTTGTGTGGATATTAGTTCGCGGTTCGCCAGCCAAAACACAAAGAAGGGGGGTTAGCGACAAAGTTCTCGAAACATGCAATTAGTATAAAATATCATTTTCATCGTCATTCTCTCGATTAAAGTGAAACGTAATTGACAGGAGATTAAAGGATAAACCCATAACCAGGAATTCTGCCAGTGGGTGTGTCTTTATAGACAGATCCTGGCCATGAGCTGATCCTACCTAAAAACCCCCTGACAAGGTCATTTCTACACAGCTATAGCCTATGGTTAAGTCCTAAGATTGATTAAAATATGTATAAAATATTATAAATATAATTTTAAATTAAACAATAAAAGTCTAATAATGAACTTGACAAGCAGAACAAAAACTAAAGCTATGAAATGAGTGTGTGATGTATGTTTTTCTTTTCTTTAGTGATTGTTGAGCTGCAGATATACATATTGAAGTGCCACAGTTTAGATCCGGTTAAAGTGCTGCTGATTAAGATTGACCTACCTCCCGGATCATCTCTTCATTGGCTTTGCGCAGCTCCTGCTCGAAAGGATCCTCTTTCTCTGCAGCCGGAGCAGCGGTGGGTGTTTCTTTGGGTTTGATTTCTGTTCAAGGATTGCAATCCGGATTAGTACTGAGTTCATATAGAGGCTACAATGTGAAATTTTGAACGGTTCAAAGGCCTAGATAGAGCTCCACCTTTATGTACATATAGTATGTGAGATGTTAAGGCTAAAACTTACGATCTGTTTTTGGTTAGCGATCGGTTTTGTTGTGTGTCTTAAAGTAGTGATGACTTAAGTGATCGATCGAAAGTATGTCGTATGGAGAGAATGGAGTCGCTGTTTGTTTTTTTTTTTTTGTTTTTAGTAATTACGTGTCCAGCTGGGGTCATCGGAGTCGGGATCACTTTCGTACTCCTTGGACGGCAGTCGGCCGTACTTGGCCTCCAGTCGGCTCATCAGATCGGTGTCATCCACATCTGAGATCTCGTCCTCCTCATCGGTGATTTCCTCGTCGTCATATTCGTCGAAAGCTCCGTCCTCGTATTCCACATAGATATCACTGGGACCGGCCTGTGGTTCCGGCTCCTTTTCCTTCTCCTTCTCTTTCTCTTTATCCTTTTCCTTCGCCTCTACTTTAGTTTCCTTTGCTGGCTCCTGGGCGTACTTGTACAGGGCGCTCAGCTGCTCAAACGTTTCGGGAACATAACTGGCCATGGATGCCACATTATCGTCGCTGTCGTGAAGGGCATCCTCCTCCTCTTCGATGTCGCTGATTTCCACTTCGATCTCCTCTTCGATTTCGATTTCCTCCTCGGAGTATTCTTTGATGGACAATGGGACAGTGACTTAAATTAAAAACCTGGACTCGGCCAGACTTAACACGTCTATTATGGCTTTTAAATCAGTTATTGTAAACAAATTGATTCGAAAGCGCAACCTCGACAAGCCGAAGTTAATTAAATATATATTTATATATATAGAATATCGCCAACCATCGTCAAGCAGGGGCAGCTCCTCCACATCGTCCGGTATCTGATCCTCGGCCGTGGCAATGGTCAATCTCCGTCGCATCACAGCTTCCGGTGCGGGCTCATCATCTGCTGATTCCAACATTATTCAGGGTTTTGTTTTTTTTGTTTTTGTTGTGGGAATATTATATTATTCGAGCAAGAACAAAGCCATACAATAATTTCCATACATACATACATTGGTGGAATAAGTTAAACAAAGCTGTGATGACTACAATCAGAGATTCAAGAAATAATAATAATAATAAATCATAATCAAAATAAGCTAACTGAAGAAAGTGCAAAAATAATACTTGTTCCGGGGTGATGAGTTCTCACACCCGCAGTTTGTTTTTAGTTTCTGTTAAAAAGACCACGAATAGTTCACAAGACATTGATATTTTCTTTATCTTTGATACGGGTTAGATGGAAAAGCGGCGCTTAGTAAGAGACTCTCCATAATTAAGGTTCATTCGTTAGCATTAAAAACATAAGTATCTGGCGTGCTTTGGCGGATATAGATAGATATATAGATATAGTGATCAAAGAGCAGAGAGCGGAATACAAAAGAGCGGAGAATCGGGGGGAGGCAGAGCAGATCAGATCAGCTATTGAAGACTCACTTGTATTTGGACTTTTCCGTATCAATACAAGGCGTGAAACTAAGGCAAGTGCAACGCCAACGCCAAATTTAACGGCAACTGTAAATGAGTCAGGTTTTAGTATTCAGAAAAAAACAAAAACAAATGCCTTTTGCACTTTCTTGTACAATTTCGGTTTACAGAATTCTTTGGTTTTGTGTTTGTGTGTTCTTTTTTCATAAGGTGGAGCAGTTCTTAAGGTTCTAGGCCTGCGAGATCCGTTAACCGTTCAAATATTTCACCAGACTTTGTACTTACGTGATGCCAACCAAGAGGAGCCCTCTTCTTTGGGCTCCTCTTCATCGCCTTGATCTTGTTCCTGATCCTCCTGGCTGTCTAGCTTTTTTGCAGGCTCCTCGTGATCCTCGTTCTCAAATTGCTGATCGAGAGACTCAAAGTCATCATCGTCGTCATCATCCTTATTGTCTTGCTCCTACAATAAAGCATAAGATTAGCCAGGTTCGAAGTGATATATTTCTGAGCTTACATCATCATCATCGTTGTCATCTGTGGGTGCACTCTGAGTTGCCTGGGATTGGGATCTTGGCGGTTCTACGGAGTCTTCCACCTCCTGCTCTTCCTCATCCTCTTCTTCCTAAGGTAAGTATTTACCAAAATTATAATTTAATTAAAGATTTTAACACATATTTAATAATCTTACTTCATCAGCTACTGAAGGAGGTCCTTCCTGGTCCTCCTCTTCCTACCGAAAACATAACATAAACTCGTAGAAACAAATGTAGTTAAGCGAAATATAAAGACTACCTCATCTGCTGCTGACTGAGGGGCTTCTGTGGACTCTACAACATTGTCGTCGGCCTCCTCCTCTTCCTCCTCATCCTCGTCAGCTTCATATTCGGCAGTGGCTTCCGTGGTGGCTTCGACAGTGGCCTCAACAGTGCGTTCTTCGATGTCTTCCTCCTCTTCGTCGTCCTCGGCATCCTCGGCAGTTATATTTTCGCCAGCATTGTTCTCTTCTTCATCTTCCTCTTCTATTTGTAAAATAATCATTATTTTATCATTATTTAATATTTTTCAGGACACTTACCTTCTTCTTCCTGCTCATGCTCGTCGGCTTCCTCGTCCTCATCATCGTGCTCGGCGTGCTCCTCCTCCTGCTCTTCTAATTCTTCAGAAAGAGGTTCTTCTACATAAGGATTAATTATAGTTATTAAGTATAGGGAAATGATAATACTATAGATTACTCACCTTCCTCTTCATGATCATCGTGGTCGTCGTGATCATCATGATCATCCAGTGCCTCTCCGGAAGGTTCATGTACATCGTGCCCGTCATGCTCCACGCGATGTTCATCCACCCAGCCATCAAAATAGTTTGAGAAACGTGATTCGGACAAAGGTGTGTCCACTGGAAAGGTAGAAATAGTTTGTAAAATAGTTCCCTTTTAAATTCCTAACAACTTACGATCCTCCAGGCCGCGGTTCTCCATGATGATCAGACCCACCAGTCCCAGGAGCACGGCCATCAAGGAAAAGAATATGATCTTGGCACACCAGTGACCGCCAGTTCCGTGGTCGTGCTGCACATGCAGGTGTACATCTTCGTTTCCCATCTTTGTAATGTGAACGCCGTGTGACGATTCATCGTCATCTGAGATCGTTGCCCGTTTGGGATTGATGATAATGAATAATAAAAACACATATGATTACAAATCTGTTTAATTGAATGCACCTTCAAATGGCGTGGGGATATACAATGTATGTATGTATATCTACATAGACTTAGTAACAGCTCGAGACTTTAAATTAGTTTAGCAGAGCGTTCTCGGGGGCACTTGGGGAGTATGGAAGTGTGGAAGTGTGTGTAAAAACATAAAAAAATGCAGTTTGGGATTACACGTTTGTGTATTTTCTACCTTGAAAGCTGGACTGGCGCAGAACAGTCACATCGCCATCGGACTTCCGATCATCTAGACAAAAAGTTAGTTACAATGAGACAAATACAAATATTTCTAGGGGCAGCAAATGTTACTATGGAAATTAATATGACAGGATTTATAAGGCGAAAGGTTGTATATCGAACCTTGGAGAAAATCATTGAAATATCTACATATATCTTGAGAGCCATAAGAACAAGGGATATGAAATTTGGTATACTGAACCAAAACAAAAAATGATTGTGAAACCATAGTTTTCTAACACTCTCTTTTAAATATCTACCTCTATATATTCAATAAGATTAAACAACATACATATGTATGTATGTACCTTACCGGCATTACAAAACTGATAAAAGAGCGAGAGGATTTGTTTATGCCTAAATATGCGCAATAATAAACAAAGAAACGGACCAAAGAGGCGAGTCATGCTCTTGGGCAGATGGCCAAGAGAAAATAAATGGTTTTACATATAATCATGGCTACTTTTCGGTGGGTGTAATGGCCCCAGACGCAGCACGGAAGCATTTTTCCGACTCGGATCCGTTGCATTGGAATTAAATTGCCGTCGAGGTGAGATGTGTTTTCCATCTCACCCGCCAGATCCAGATTCACAGAAAACAGATAAGCGGAAAGAGATAAGAGGATATACATATATTCCCAGGGAGATCACACAGTTGTTTTCCTCAAAGTTTACTTATTTCGAGGCAAACTAAAACATTATGCACATCAGCATCGATTCAATGCCCTTCTGCAGGCCCCGGATCGAAATATGTACGATTCTTGGACCCCCGCACACGTCATGCATATACATATATTCCTGCTCTGGCAATCATCGGCGGCGGCACACGCATAGCGACAGAAAACAGGCGAGAGATGTATAATTTTATATAATAGGGCAAGTTATTTTTAAAGGCACTCGACAATATTATTATGCTAATAAAAGAAATGCCCGTGGCGGCGACCGAAAAAACGGTTTCTACCACCAGCCGCTCAGCAACCGAGCACGGCAAAGTAACGGTCCATCGGCGGGTGGAAGACGGGCGAAGGACTTACCGCGTTTTCTGCGTTTATCCTTTCGCTTTCGCGGCTGCACATCGCCCGACATTTTGCTTGGCACTAAATGTATGCCAATTCGTTGGAGGTGGTGTTTGTTTCTTTTATCTTATTTTCGTCGCGAACGCACCGGAAAAACTGGTGATCTTGATCAGCAAACGGCACGTTCCTAAATGTGCGAGTTCGTGGGAAAATTATTTATAAAGTGCGCGGTGACAGGTATCGCAATGCAACCCTGTCTTTCTCTGCTAGTGATGGTTGCGCAGAGTGTCACTATCGTGAAGCAGTCACGCAGCAGAATGCGATTATTGTTGCGAATATTTGTAATAAAAATAAGAGATTCTCATTATATTATTAGCTAATATTCGTATTCTTGTTTATCTAGTAAGACATATAAGTATTGGCCATGAATTAAGACCAAGTATAAGCGGTTTAGGGTAATATGAATTATATACAATACTCGTGAGTAAGTCTTAAATAGAAGAAATAACGAATTAATCGATTTATATAGATATTTATGCATCACTAAGTCCACAAAAAGAACTAACAAAGAAAATTTAAAGCCATAAGCAAAGATGCGCCGTGTTTTTCTACGCATGTCGTGCCCGTGCGCGCCAAGTTCCTCACGCGCCCATCGTTAGCCAGAACCAACCCCGAGCCCGAAGAAAAAAAAAACACAAGAAAATAATACACAACTGGCGACGGTGGAGCAGGTTCGCAGAGTTCTGATCCCTGGCTAATCCTCCGGGAGTTATGGCCGGCGACATGTCCATCGGCTGTGCGGCACTAAAGCGTTCCAGCAAGCTGAGGTCCTGCACCAGTGCCGCCGACACGGATTCGATGCATTTGCCCAGCGACCACAAGGAGAATGGCAACCTGGTGAAAACGCCTCCAGTTCCGCCCCAGAACATGCGGGGCGGCCTGCGAGTCTACAAGATCGTGATCCTGGGCGACGGGGGCGTGGGCAAGTCTGGTGAGTGTTCCGGAATGCCAATTGGCAAGTCCACGGGAAAAGTGCGTAAGGTCGCGCAGGTCGGCGACAGTGGGAGTTATCACTGCGCACTTTGATTGTGGCTGCGAAAAATCAATAAATTATCTCAATTTCTTTTACGCTTTGTTTTGGCCCGCCACCCACCGCCCAACATCGTCTCTGAAAACGACGACCTTCGCTCGGCAAACCCGAACAGCTGTGACCCTGCAGTTCGTGAGCCACAGTTTCCTGGACTACCACGACCCGACAATTGGTGAGTGAGGACTCGCCGCCGCCTGCGAAAGCGCCCCCTCTCTAATTGTGTGTGCCGTCGCCGGCTTTCCCTTTCACTCTCCCCACAGAGGACTCCTACCAGCAACAGGCTGTCATCGACAACGAGGCCGCTCTGCTTGATATCCTTGATACCGCCGGCCAGGTGGAGTTCACGGCCATGCGGGACCAATACATGCGCTGTGGTGAAGGTTTCATTATATGCTACTCGGTCACCGACCGCCACAGCTTTCAGGAGGCATCCGAATACCGGAAGCTTATCACACGAGTGCGTCTCTCGGAGGACATTCCACTGGTACTGATCGCCAACAAGGTGGACCTGGAGTCGCAGCGCCGCGTGACCACCGAGGAGGGCAAGAATTTGGCCAACCAATTTGGTTGCCCCTTCTTCGAGACGTCGGCTGCACTGCGTCACTACATCGATGAAGCGTTCTACACGCTGGTCCGTGAAATCCGGCGCAAGGAGATGCAGAAAGCGCTGGGCACGGACTCCAGCTCGGAGAAGATTCATACGCGCCATCGCAGCCGCTGGTGGCGCATCCGCTCCATCTTCGCACTGGTGTTCCGTCGCCGGCGAAACCTCAACTAGGCCAAGGTGTCCAGATTTCTTATTGAACGAGTGCAATATTATAATTTTTTTTTGTTCGCTGTATGTTAAGATACACGACCTACAAGAATTTACCGAACCGATCGAGGAAGAGCACAACTGTAATTGTTATGGCCACCGGTAGCAGCGGTCAATCAGTGGTTTATTTATTATTTGTTACAACTATTTAACGTACTTGTTGTTGGACAGGATAGATAGTAGTGGCGAGGCGCAAGAGCAGCGATAGAGTATATCAATATGTTTAAGCACCGATCCAAAAAGATACATATTTAACAATGCACGTACATATGTTTATGTAGTAAATATTACTAACGTTGATTCCTAAAAAAAAGCGAACGACAGGAGACTTGGCAATTGGCGGAAGCTTAAGAGGATTTAATTTAAAACTCAGCTAAGTTCGCATGACTAACTGAAAAAAGTGTATACCATATAAGTCAGGGTGTTTGATTACAAGTTTTAATTTATATTTTTATCAATCATTATCGGAAAACATCATATTCACAAACGCCAATTGCCACGAGTGTAGAGCAAAGAGTTCGCATGGAGCGATGATTTTTAAACTTATGTATGTATGTATTTACCCTGAAGACACACGCGACGCACATGACATACGATGAGACACAAGCAACACATTTAACTAATCGAATAAATGTTGAATTTAATGTATACTAATATTATAAATCGATCGATCGACCTAAGTATGTATGTAAAACAGTGCAGATGAACGAAAGTAGGGCGCGAAAAGATTGTTCAGATCCCAAATTGATAATTTGTAAGCCAACGATAGCCGATGCATTTGTTGTTTAAGTTTGAGAAATGTTTATTGTTTATATTGTTAAGGACACGTGTTACGCCTAAGTTTATTTATTATTAGTTTAACCAATCTGTTAATTACTTTTTACACACAAAAACAAGCAAGCAAAGCAGAGCCACAACACACATCACGTTCTCTAAGCATTCACCATGAGTTCCTCTCATCAATGTTAACTGCATCACCACGAAACGAAGTACTAAACACGGCTTTAATTACCTTGTTTGTTACACGATCCCTGAAATAGTTGTTGGACCTGCGAGACGGCGACTACCATAATTACTAGTAATTCATTGTTATTGCAAATCCTTTCATGCAGCAGTTCAAACCAACCGATCGACTAACGAAATCAACTAAACGAGAAACAAGTAATCAAATGCGGGTAGAAGTTAATACGGAAGGAAAGCTAACGCTATTATAATATTTACGTTTTAAGCGAAAAGTCTTGGGAACCATATGTACATGTTCAAGGCATACTGTCGCGTCCATGTCGTTTCGAAAACGACAGACTTGCTCGGGAGCGATGCCAATAATAACAATAATAATAACGGATTGTAATACCTAATCGAAAAACGAAAGAAAGAAACCAAATCAACATTTTGATTCATAATGTTATGTACATTTTAAATGTAAAAAAAAAACAAACAAAATGGAATACTAAAGCACAAAATAAAAAAAAAACAATCCCCTCAATAAAGATTTTTTTGGAACCCCCGTTAAAGAGTTCTTTTTTATTATATGGGAGATTACATTTTTTGGAACATGATTCATGTGGTTTCACCTGGTATATATTCATATTCATCCGTATCTGGCAAGAAGAGAATGATCAGATCCAGGTGCTTTTGAATGATGATCTCTTTATGCTGATCGCTCCCTTAAACATCGAGAAGTTATAAAGGTATTCCTTAGTCATATCATCCCTTAGGATATATTCCAAACGAAATAGTTGAAACACATTTCCCAAACCAAATAAAACATTATAGTTAAACCAAGAGTAGATCAAATGTACTGTTTATTCATAAGTATAATATAGTTTGGTTGTATCTGATGCATCTTCCGAGTTTTTCAACTTCTGTGTGAGAATTACACGATTGACGACGGTACAAAATACAAAAAAGAGACATACACACATTCATATGTACTGTATAGTATAATTATATGTATATTCGTATTTTATAAAATCATAAAATACTCATCATATAGTTTGGTTGTTTGTTTGTTTTGTAGTATCTTTTTTTATGTTTTCCACTCGTTTTAATGCAAAGTACAAATATTAAAAACTCGCTTAATGCGCTCGAAATAGTTTCACTTCATCAAAAATGTTCTCCCTTCTATAGCATCTCTCCCACGCGAAAACTGAATGCATCTCATTTGTGGCTTACGTTTAAGTTTAAATAAACATTTATCGTTTTGTTTTTGTTTTGTGTTTAGTTCGGTTCTTGTAATGTAGTATCTTTCACTTGCATCGACTATTGGCGGCCTGGTCTCTGATAGATTTAAAGGGAATATTACTTTCGTCCTCAACATGATCCTAATTCCTTGCTCCTTAACGTCGCCTTAGCTCGCTTGGACCCACTGGGGCCCAACGGCTGATTCTGATTCCACCGATTCACGTCACCTGCCTCACCCTCACACGCGCACACAATCTGATCCTGCCACAGCTCCTGGCCGGCTACACTTGACAACAAAGAAAGACAATCACGAAACTTACATTGAGTAGGAGGCGTTGGAGGGTTGGACAGAAACGGACACAACTTGAATATGTTTACATATATCGATATATATTTGCTTGCAGTGGCTGACTGATCGATCTGCTCTCTGCCCTAGGGTTACAAATAATAATGCCATAGTTATTACTGTTGTTTACTTCGGTTTATAACTACACTAGACTGTATATAAAATCAAATCCGCATTTGACATTCTCCTGGGGTTTCATTCTACCGCGCTGCTCCCTCCACCACCGACCGATCTTGTGTGGCTTTTGTTCTTTTTTTTCTGCTACCGCGTCTGCTTCTGCTGTTTCTCTAGCGCTTGCTCTTGTTGTTGCTTGTTGGGTGGTGCAGCTTCATGTATCCGATGTTGTTGAGTGGTTCTTCAGCTCGTTATTGTTGTAAAAGGTGTGTGTGAGTGTGTGTGTATGTTGTTGTTGTTTTGCTGTGTGTGTGTGTGTGGTAAAGATTTTCATGTTGTTGATTTGCTCTTTTAGAGCAAAAGGCATCTGGTCTTCTTCCTCTTTTTGACTTGCAGCGCGGCCCTAGTTGCCGTCTCGAAAACATCTCGCACACCCTCCTTGGACTTGGCCGAGCACTCCAAATAGGCAAAGGCATTAATCTTCTCGGCCATGGCGCGACCCTCCTGCGGCTTCACCGGCTCCTGCTTCATCTTTGCGAGATCCTGTGGGAATAAATAGAGAAACAATTGATTAGAAGGCTGCTCACTATTGTGGGCCAACGGTGCGTATACTTACCCGAATTGTGTTGGGATCATTTCGCAAATCTTTCTTATTTCCTACCAAAATGATTGGAACATTTGGACAAAAGTGCTTGACCTGCAAGGGATAAAAAAAAGTATTAGTTGCGTTTTGTGATAGACTTTGGTAATACAGGTGGAAATTCTGTAAGAAAGCATCTTTCAGATACAAAACTACACAGACTCCACAACAAATAAAATTACACCTTAATTAATTTGCGTGATGCTCTAAAATGTTAATTTCTCATAAGCTATCATTTCTAGGCACCTTTTTTAGGTTCCTTTTCCATAGATATTTCTTGGGTTTAATTCTCACAGTAAAGTTATAGGGTTGTTTAACTGAATTTAAGAAAAATGAATCTGTTAAGACTGCATAAGTATGCCATGCCTTGTCAGTCAAATCAAGAATCGGGTTATAATTGTGAGTTTGAGATACTGAGCAGTGCTTGCTTTAAGTGGAAGTGTTTTTATTACAAGTTTATTTGTGAAACCCGATTAAACTCGCGAACGTTCTCCTTCCGGTTTGCTGTTCCAGGTAAAAATACTTACCTCTGGGGTCCATTTCTCAGGAATATTTTCTAGCGAATCGGGTGAATCCACTGAGAAACACATCAGTATGACGTCAGTGTCGGGATAACTCAGCGGTCGTAGTCTGTCGTAGTCCTCCTGCCCGGCCGTATCCCACAGGGCCAGCTCCACCTGGGATTAGGATAATAAGAGATAGTGATTAGGATTTTAGTTTTAGATTAAGATTGCTTGCATAGGTGTGCTGTCATCATATTGCACTTGGTAATGGTTGTCAGGGGTGGGAGGAACTGGAGACGAGACAACAACTTTGAGTTGCAGATAGCGAGAGCTTGCTGGAGAATGGGAGAGTAAGCAAGGAACTTGGCGGAAATGCCAAGCGAATTAATCACATCGAAGCGAGCCGAAGCCAAGTAGAATGACGTGAACGAGAGTCAGGCAGGCAGGCAGCCAGCATATGTATGTAAACGCTATCCAAACAGAAACACAAGCAGGCACTGGCATAGGCACAGAAACCCCGCCATATTGCGCAGCAAAGGCAAACAATGTTTATTTCGAAAAAGCGCCTGAAAAATATTGGGAATCGGAATCGAACATATAGCCAAATCATGACTTAATGCCCTCGGAAATCGCGCACACAAAACGCTGCTCATTACATTTAGTAGATCGAGCGAGAGAGAGAGGGTCGGAGAGTTGTGGGAGAACTGGAGAGAGTACAGGTAGAGAGAGCGATCGAGCGAGCGGGGGGCGGCGCAACGCACAAAACTGTATGTGCGCAACGGACTTGTATAAGACAAATACAAAATAAAAAGAAAAGAAAACGAGCGGAAGGAAGGGAGCCCTGCTAACATGGTATTGGTGCTGCCAACTCTCTGTTTGCCATCCATATGTGTGTGTGTGTGTGTGTGTTCCAGAGTGTCTGTGCGGTAGTGTGACTGTGGGGGAAATGTGGCCAAGTGTGACTTAATCACTGCTATCAAGAGTTGTGCTGGGAGATTCTTCAGAAAAATAAAAAGAATCCGTAAATTTGCACTCTTCCAAGATCGATGAAATCCATTTTTCCTCCTAGTCTGATCCTCCTCCGTTGCTTTATGTTTGTGTGTTTATGGAATCGTTCGATATTGACTCACAGCACAGTTTTTTATAATTTTTTTTTTTTCATTTTACAAGGAGGGGTTGTAGGTGTGGGTATGGGGGTGAAGTTGTGGGTGGCACAAACAAGAGAACAATAAAAACACACACACACAGACTCAGAGAAAGAGACAACAGACGGGCAAAGAAGAGAGAGTGTAAGGAGGATACGCGCACTTGAATTCGTCTGAATTGAATGCACAAATTATAAAACGAGATCATCTGATTATCTCCTCCATTCGGGCGGGGTTATCACAGGGGGGCTGGCTGGGTTGAGGGTTGTCACGCAAGGGAGGGGATTTTAAAAACTTACCTGTTTGCCGTCCACCTCGATGTCGGCCACATAATTCTCAAACACGGTGGGCACATAGACCTCGGGGAACTGATCTTTGCTGAAGACAATCAGAAGGCAAGTTTTACCGCAGGCACCGTCGCCGACAATTACCAATTTCTTGCGAATCGTCGTCATTGGAAGTTCTGCAAAGCAAAGGGAAAGGCACATTGGTGGGGGATGCAAAGAATGCAACGACTAATGCTGCTGTTGATACTGTTGCCGCTGCTGCACAGAGTCCACTCGCTTATTCTGTTTAATTTATTCGCGAAAACTGCGAGCTGTTCGAAATTATCGAAATGAAAAAGCCACACACAGCCAAGGCACACGCAAACACCAACAACGACCGACAAACACACACACGGGCGCTCTTTCTCTCTCTCGGTAGCCCTCTCCCGCTCGCACACACACTTAGTCATACTCGCGGCTGGACGGGACGACGGCGATCTAATAGTCGAAAAGTGTGGGGTTCTTTCTTTTCTTTCTAGCCCATTGTTCATTGTCCGTTTTCGCCGCATTTATCTGTTGTTTTTCCCCGTTTTATGCTTTGCGCTTTTCGTTTTTCGCATTTTTCCTGGGGCCAGCTCCAGTCGCGTCATAGGGCCGAAAAAATCAACTCCTCCCTCGTCCCGCTCGCTTTATTCCATTCCAAAAACATCTCATCATCCACTCGCGCTCCGCTGTCCGTGTCCGCCGACGTCGCTGTGTGCGTGTGGCTGGGCGTGCGTGTATGCGTGTCTGTGTGGAATTTTTTCACTGCCTTTCAGCCACTTACAATTTATGGTGATTTCACAACACTCAGCACGAATTCGACACTTAATTTGCTTACAAAATGGCACAAATTTGTTGATTCTTATGCGTCTACCGTTTAGCTATATCGTATAAAAGTTAATGCAATTACAAAAATTCGAATTGAACTCGACGATTTTTTCCCATGCAAAATGACGATGAACAATGTTCATCCGTTTCGTTTCTTGGTAGCGCGATGAACCTTCGATGACCAACCAACGCCTTCGAGCGCAGGGCTGCATTCCAGAGGCTATCGGTGGCAACTCTGTGGCGGTGTTACCTTTGCCGGTGGCTGGTCACATTCGGGCGCTGCTTCTTCTTCCATCGGCGGTCGGGGTAGTAAACTTAAATATTAGCTTTATAAAATTAGTAAATTGACAATAAATATACATACTGTATATACACTTTTAAAGTCAATATAATATCAAACATTTTAAGATCCATAAATCGGTTATTCAGTTTTAATAGTGTAATCGATTTAGTTTTGCCATTCCGATCGTTTTAAAGAGACCTATCGGTATTGTTTCTTCTTCTTCTTCCAACTGCGGTCGCATGGCCCGGCAATTGTTGCTTTAATTCTTGGCGATTTCCCAAATTATGACCATAAACAAATTAAAGTCGCACATACTGAAAGAAATGCAGCTTAGTTTCAGGCTTACCGAAGAGCGCGAGATGTCCTCCGGCCGCAAGAGGCCTGGAAAACCAGTTCGTCCACCTGTGGCTTCTAAACAGAAGGCGGGACCAACAGCTCCCCGTGCTCCCACAGAGATGTTGAAAACTAAAAGCAAAAAATGGATTTGGAAGCTCCCCAGAACTCCAAGGGGCAAACACGGAACGTGGAATCCTTCCAGAAAGCCAAGCCGAGATCTAATAAGAAAGCTGCTCAAAAGAGACCTATCCCTAACGAAGATACCAAGTCTGAGACTTTTCCGTCTGAAAAGAAGCAAAAGAAGGATGGTGGTGCAGATAGTGGGGTGTATAATAAAATGAAGTCTGATTACACAAAATCTGGAAAAGGCTTGGCAAAGCAAATAGAGTCCCTACAAAAGTTAATAAAGAAGGCAGTGAACTCAGGAAAGCCCAAGGATTCCGGATTTAAAATAAATAAAATAGCCCACAAAAAACAAGCTATAAAAGTTCCTAAAAATAATGGTAAGGTACTAAGTGCTACCGCAAAGTTAATTATTCATACAACTTTTCTTTCAGAAAAGAGACATGCAGGAGTGCAAGTCAACAAACTAAATAGTTCAAAAGTAACAAAAGTAAATGTTGTGACAAAAAACCTTAAAAAGTTAATGGTTCCAAAGCACAGGCTCTGACGGCTCCCAAAATAAATGGTATAGTATACCGATATCTTATAATCCAAAAGTAATTTAACAAATATTTACATGACAAGGCTTTGAAGACCAAACATCTAGTGAAGGCTCCTTTGAGGATTTCGAGGATAATTTTGATTTCGACGAAGATGTCGAGTTAGAGGCTGAAGAGGAAGATGAAGGCGGCTTTGAGGCGAATTCAGAGGACGACCGGTTTGAAAAAGCAAGCAGTGAGAAGCACTATAAAAACGATTGATTGAATCCTGATATACAAAACTACACTTCCTTCAACAGGTTCTAAGGAGTTCGATGGCTTTGAGGGCGAAGACGAGGACTTCTTCAGAGCTCCTATGATTTTTAAGGTGTCCAAAAATAGTCGGATCAAAGGGACAACCTTTCAAGCTCCTATTAAAAATGCTAAGGAAAGTCCTCTGAATTTTTTACAAGGCGATTGTCAAGCTTCTGTCCACAAAATTTTGGTCTTTGAATCAAATGCCCTGGCCGAATTGGAGAACGTTGAAACAGATGATGAGTACGTTCCTCGAAATAGCGAAGACTTGGAATCTGAAGATTTTGACAGTGAAGATACGGAAAGTGAGGACTTTGACAGCGAAGACTATGAGAGTGGAGACAGCAAAGACTATGAGAGTGGAGACAGCGAAGACTATGAGAGTGGAGACATCGAAGACTTTGACGATGAAGACAGTGAGGATTCCGAAAGTGATTTCAAAGACAGCGATGATTTCGGCAGTGATATCTTTGATAGCGACGACCTTGACTCCACATATGAACCACCCATTATTGAAGGTTTCTTTGATGATCCACCGTCACATTTGCAAAAAGAACCCCTGATTATTGAAGAAATATTGATGAACACCCTGCGGCACAAAACCATAAAGCACTGGTTGTGTATAAGCCTAGGGAGGATGAGACTGTGGAAGAAAAGATTGTAGAGGAGATAATTGTTTCAAAAGAGGACAAAGTTGAAGAGCCCGAAGTTACGGTAGAAGCTGAAGTCAAACCCAGGGAATTGCCTACAGATACTACTACTACAGAACCGAACCAAAGTCCTCACTCAAATGAGACACCCTTTTATAGAAATCCGCAAGCCACTCCCACAGAGCTCAGCGTTTTCGAGAATAGTCTCAAGAGCAACTACGTCCTGGCTGTGATTAAGGAGAACATTGAGCTGTATGGAACATTGGTGCTGACTCTGCTGAGTGGTCAAATCTCAGTGAATGGTCACAAAGCCGGCAGGCAGGAACCACTAACTATTTATTCACTAAAAGGTCTTCCTTGGGTGTCCGTTTCACCGACCAAAACCAAAAAACCCTCTAAGGATGAGGTGAATTGGGTTGAATTGAATGAGAACTTTACACGGGCACAGCTGGACAGGATTCAGGGAAGCTTCCAGAGTCAGACAGATGCCATTGTGCTGTTGCAACGAAATGCCGGTGCCCAAAGCCTCCTCGAGACCTTTGGTAAACACATGGCTCAGAATGTGTTCCCGCTGCTAAACACCTCAAATAGGCCATACCATCAGAGCGAATCCCTGCTGCAGTGTCTCATTCAAAGCTCCGATCTGAGTCGCACGCTCCTAGTGCCGCAGGTTTGGAACAAGTTGAAGATACAACCCAATAGTCGTATAATTATAGCAGGTGGAAAGGGCGTTGGAAAGTCAAGTTTGCTGCGTTACCTCATCAACCGGAATCTGGCCCAGCTGCCGTCTTTCTTGCTCGTCGATTTGGATATTGGGCAGCCTGAGGTTTTTGTTCCGCAGACTGTGTCGTGTACTCTCATCGATGGACCAATCCTGGGTCCGGGATTTTTGCTGAATAAACAACCGGATTGCGCCTACGTCGTCGGCCACACCAATATAGTCATGTGCGCGGAACAATATGCTAGGGCAGTCATCCAGTTGATCCAGCATATCGAGAAGGATCGCAAGTACGAAAATATTCCCTGGCTAATTAACACAATGGGTTACAACAAAGGCTTTGGAACTGAACTGATGGCCCTGCTGGTGGACCGCATCCGACCCACGGACTTGATACAGATTACCAGTCCAATACCGATCAACAACTTTGATTCACCTCTTGAACGGAGCAGTCTCTCTCAGTGCAAGCCCATTATTTATACCGCGGATGAATTTCTGGTGAAGGATATTCCAAAATATACGCTCCACAAGCTGATGAGTGCTGTGCCGCCCAAGGAGCGGGGAACATGGAGTTTGAGTGCCAAGGATATGCGGTATTCCAACCTTTTGGCCCGCCTTAGTTCATGTCTCACGGGAAATGCCAAATCATTGGCAGATTGCCAGACCCTTGGAGTGCCTTTAGACGCACTAAAGATCCAGCATCCAACCTGCGGAGATTACACGCGTGAAGAACTGGTCAATGGTATGGAGGCCAATGTGGTGTATCTGTGCCACCAAGAGGGCGATGGCTTGCCGCAGTGTTTGGGAATAGGTGAGCTTATATCCGAATATCTTGGTGAACTGTACTAATTCCTTCTGTACTTTCTTTCAGGAGTTGTTCGCGCCATTGACTACGAAAACCAGCGACTGTTTCTCATTCCAGCAATGCCCCTACAGCGTATGTCCCTTGTGAATAGTCTCATACCCGGCGGAGAACTTACCTTGCCACAGGGATATTTTCGAGATCAGGGTCAAGGAGTTTCTAGCACCGTACCTTTCGTATTCATCCTGGACGATTCCAAGTCCTCGAAGAGCATACAGCAGATCTACCATCGACAACCAGCCTTCCTGGGAGTGCCAGCAAATCAGAGGAACGGAAATTAAGCCGGGTACCGGTACAATCACGCTAGTCGTATTGACATTGTTTTGTAAATAAAGAAAGGTTTATTAAATCAACGAGAGGCTAGTGTGACAGGTCATGGCGGCCCTTTAGTATCCTGCGCATCAGCACCCGCCTTCCCTCGGGCGTGGACATCCTTGTATCCCAGCCGTGGACATTGATTCTCTTAACTTCCTTGGGTTTTGGGAAATGGCAGCGAACTTTCGGCTTTAGCAGCGCCCGGTTGAAGGCGTGCTTCTCACGCACAAGCAGAGTTTGAGCGGTATTAGCTACCGCTAGGCAGGTCCTGTAAGAGGATAAATTAAAAGTTATTCATACATAAAATCCTTGTTTATCCTCGATTTATTTACCTTTGAATCAATCCTTGCAGCATGTTAAGTAATTTCCAACCAGTATGACCAAATGTTTTACTTAAAATGCCACACCACAGAGAACCACTCACTGAACCAGACCATGGAACCATGTTAAGAAAAATACTATATTAAATATTTTATAATTTCGAATAAAATGTCTATTAAATCTTACCCACAGATTTATAAAAATTAGCGTGTTCTTTTCCGATCTCATTCACAAACACTGACTTTATATCGACAGGGGCGCCTCCCACACCCTATCGATGAATAGCCCGCCAGAAAATATTCCTATTGACCATTTAAACAATTGTTTAAAATATAAATGCCCCATGAATGGAATTGACATTCCAAGCATTTTGATAGATGTTTCATCAAAATCCGTTCAGCCGTTCAAGAGAAAACATCACTTTTTCATTTATTTCAATAAATGTTCCTTCGAAGATTAAATATATCTGGCAGCTCTGTCTGCCTAAATTTAAGTCAATTTGATTTTAACTTTAATAAAAAAAAAAATACAGATCATACCATTAACGGGATTGCAATACTGAACAATTTGATCCACGTTTCGTCAAAATCCGTTCAGTCGTTCAAAAGAAATCCCGACTTCTTCATTTATTTCCATTTATGTACCTGTAAATATAAATATATCCGGCAGCCCTGCCTGACTAAAAACAAGAAAACTTGATTTAAGCTTTATGGTTAAACCTATGCAAAAGGAAGAATGTACTATAGACGGCATCGCAGTTCTGAAAATTTTGATCTATGTTTCATCAAAATCCGTTCAGTCGTTAATGAGAAATTCCGACTTTTTCATTTATTGCCGTAAATGTATGCTCATATGTATGTGTGTATGTTCAACGAAGAATATTAAATAAAAGACATGGCTAGATAGATTCGGCTGTTGATGCTGATCAAGAATATATATACTTTATAGGGTCGGAAATAATTTATTCACTGCGTTGCAAATTTCTGACCTGAAATCATATTACAAAGCAAGGGCATTGAAGCACTAGATTTGAGAAGCCAATTTTCGAAATAACATTTAATAGTCTGCCCAATAAATGATATCATTATTCTAAGCAATTTGGTAGGTGTTTCATCGAAATCCGTTCAGTCGTTTTGGAGAAATTAACATTTGAATTACTAATTTATATACTAAGGAGGCATGACTATGCACCCCTGGTACCCAACTGCATTAAATAAAAAGGCGGAATTTCTCATTAACGACTGAACGGATTTTGATGAAACATAGATCAAAATGTTCAAAACTGCGATGCCGTCTATAGGACAGTCTTCCTTTTGCATAAGTTTAACCATAAAGTTTAATTCAAGTTTTCTTGTTTTTAGGCAGGCAGGGCTGCGGGATATACTTTTATTTCGCCGGTACATTAATGGAAATAAATGAAAAATTCGGGTTTTCTTATGAACGCCTGAACGGATTTTGATGAAACATGGATCAAAATGTTCAGAATTGCGATCCCGTCAATGGTACGATCTTTATTTTGCATAAGTTTTTTTATTAAAGTTAAAATCAAATTGACTTAAATTTAGGCAGACAGAGCTGCCAGATATATTTAATCTTCGAAGGAACATTTATTGAAATAAATGAAAAAGTGATGTTTTCTCTTGAACGGCTGAACGGATTTTGATGAAACATCTATCAAAATGCTTGGAATGTCAATTCCATTCATGGGGCATTTATATTTTAAACAATTGTTTAAATGGTCAATAGGAATATTTTCTGGCGGGCTATTCATCGATAGGGTGTGGGAGGCGCCCCTATCGATATGAAGCCATTGTTTGTAAATGAGATCGGAAAAAGAAAACGCTAATTTCTTAAAATCTTTGGGCTAGATTTAATAGAGATTTAATTCGAAATTATAGAATATTTGTCCCTATCGTTTGAGATACCGTGCAAGCTTGCACGCTTTTATTTAAGGGCGTAAGATTTTTGTAAATGTTTTACTTGTGTGGGAGGGGAATAAAATTCCGCCGTGGTATATAGTAAAATAATCTTTCCCTGATTTAGCTGAAAATCGCACCGAATTGTTTTGAATGCCTTTTCCATTTATAGGGCAGTTACTTATCTTAATGTTTTATTCAACAATTTGTCATTATTATTTAATTTATTATTTTTTTTCCTAACATGGTTCCATGGTCTGGTTCAGAGAGTGGTTCTCTGCTGGTTCCCATCTGGTTCCATTTTCATAGTTCGCGCCTTTGCTATCAGCCCAAATACACCACCCACTGTTATTCGATTTTCTCGAAATCTGACGGTTAAAAACAATTGAAATTTTCACCAAATATTCATTAATCTTCCCCTAGTAAGCCTATATACCGTGCACGCGTTCGTAAATCGATGTTATAAGCCTTACAATTTTGGATGCCCTATTTTGTATGGAGCCGACCCCGAGGTTAGATCACTTTTATGTGATTTGCTCAAAAACTGACGGTTTGAACAAATTGAATCTTGGTAGGGTAAAACTAAAGTAAATGAGCTTCATTTTGGCATATCGGGAATTGCTGCACGCGTTTGATAAGCCGAAATTTTAAGAAATCCGTGAAAACACGATTTTTTACATGCTTTTTTAATATATCCAAATGTCAAATACTTTCAAACACAGTAAAAAACAATAGTAAATTCCTTTTTTAGCATTTAGAAACTTTGTTTTATTCGAATTAGTGCATTAATTTCGAAATAAATTTGAAATTAAAGATCCCCTCCATGCTCTATTTTCCCACCGTTCCATTTCGACTCTAACTCATCGAGGGACATAATTTAAAAGCTGCAACATGAGTGAGTTCGAAATTTCGAACTAGTGATGAGCATTGCTAAAAGTGATCTCGGAATAATTACACTCATCTCTAGCACCTTCCAGCGCCAGCAGCTGTGGCGGCCGAAAAGCGGTATATTTTCCGCGTTGGTATATTCCGTCGCCCCAGTTGCGGTCACACTTCTCTGCCAACAACAACTCGTTGCGGTTTTTCGGCTGAGTTTGTTTTCTGCTCCCAATTCCGCTGCAAAAGAAAAAGTGAAAAGCCAGCGAAAAATATGCAGCATGTGAAGCATCGCCAGTTGCATTTATAGTCCAAGCGTTGCAATCGAAGAATAGTCGCGGAAAGCTCGTGCGAAAAGCAGGTGAATGTGTGACGAAAAAAAGTGCTGCAAGTGAAGAGAAACATTGCTGCAGCCAGCAGTTGTTGTGCGTGAGCGTGTGAGTGAGTGAGTAAGTGAGTGTCGCATCTCTGTCGCTCTCTCTGGACGCGATTTCCGTGGCCCAAAGAGATTTCGCCTAAAGGAGATTCCCGAATCCGGAGCAACCGAAATAGCGCAACGAGGTGAGTGCAAACTGCAACTGCAACTGGCAACGGTTGCACAAAAAAGCAACACCAATTAGCCCTGTCTGCCGCGGGACGAAACACTAAAAAAAAAAAACAAAAAAAAAGAGAAGAACGGCAACAAATATACAACAAGAAAATCGATTTTCCTGAACTTACAATTTTCTCCGCCTCACTGGGCTCCACAAATGGGGGAGCCGGCTGCGGCACCATAAAGTATACATAAATTGAATTTCGAAACACGGAAGCGAATGGAGGATGAGCAGGGAAAGGGGGCCATAGAATGGGAGGCTGCACACTGCTGTTGCTGTTGTTTTTGTTCGGTTTGCTGGTGTTGGATGCCGACAATGATGATGATGGAAGTACGTGCATATGTGTGTGGCACCAACGCAAGGGAGATGAAAAAATTGAGGCTACAAATCTGACCAGCAGGACTCCAGTTGTCATGGCCACCGCACTTAACAAATGATTTTAGCGGACACTTTTTCCCGGATGCGTCTGTTGGGCAGCTGCCAGTTTACGCTTGCTCCTTCTCTTCTCTCCACCTTTCTCCCCTGTCTCCCTTTGCAGGCAGCTGACTTCATCTGTCTGCCCCTTTCTATCTTTCTCTTTCTCCCTGTGTGATTGAATCGGTGTGTGTGTGTGTGTGTACTTTGATGACGGCACTTTCCGCCCGCACTGTGATTTTCGGTCTTATACGGTACCAATACACCAGCACAGTGAAACCTGGAATGGAACGGATTATTTCTAGTTATAACTCAATAAGAAGAACCTTTTGGTTGAGAGAATTTGATTTTTGAGAGGCACATATTATAGTTTATATTATCTTCCGAAATGTATTCAAATGATTATTTAAAAAAATAATTATAAATCCATTTAATCGTCTTGTTTCATGGCTAGCGAGTGATCACTGTGGTAAATCCCCGGTATTACCACTCAGTTTTTGGCACTCTTTTGCGGATGCTGCGTACGCAAAAAGGGGACGACGGCTGTTTTAAGAGCTCTAGTGTTTCCTTTTTCGCTTCCGCCTGCACCCCTAAATTATGTGTGTGTGTATGAGGAGGACGAGAGGCCTAGTGTGCGTGAGTGAGGTTTTCCGCGTGCGTGTTTCTCTCTGTAGGAGTGTGTGTGTGTGTTTGGGGCAACAAAATTACTTTTACGAGCGTTTAGCATAGGTTGTCGCTTCCCCCCTGACCACCAGTTAGTTTTATTTTGATGCGTTTTTAATCAGATTGCGTCAATTTGTTGCTGGCCTAACGATGAGGGCGGTAGGTCGGTCGGGCTTGGGGTTGGAGGAAGTCATTATGTGGGGGAGTGAGCAAACGCTGTCCCGGATTGCGTGTCAAGTGCAGAAGAGACCCTTCTTGTGCCCGCTGTTTCACTAATTAAAAAAGAGATGTTGGTTTCTGTTTCGCATCTGGAAGTTGGTGGGTCGTTTGGAAGGAACACCCTATCTTAGTTTCCTCTCCCTACTATTAACCAGTCTAAAATGGAGTAAGTTTTTCTCTTTTTCGAACTTCCAATATCGATCACTTTCCAGTATCCGACAGCCAGTCATTTACGGAGCTTCCACTGGAAGGACTCTACTCCAACATCCATAATCGATAACTTTTCTTTAAGGGAGAATATTTTTGTAGAGTGTAGAACCTTCGTTTCCTGTTCTTCTTTTTTTTCTCTGTTTTCGGTGGCTGTTCTCTTGGCCTGTTCTTCTCCATGGCCCGTTAAAGTACAAAAATACTTGGGCCAGGCCAGGCCAGCCGGAATACGAGTATCTATCTATCTTGGCGGCAGCTGTCCAATTCCAACCCGCCGGCAATGGATCGTTGTTGTGTTGTTGTTGTTGTTGTTGTATATTATGCCGCTGTCGTCTTCATCAACGCCTCTGTGTATGCGTTCGTGTGAGTTAGTGTGGGTAAGTGCGAGTGAGAGGTTTGAACTTTAAGGCATTGCGTTGTGTGTTTGTTTTTAGCATTTGCTTATGCTGTTGTTGTTGTTGTTGTTGTGCTTACTGTAAGCACACACAATTTTACGAAACATCGGCGACAGCAGGCAGAAATACACAAGGCAGACACACAGGGCATCGTCATTATGCATGCAAGAGATCTTTGGAGCGCATTTGATCGCAACTCTTGGCAACTCCGCACATGGCTTCCAACAGCAACAACAACAACAACTGCAACTCCAACGCCACCGCCGCCATTTGGCCAACATGGCGGATGCCTGATGCCTGTCCCCCCACCAGTTTTTGTTGTGCCCGGCCCTTCCTTGCTCCCAAGTCTCCAAACGTCTTCCAGTCTACATGTCCGCGCGAGTATCAAGTATTATTACCAGACGTCGTTGGCCCCACGCAAAAATATTTTTGCTGTGACTCCACAAAACTCGCTGCACTGCAAATAAAGTCTTACTCAAATCATGGATACACTTGAACACCTTAAATATAAAGTTATCTTGGTTAAACTTTTATAATTTGACTTAAGTTTTTGTGATTTTTGGATTCCTGATCTTAGAATTAGGTTATATTGTAATATATAATTGATTTTATATGATTTTGTATGAGTTTATTTAAAATCCAATAAGCTTAAGTGTGAAAGATTTTTTTCTACAGAAAATATTCTTATGATACATCACTTCAACACTTCCTATTAAACCTTTTCCGGTATTACCTTTTATTACAAGTTGTTTCGTTTTTAAAGTACATGTAAAATAGCATACATGCTTTATAGTTTCCTCTCCATAACTTTATTTTCGACTTAAAAGGTCAAAAGTGGCTTAGCGTTAATTGCCCTTGAGAAAAGTAGATTTTTCAAGTCACTCTAACCAAAGTACTTGATACTGACAAACCAAAAAGCGTAAAACTATTGGTAAAACAATTTGGATATCTTCTAAGAATGAATTTTCTTTGAATTAGTTATGTAGATATGACAAAATATTAGTTATTCGACTTTTTTCACAGTGTGGTGCAGTATACTGGGTCGCAGAGCATTGCCCCGTACCACCATCGGCTTCTCCTTGCTCCTCTCCACTCAGCATGCATTAAGTTCTGGGAACTTCTCGAGTTTCGCTGAAGCGATAATTGCCACGTGATTTCTAATCAAATTACATTAAGGCCACAATTACTCTGACTTTGTTCGCATTTAGTTGTTATCCAATTTAGGCTTCGTTTTGTCATGGTTTGTTTTGTCTTAATTGGAAATCGGATTGCAACCCACTTCAATTATGCATATCACCAAATTGGTCTTCATCATCATTGGCGTCGTCGTCGTCGTCATACCCTAATTACAACCAATTAAACTCTATGAATAACCGATATATATGGGCGCATCTGTGTCAGCGAGTGCAGCCGCCATGGCAACCCCCTTTTGCTCTGATTCTGTTGGTTTTTTTTTTTGGGTTTATTGTCCCCCAGTGCATCCACACACGTAGCTGGGATTTCGGATCGGCTTAACACCTTTTTTGGCGCTTTCCCAGCGCTTACCACGGCTGATTGGGCTCTTGGGCAATGTGCCGGAAATTGGGTTACACCTCAGCTACCTCAGTCGCGGGCTACCTTCTTTTTATACTGGCTTATCTGATATGCATATCACCCAACTGACTTAACCGTAACTGTTATCATATCTCAATTTTTTATTTTTTTTGGAAGGGACCGTAACATTATCTGTGAAAGCCATGCTAATGCTTGCCATGTGTCGCACTTTCCAGCTCATTCTTCAGCTCGTTTATTGTGTACACAGAAGAAACGTCAAAAGAAGACTGGAAAATAAAGTCATAAGATCCCAGAGATATGACATCACTAGGGCATTTCGAAATTGTAAACATTTCAGTGGCTTTATTATTTATATTTTGCACGTTGAAGGCACAAATAACTTAAAGATCAAGTAATAAATTCATTTAGATAAACAATTCTGTGAAATGTCTATATTTTTGAACCTATATATCTATAATAAAGATCCTAACTATGTATATCTAAACACTATTGTATAATTTCTTCAATAGTGTAACGAACTAGTAAATAAATCAGGATATATATAAAGCCTTTCTTTAACGAGCAGCTCCCAAATACTTTTGTTTGCCTATAAATTCAAAGAATCAACAAACAACTTTTGGAAAATGTTTTTCCAAATTCGTTTTTCATCTCATTTGGTTTTCCCCCCACAGTTTTTGTTACAAGTTTTTTTTTTGTTTTTGCTGAAGTCATTATAAAATTGTTTTTTTCTTATTTTTTATTTTTGAAAGCCAGAATGCGACACGCCTTTCGTGACCAGCCCAAATATCCCATTGCCCGGCCCCAAAAAAAACTCAAAGCTGATGCGTGGCGTTGATTGAGGAGAGTCGAGAGTCTTTTGGGCTATTTTTGGTAATTGCATGGCCTGCTTTTCCACTGTATAGAGTTTTGTTTTTCCGACCCCTTCCTTCCTTTCCAGTTCACTGACTATGCGTGCAACAAAGCATATTTCAATAAGACTATTTCCAACGACAAGATATTGTGGGTCAAACGCGAGCATATGTACATAAAATTCATACTCATAGAGTGTGTATAACAATTTTTCAATCGTCCAGCATCGTAAACAAAATACAAGCGGCAAACAATCCATTAGTCCAGGGCTGGCCTTCCCATCCCCAAAGACTTCGTCGTCGTCGTCGTCGCTTCCATCGTTGGAATTGTGCGCCCAGTGCGGCGAATCAAATTAATTAAAGCTGCCCCGAAAAGGGGGTTCCCAGTGGGGCGCAGTGTCGGCGAAGTAGAAGGGGTGGTTGAACTGCTGGCAAAAGAAAGCACACGGAAGACCAAAGAGAGCAAGTAAGATATATGGAGCCCCGGCATATGGAACAATTGTGGTTTATTATTTCTGAAGAAAAACCAACCGAATTAATACGTGAAAAGATGAAAAACAACATTGAAAGCTAATTGAAGATGAAATACTCTTATTGTTCCAGAAAGAGAGAGAGAGCAGCATCAAAACATATAGAAAAAGTTCAAACTAGAAGAAGCTGGCTTGTGATTTGAGTCATCTGCGGTTCAACATACAAGTGATATGATCTATAAAAAGAGTTCTCAGAAATGTACGGACCATGAAAGATTTATTTGTAGTCTGGCTTCATGACAAACTGATTTATTAGATGGTTGAAGGAGTTCTCTAAAGATCATTTATTATAGTAGATAGTGAGAGTTATGAATTACTTTGACTCTTGCTTAAAGTATTACTTAAATATATATCTTTAATATTTCTTATTATATTATTCTACTTTGTAAAGGTAGTTAAATAACCCAAAAGATACTAGTTTTGACCCATTTATGGGTTCGGAAATAGACCTGTTCTTATCTTATCTTGATTGGGATTATTACCATAGGTTGTTAGTTCTTTCAATTCCAAAAGATTGTTTATAAAGTGACTAGCAAACTAGCAAACTGGCAAAGTTAATGTATCCGCAAACATTTTGCATTCGAATCACGCCTCTCAGCTTCGAAGAGTTCTTGTTCGGCTTCAGTGCCAAAAAAAAAAATGAAGTTTGAGTCGGCAAATAAATACATGCAAGTCAGATATACATATATGTATATATTCCCGTATATCTCTGGCCAAGTCTGGGTGCAGTGAAAATGAAAATAAATTTGTTTATGCGGTCGCTGCATTCTGCGATGAAAGAATTTCTTTGTTGCAACTGCCGCCAGTGCAGAATCAACATCTTTTGTGTCACGTCGTCGGGAAATGGAAAACAGAAAACGGAGGAGATGAAGCTGGTGTGTTGTGTTGTGTGTTGTGTGTTGTTCTGTGTGTGTGTGTGTGTGTTAACCAAGGCTAATTGAACTGAACCGAGCTGGGGCAACCTCTGAGATAATTAATTGCCCGCGGTTAGAGGCAAAATAAGTGCCGGAGAGATAGGAGGAAGGCACCGCAAAGTGCCGGGCTCTAAAAGTAGGCCTCTCTCTAATCACATTAATACCAAACAGCAACGACTGGGTCTGGGTCTGCTACAGGCGATATATAAAGGCGGCCCACTTGAAAAGCCCTCAATGCGTGGGCGAAGTATCGTGACACTGGAAGAAAGGGTTTTCCTACCACTGAATATATTATAGAGATGGAATACACAGAAAGCTTTAGGCCTGGTTTATTGTTAAATCTTGGAACCCCTACAAGATGTTTCTTTAATCAAAAATGGTAATTTTAGTTTACGATATAGGAAACTCTTTTACAGTCTTTTGGAAACCCTTTTGCTTTACTTAAGTATAACTATTATTTATCCTTAAATCCCTTTATACTTAAACTCTTTGAATATTGTTTATATTGCATAGTTATAGTATACAATTGATACTTTATCGCCCTTGTTCAATTATGTTTTATGATGTACATTTCAAGATTGAAACAATCTTGATTTATGACCTAATGCTGAATGCTAAGCAAGATAAGGCTTTATTAATAATATTCCATTTCCTACAAATTGTTTGATTTGGTTTCGCTCAGTGCAGCTTAACCACTAAGCTCATCATCGTCATTCCATACTCCTCATCATGATGGCGGTTTACTATATTGTTCTTGTACCTTTATTAGTTTGCCTTTGTGTCGGCTCAATTTATGAGCTGACCCTCAACCCCAACGGAGAATCACCAGCTATGGCTCCACAGCTCCATGACTCCATGAAACCATGAAACCAGCTGTGGTGTGGTGGTCCCAGCTCTTATCTGAACCGATGCATTCAGAAACTGAAGAGAAAAACTTGTTTCTGTGCTTCAAGTTATGTTCTCTCATTTCTCCGGCACCCACTGGACCCCGCATCCATCTCTTTGGTGTGTGTGTGTGTGTGTATTTTTGCATTTGGCGCAATGCTAATTCATTTGCATAGCCAACAAATACGCAACGTAGGAGACAAACACACAACTGGCCCGACCCGAGCCTCATTCTCATTCATGCCAAAGAGCAAGGAAAAAGGAAGGGGTACTCCGGCGGAGTGTGAGGTGTTCATGGGGGTATAACGAACGACTGATGGCCCCGGCATGCTTGGCTGCATTTTAAGTTCATATACGATGGCACATATCGGTGGCATATTGGGTCTCCGGCCGGCACCTCCTTTTCCCATTTCTCATTTGCTATTCCAGCTGGGTCTCCACGGAGACGACGGAGGTCTTCAATTAAATTTAACTAGAAAGCAGGCTGCAAATAAATAAATACAAATACTGACACTGTCGCTGGGCGTTGGAAAAACAAATGATATTTTAGTTGCGCATGCATAAGCAATTATATTTTCCATTATTTATGACATTCAATAACTTGTGTCCTCTGTGATGGAATTTCTACAGCAGAAGGCATTCCTTTGATATCGATTTCCAGCGATGGACTCGGTTGCTTTGTTGCACATTTAATGTCTCAATTAAAGGCATTCCCCATGCACATTTCATTTCCCTCTGCACATTTTATGCCGTTTTCTTTATTGCAAGTCACAAATGTTAACCCCATTCGGGAATGCTGCAACTTGTGTGCTCCAATTTCAGTGTCCGTCCCCACAAAACATTGGGGGTTCTCCGGCTCATTTGACCGGAGTAGAAGGAGGAGGAGGAGGAGGATGACAAGGGTTCCCGATGTTCAGGCGATAATGCCTGCGTTGAATGATTATCGGAGGAGTTATTTGGGGAGTGGCTGAAAGCTATAAATAGCCGAAGCGATGATAAGCCTGTTCGAGCTGCGGAAAATGGAAACGAACGGAAAATGGGGATGCCATAATGCCCAATGAGGGATTAACAAATTTATGGGAATTTATTCTGTGAAGTGGGACCGAGATGAAAGGGGAAAAGACACTAATTCTGATTCAAAATCGATGTTCAATTCCCAGTTCTCAACGGAGTGCATTGTTCAGCTGAGTAATTGAATGGGGCAATGGGGCATAGGGAAAGGCGCTCTAATTGCTCCATTATTAATTCAAAAGATCATTCAAATAACCAAGCAATTAAGCTCAAAATTAGACTGAATAATTCATAATCAAATGGCAATTGTCTCCCCAAGTTTTCTCTTCGCATTTATCAGCATTAATTAAGTGCCCCTTTTCGGCTTGGACTTTCCCAATTTCTTCGTCAAAGTCTCTCTTTTCCAATTACCAAAAAAAGATCATGTGCCTCACGTTAATCAAGCGTTAATTTTCCCCCCAAATACAGGAAAAACAACAAACACTTGACAGTTGTTTATGTTAATTACTGGAGGAAAAGTTGCAGTAACATAAACACAAAAATGTTCGAAGTTTGAAGCTCACAGCTCGCAGCTCAAATTGGGGTTTGGGTCACCGAACCCAGGCGGCAATTAATTAGCATAGGCCATATCATCATGGCACCCAGCTGCATTGCTCCTCCCTCCTCCGGGGACCTTGTGCCATAAAATATGTTTAATAATATTCCCACAATTTCCACTACTTGCAGATGTTGGTGAAGGCGATGACTACGATGACTACGATGGCGCTGCTAACGAAGCAGATGATGTAAACGCTGAAAACGCTGCCACAGCCATATCCCCTTTCTCTTCTCTATCTCAACTCTTGGTCACTCTCCAAAAAAGAAAAAAGAAAATTAAACCGAAACGAAAGCGAAAACGAAAACCCAGGAGGAAAACTCAACTCGAGAAGCGAGAAACCAAAGCCCACGACTGACGCATTGGATTTCGTTTCGACTGAAATCGAAACTTCATTCTTTTGGACACCAAACTGACACATATCGGGCAACGTTCGTATCGTATCGAACATGAGATTGCCACGGTGCCTATCGGTGCTCCTGCTCCTGGCCATTGCAGTACACTTGGTGCTCGCCGAGCGGGACTTCAATGTGAACGACTCCCAGGTGAGTGTAGCATTGGTAATTGGAGCATTCTCCCGCCGATCAGATTGCTCTGTCTCCCAGTTTGGGTCAGCGTCAACGTCTCCTCCCTGGCGACTGGTAATTGTGATTGATGATGCATGGAATTTTTCATTTGAATTATACAGTCGCCGGTCGTAAGAAAGATTAGATTGCCTGCCACGATAAGTTAATGCTTCGCCCAGCAGTCATGATTTTCCTAAAAGTCTATTTTTATTTTTGCATTGTATTCTAAAAGGAATCTTCGGGCCAAATTGTTTTCAAGTACATAAATAGACGTAATAAAACGCTGTTCGATATGGCATCAATACATTTGTGTTGTCTGAACAGCAGGTTTATTCTGAAAATTTATTTATAATATAAAATGATATATAAACCGGAAAATGTAGCCTGTTTTAAAAGCATACTAGAAACATAGCAGCCATCTAGCTTCTATTTATAGATTAACTTATCTAGGAATTAAAATTTGTATTAAAAACCCTTCGTTTCAGGTTCCTGTCATTGAGCCCAAGGATGTGCCCGCCTACAAGCAGGATCCCTATGTCACGGAATTAATGAGCTGCCAAAATACACACAGCGAGATCGTGCTTTCGTTGCTGTTAAAGAAGCACGACTGGAGCGAGCTGACGGCCACCAAGCGAGCCCATGTCCAGGCCAAGTTGGCCAAGTTCTTTGCCATTCCAAAGGTAAACCTGAAGAGTCTCTTTCTAAGTCATAGAAAATGCTTAAAAATGTTCTCTGTTTAGGAATTCATTTCCCTGGATTCGGTGTCGAAGCGTGAGTTGAAGATCATGCACAAGTTGGCCATGCGAAAGGGAGGCAAGGGTAACAAGAATATTGAGACTCTAAATCGCCGCCTAGGACGCGCCAGTTTCATGGTTTGTATTTACTTTTTTCCTTCTTCTAATCACATTACTTTAATTAGCATATATTTTTCATTGCAGATCGGCTGTGGTCCCAGTTATTTTGTGATGGGTGAACCGATTGCCAAGCAGATTGCCCACCAGGTGAAGGACGGCACCATTGGAGCTCTGACAGAGGAGAACTTTGGCCTTTGGTTCATTTGGCGCAAGGAATTGAAGTCGCGGTGAGGGACAGAACAAGACTAGATTAAGGGGGATTACTTTTAAGATATCTTTTAATTTATATTAAAATTTTAATTGAATTGTTTAATTTATTTTGTTATCGATAAGAGCATTTCCTTTAACGTATAGATAAATATTTATTAATATACTCTTAAGAATGCAATGAACTGTTAACAACTCCCTTGAGCATATCGATAACGCCAATCGTTCTTTCAACTTCCAGATCAAACCGTAAACGACGCCAGTCTGAGGGCTCCGGTGCTGACGAGGATGACTATGACTACGGGGATGACGAAGAGGAAGTTTCGTAAGTTTCACTCACCTAAATGTGTCACAGAATTGTGATTAAGGATGATAGAAAATATTGTTATATCGATACCCTGTCTATATTTGTTACAAAAGTCAATATTTTAATATTTTATAAGAAAAGAGATAATTTAAATAAGATTTTTCGGACATTCTTATTTAATATCAATGTCTAAACATTAAATGAGTTATTTTGCATTACCTATAAGATCGATACAACAATGTTTAAGCTATTTTCCATAAGATATTGAGTGATATATTTCAGCCCATATATTATATCTGGGTTTCCCTCTTATTTTACCTTCTGATCTGATCACTAATACTTGTTATTTCTTTTTTTTTGTAGAGAGCCCAGTACGGAAGTGCCGGCGGTGACCACGCATGCGCATCGGCATCATCATGGAGCGGTGAGTGTTGAGTCCCAGACTTTATATATTCCCATTCCGTTATTCCACCATATATATATATATTTGTTTCGGTTCTTCTCTGGGTGTTTTCTTTATCTGATACATACGTTTAAATGAGAATACCTGCGGTTCATACTTGTTGGTTAACCACACATGCTGACATATGTATGTATTACCTGTGTGTGGATCTGTATGGATCGCGTCTAGAGATGCGTTATCGTTTTTTTGATTTCCGGAAAGGCCTTTGGTTCTCTGTTTGTTTACTGCACTTTGTTAATAACCGCAAATTGGATATTATACCATATGTAACATTCAACAACAACAACAACAGCACACCACACATGCATTTAAATGAAACACACACAACCCCATCTACACAACAATATATAACTATAATTCATCATACGGTGTTTACGTATTTTCTCTTCTCTTTTTGCTATCTTCCCTCCGTTCTCTCACACACCCTTGTCTGTGTATATTGATCACTTGATCGACCGATCGATCGATCTAATTGTGTTCTAATGTTTAATATGTAAACCCACCACCCACCATCGAAATCGCCTCGAAAACTAACCGAAAAACTCGACTCACTAACTAACCTAAAAGTCGGAGGTGTCGCCAGAGTCTGTCCCCTCGTCGGCCATGCCCTTGGTGCCGAATGTCCAGGAGGAGATCGAGGAGAGCGTGTCCAAGCTGGAGTCCGTGATCAGCAAGACGATTGAGAATACGAAGAATATCAAGGAGCTGCCCGTTCTGGGCGTAGCCGAGGATGGTGACGACGAGGAGGATGTCGAACTGCAGCAGTTGGTCGTTCCGCTGGCAGTGGAGATACCACAGGAGGAGACCACCAGCAAGACAGCCACGACAACGACGGAGATGGTAAAGCCCAGTTACTTGGAGGAGAATGCAATTCAGGTGGACTCGGCCATCGATGTGGAGGAGGAGGCCTTGCCTCCCACGCTGGCGCCATCGGTGCCGGCCTCTGAAACAGAACATAAGCAGCAGCCATTCTCGCCCTATGATGCCACCTCTTCGGTGTCGTCGTCGTCGTCTTCGTCAGCTGGCGAGGCTTCGTCCTCGGTGCCATCGTTCCCTCATACCTCCTCCTCCGCCTCGCCCACATCCACGCCCACAGAGCTAGACAGCCAAACAACCTCCTCCTCTGCTGCTGCTGTATCATCATCAACTCCATCTCCATCTCCATATCCATCCGACCCAGCATCATCCTCATCCTCATCCACATCCCAAGCCACTCAACCAACAACAACAACTACATCAACAAGCACAACAGCAACAATCTCAACTACAACATCAGCAACATCAACAGCAACAACAACCACGACACTGTCTGAATCGCCAAAGGTAATGATGTCGCTTCTGTGTGTGTGAGTGTACGAACGAGTGTCCTTCCGCCTCTCTGTCTCTCTCTCTCTCTCTCTCTGTGTGTGTGTGTGTCCCTCGTACCGTGTCCTTGTCTCCTGTCTGTCGTTGTCACATGTAAAAACGTTGTCTCACCTCAGGAGTTAGCTTTAGCTTTATATCTCCAACTCTGTATATATATATAAGTATTTTTTATATTGATATTGTGTTTTATTGGCTTTTGTCCTGTGTAAATGTAGCAACTCGTAAAAAGCCAGCAGGACTCCACAGAATGTTTGTAAGAGACTTTTAGTGGAGTTGAAGCCATAAATGTTAGATAAATAGTTGTAAAGATAAGTGTACATACATCTAGTTTTTATAAAAAGGATGCTTAAGGATGTCAGCAAACCTTTTTTGTGATATCCTGAGTGTAGAAGACTGTAGACTTGAAGAGTTAACTTTAGATATAAATGTAACAAAAACGTACTTGTAACTTGTAGAAAGGAGTGAAGGATAGAGTAGCTCAGGGACTCAGTTGCCCGCTTTCCACCCATTCCTCTTTCCTCTTACAAAAAGAAAAACAAAAAAAGCACCCACTTATTTCTGTTACCCAAATTAAACACGAAAAGCAGCCTAATACAATGCTTAACGAGCTCGAGCTGAGCACCCTCCTGCCCTTCGAGGATTTGGAGGCAGCCACGCCAATTGCGAATGCAACTGCCACTGCAGTCACAGTAGAAGGAGCAGCAGCAGCAGCAGCATCAGCAACAGCAACAGCCGCCACATCAGCAGCAGAAGTCACAAGCGAAAGCGAGTTTCATGTAGATTCCACCACGCACCGCACGATTAGCTCGAAGGTGAAATCTCGCTAAGCGCTAGACGCAATGTTTAAGCCCTACTAGATTTGCACCTCTGTCCAAAAACCGAAACCGAAAACCAAGAAACCCCCCCGAAATCTCCGGCTCCGATTATCTCACCGATTATCCCCGAATCCAATTAGGGGAAATTGCTTTCCAGCCAAATGCACTTAGCATGTACATAAGGGCAGGCAATTAGCGAGCCAGTGCTCCTCCTGCATGAGGTCCTTTTGGTAATTGCATGTCCACTCTCTCTCTCTCTCGTATTGTATCCGTATTTGTTGTTGTACTAACACTAACACTGTAACAACACCCACTCTCTCTGCCTGCCTCTCCTTCTTAGCCGATGACTTTGCAGCATGACACTTAGCCAGAGCCATCTTTCCCCAATTAGCCATCTCATTGTTAATGATTTCCCTGTAATTCCCAGGACGGAGAACCCGATGCCATCAGCAACAGTAGCGGCAGCAGCAGCAGCAACATGAGCGCCGGTTTGGCCAATAACGAGGTAACCAAAGCCTTATTTCCCCGGCAACACTCGAATCTCTTACTAATAGCATTAAAATCTCTTCCGTACCAGATGTCCACGGCGGCCACGCCCTCGTCCTCGGTGGCCACGACTACAGCGGCCACACCGGACTCGAGCAGCAGCAGCACCTTCATCTCCCCGGACTACATGGAACCACAGCCGGAGGAGAATAGTCCGCCGATTATTAAGACGCGCCTGCAGAAGCTGGCGGTGACCTCGGGCAAGGCTTTCACTTTCCACGTGCTCCCTGATACGTTCGTCGATGCCGAGGACCAGGGCAATTTGCGACTGGCACTTACGGACAAGGATGGCCATGAACTGAAGGCCAGCTCCTGGCTGCAGTTCAACGCGGATAAAAGGGAGCTGTACGGCCTGTAAGTAGATGGAATTGCTTTCAGTCTGTGGCTTATGTCTCACTGATCCAACTCTCCTTTGCCAGGCCCCTGGACGATGCGGTTTCCCGTTGGCAGTACCGGCTTTCGGCCACGGATTCCGGCAACGCCAGCGTCACCGAGACGGTGGAGATCAGTGTGCAGCAGCATCGGGCGGTTAGGACGATTAATCACGAGATTAGCATTGCGGTGAGGATAAACGAGAAACTCCATGGCCACAACATCGACTGGCAGATGAAGCTGATCAATGCCGTGGCCAGGACACTGGATGACTCCAGCAACGCGGCGATAGTGGTGCGAGAAGTCCGTCAGACAGCGCAGGATCCGCATAGCGCCGTCTTTGTGTACTTCAATGAGACGCTGCCGACCAGCGAGTGTCCCGAAAAGGAACTGCACGACATTATTGCCAGGCTAGATGCCCAGCGATTGAGTGACTTGGTAGAGCCAACCCTGGGCATCAAGTCCATAACCGGACAGCTGATTGGATCCTGCCAGAAGGACCTGACCCGTGTGAAGCCCACCCAGCACATGGCCAAGAATGTGCCGCCGATGCCGCGCAACCAAGTGGATCGTGTCAATGCCAGCGTAGGCCAGCTACTGGTCTTCAAGGTGCCGGCGGATACTTTTACGATGCCAACGACAATCAACTGACGCTCACGCTGAAGACCAAGGACCACAAGGAGCTGGGTACCCGGCACTGGCTGCAGTTTGACTCAAAGAATGAGGAGTTCTTCGGAATTCCCAAGGGCGGTGACATCGGCTCCGAGGAGTATCTGCTGGTGGCCGAGGATAGTGGTGGCCTGAGCGCTCACGATGCTCTCGTTGTGGTGGTCAATCATGCGCCCAAGAAGGAGTTCGCGGGCTACTTCAAGGCCTATCTGGCCATTAGGCACGAGAACTTCAACGCCGAGCTGCAGCGCAAGTTTGTGGAGCGTGTGGCGAAGCTGCATGGCGATGCCAACACCAATCAGATCCAGATCCGATCCATCAACATGCACCACGACTCGGATGGCACTATTGTGAACTTCTACAATACATCGCTGTACAAGTCACACAACCGGTGTCCCGAGAAGGAGCTGATAGCCACCAGGAGCGTTTACCTGAATAGCGATATGAGCTTGAAGGAGGGCGTGAAACGGGCATTGGGTCCTGAGTTGAATTTAACCAACTTTTCGGCGGTGCCCGGCACCAACTGCCATCGTAAGGATTATATATTTAGGCTTGCCTTTAAGGAATTATTTTAAAACTAGTCACTTTCTTTCAGATCCTGAGATAATAGACATCCACCATAATGACTATGTGCCATCTCGCCCCGAGGAGCCTAGCTCAAAGTCCACATTTAGCGAGGAATACATGGCCAACATTGTGCTGCCTGCTGTAATTATTATCGTAATGATTATAGTGGCCTCCATCATTGCCTGCTGCCTGCACAGGCGTCGCCACAAGAGTGGCAAAATGGAGCTGGGTAAGTCTGAAAGATCGAAACTTTACTTAAGTCAGACTCATGTGTCTCTCGATTGGATTTCTAGGTGATGAAGAAGAGCGCAAATCCTTCCGTGCCAAGGGCATACCCGTCATCTTCCAGGACGAGTACGAGGAGAAGCCCGAGATCGGCAACAAGAGTCCCGTCATACTCAAAGACGAGAAGCCGCCGCTGCTGCCACCGTCCTATAATACCTCAAACATGAATGGTGAGAATCTACTAGACGGAAAAATCTATATTTTTAATCAAATTAATATAGTTTTTAGTTATTTATTATTTAAGAGTCACAAGTTTTAAACAAATTCCTTTTAAACAACCGAGTTTATTATTAATTTCGACGTTAAAAATGCGATTTTATTCCTTAAACCTTTCGCCATATTTCTCGAAAGACTTAACCCCGTATATTTATTTTCCAGGCGACAACGATGTGGACGATTATGTGCCACCGCCATCTGTTGTCGTGGGCGGTCGGGAGGTGCGAGGGAAGTCACCGGCCACGCCCTCCTACCGCAAGCCACCGCCATATGTGTCGCCATAAATATACTTCAGTGTCAAGTAGAGGAGCAATGAGCAGAGGGAACGAGAAGAAACAGCAACAATAATAACAATCGCATCGTATTAACCACACAACAATCTATATATAGATATATACATACATATATATATATATATATATTTAACCGATTCGGCACAAGTTATATGCAACTAAGCAAACTCTTTTGTATATATCCAAGTGCAAATTGGTTTCTTTGGACATTGTATTCGAATTGAATAGGGGCGCAAAAAGCGAGAGAGCCCCCAGCCGAGAAGTATTCGCCAAGTCGATGGAGTATGGAGTTTTTTTGGTGACGAGGTTTTTGTATTATGAGAGAAACAATCAATTAACAAACACACACCTAAGCTTAACCGAGAATCACTAAACACACAACAAGACGATGATGAACTATGCTGCATATTATTTATTTAGTATGTACTCTTAATTTATATATATATATGTGTATACCACGCGAGAACACACTGACCACACACATCAAGGAGAGGAGTTTATTAGACAAGCAATTAGTGGCTTGAAAAACACACAAAACACAAACACACACACACACGAGCCCATTTAAAACATAGCATTTAAAACTATTTGTACTAATTAAGTTAATAGAGAGAGAGATAAAGGAATGTCCTTTGTCCGAATTTTAGTGCTTGCCGGACTTTCTGCTTAATTTGCTTAAGCTGAATTGTTTGCATTGTTTATATTACATCAAAAATGTTAAGGAAATTTTCTAACAAAAGCATCGCTTGGGACCGCCGAGTCAAGGCTTTGTACTTGCTGCTGGTTGGCTTCCCACTCGTTTGGGTATTTTAGCTTATTTTTTTCGAGGGACAAAGGACAGGCCCAGGAGCTTTGATTATTTTTAGTTACTAAGAAGCAATCAAACCCACAATAGAGCTGCCAATAGTCTAGTTAGCCCGTTTGAATACGACAAATCAATTCCTAATTGCCCACAAGTGCTTCCCACAGAGTAAACAAACAAACCAACAAACAAGACCATATCCACCAAACACAACACAACACAACACTTACATACACAAATATTTATACGAAAAAATGGATTACTTAAAGTAGAGACTTAGTTTTTAATGATTTTTACACACTCCCTTTGGATTATTCTATATGAAATTTTTACCAATACCATTAGTTTATAGCTGCTAGTTGTAGGTCGGTACTTACTACACTTCACTACTACACCCGTCCCTGGCCCTAACCCTTGAAGTAAACTTAGTGAGTTGATTTTATACGATCGATAATGTGTGTGTAGCAAGTCCAGGCCCAAAAACAAATATATACAAATGAGCAATAATTGCCGATGGAGAATTACTGAAGAATTACTTTACGCAAATGGCCGAAAATGCAAGGCCAATTTTTACGTAATTGCCTATTAAACTAAGTATAATTAACTAATTTGTGTAATTTGCATTAAGCTCAACCGCTGAATTATTTACATTTTGTACTTTGTAATAGCGCAAATCAGCAAAAAAAACAACAGCAATAACATCAAACAGAAAAACAACAGCAACAACAACAACGGTATCAATTTATTTTGAATAAAAAAATGCCAAAGATACGGAATTTTTGTTTTATTTTGTTCTATTTATTGCCACCGCACACCACTCATTTACGCACCACACCACACACACACACACCACACACAAACACAGCATAAGTAAGTAAATGAGCTGAAATAAAATAAAAATGGAATTTCAACTAAGCACAAAAACACAAGCAAATAAAATTAAATAATTGTGCGCGTGCGAGTTGCACATTTAATTAATTAATATATTCATGAAAAAAATAAGCGAAACTACTGTATATTTAAATGCAAATATGCATAAACATGCATATATTCCAGTGCATGCCTATTATTATTGTAAATGCAAATCTGTTTGCCATTTTGATTGGCTTCAATTGACCGACACACACACACACACACACGGCTACAATAATTATAATAATTATTGAGAATAACTAAACGTGAACATATATATATATATAGCTATATATCCGTATAGGATGTATGCATGTACGGGATTCTAATAAACATTTATATATATTTTGATACAAAAACAAAAAAAAGGAGAACAGCAACAGATGAGTTTCATTTTTAATTGCTTGTGTTGTGTGGCCCTTCTCGACTTCCACGTTCCATTAGGGTATATAATTTGGGAAAAAATTCAATTTATGGAAATTCCTTAACAAATTATGGAATCAAAGGGAGTCCCTGGCAAGGCGGGGCGAAGCGGGAAAGCGGCGATGGGGGGCGGAAAAAAAAGTCAAATCAAAAGCATTGCCATAATGAAGTAATACAAATTTGTTTTTCTTGTCGCTCTTTGCCGCCTAATAAAGACATCCGGGCCCCCCGCCCGCCCGCTGTTTTCCCCCCCCCATCCAACCAAGCTATTGATTCCCGTTACTTTGACAACCAATACACGCCGGATGCTGGCACACACACACACACACAAACACACATACACATGCGAAAGCACATATTTGCTTGGCTTCGTTGAAGCCAGCGGAATATTGTCATGTCATGTGTGTGTTTGTACGGATGCACTGAGAGAAAATTAACTTAAACTTGGGTTATATTTGATAGAGGTAAAGTCAGGGGAGTCCTTGTACAGTACCGAAAAGCAGGAAGACAGCTGAAGCTCTTAGCAGGACTTATATCAAGCTCTCTCTTTAGTTTACAAGTTATATTTCCAATTAATTTTCTAATTTCTTTTATTTGATATTGTTTAATTTATTGAAGATAAAAAACAAGGGTTAGCTAACAGAGTTCAGTGAAAATAATAAAAAATTTAAAATATAAACAAACTTTTAAAATGATTAGAAGGCGTTAGCCGATGCTTAAGGTTTCTAAATTTCTAAATTGAAAGATTTCCAAACACGTACAGCACCAAGAGGCCTTGTCTCTTTATTTAAGACAGAAAGCCCCATAATTCTTGAAAATATTCTCTGATTGAGGTTTTCTCTAAGCCAAGTTATTTAAATCCTGAGGTGGCATCAAGAATGCTCATTTTCAAAGAACTAAATAACGAACACTTTTCTCAATAACAATTCCTATTACAATGAAAGAAGAAAACAAATCCAAGATGTTGTTCTCGATGTAAGGACATATTGTCAAGGTGGCATTTGGTATTGTTGTTTTTGCCCCTTACGGTTATTGTTATTATTATGTAATGCAGTCATTTAATTGGTAACAAATTGTATTGTTTGGCTTGGCCTGGAAGGGCCAACGCAACGACAGTTCTGGCTTGTTTCGTGTTGTGCGCTTTTACGACTTTCCTAGGTAACGTAAATAGCAGCATCTCTTGCTCCACGTGTGTTTGTGTGCTTTTTATATAGCTTTAATGCCACCCCCACAGGATACACTCACACCTGGTCGCGGCATGGAAAACAAAGGACTTTTGCTGGTACCTGGCGTATGTGAGTTTGGGTTTTTAAACTTTCGCCTGCTGGCTGTGCCTCTGGAAATGCAAAAGCATAATACGCTTATATGAGTTGTAATTAAAAAGTCAAACCAGGGAAATAACAACTTGTATGCTTAATAAATGCAACATAACTAGTTTAGTTTAATTTTTGCAAAAACATTACATATTATTATATTTTGTCTGGTTGCGGGGAAAACTAATGCTTGGGGGGTACTTCTTTTTATACAAAAATAGTATTTTAGCCATGAATGCACAGACGTCCAGGCTTAGAGAGTCTAAAAGAACACATTTTTAGCTGGCCAACAAGGCGGATGAGTAATATTTGCTTATTAAGCTGTCCCACAAGGCGGATGAGTAATATTTTCTATTATTTATACTTTAATAAGCTGACATTTTGTGTTACATTTAAAGCTAACATTACTTTTGTATACATTTTCTATTATTTATAATTTAGTATGTTTAAATTTAGCTTAGTTTCCCTTTAATATTGTTCTCTTAATCCATTGGTTTTCGTTGAACGACTGAATTAATGAATCTATTTAAATTCGAAATACAAATGATGCCATGTCACATGTCTGTAATTACACAATTCGATTGCATAACTAGATTCGGTTTCATTTGCTGGAATTCACTATCCCTTTGGGGGGGAGGAGGTGCTTTTGGGTGGCAGGATTTTATCATTCACCGAACGAACAGCTGCTGAGTCCTTTTTTCTTTGCAAACGGGCGTTGCCATAACGCTCATTATCGCCAACTCTGTCATCGCTGACAGGCAAGCCGCCTTTGGTCCGAAGTTGCGACACTGGCCATAATCACTTTCGGCCTTACCCACTTTGGCCTTTTTGCGTTTTAAGTTACCAAACAAACAACAAAGCGTATAATTAACTTATAATCTTACATGCTGCCTGCCAGGACAGATGCCTTGCCCGCCCCCATTCCTGTTGATGTTCTTATAATAAATCTCGGGCGGCACAAAAGATGAACGCACACACGTGCATGGGATTTCCATAGTTTTGGTTTGGGGTGGAAGGGAAACATCCAGAGATCGAATGGAATATGCAATTTATGTTGGCTTTTGTCCGAAACAATAGATTATGGCCACGCCCCGCTTTGTTTGTCCTGTGAAAGGATTGTAGGCGCTCTCTCTCTCTCTGTCTCTTTGATATTTCTCACACTGTGTTACAGTGAGAAAAAGTGTCTCCACCTTTTCAGGTTTGTCAAGTTTGAATTACATCAAATGTTTTCTTGGAAGTGAAATCCACACCACACTTCCACTCCCACTCCCACTCCTCCCATCGTTGTCGTTGTCGTGTAAACAACCAATCCGGGATTCCAAGCTGAAGATGCGGCATCAGGCAAATTGAGATTAATCACAAAACAAACCCGGGAGCCAGGGAGAGCTCAAAAGGTGACAAATGCCGGAAAACACACACATACCAGCAGCAGTTACAAATCGATGTGAAATATTTGTGTCGACCATGATTTGTATTTCTGTGTCCATCCATGTCCAAGTGTCCACATGTAGCTACTAGATACATTTACCGGGGGATACATTTAAGTTTCCTGCAATTGAACAGCACAGGATGAGGACGAGGTGGAAATCGTTTGAGAGCCGGACACAAATCAATTATGTTGCCACGGGACAAAGGCGGGAAGCGAGCGTCGAAAAAAATAATGGCAATACAAAATAAATACGAGGGGCCGAAGCGTAAAAAGGAACAATGGGCAACATTGGCAACCTGCTGCGCTAATGCCGGTCTCAGACAAACAAAACCCACCCCCCCCGGATACCCTACTTTTCCCGGATGTAGCTTCAAATACAGCAACACTAGGAGAAAATCAGTGTGATTTTAAGAGAGTATTCGTTTGAGTATGTAGCATATATATTTTATCTTAAAACTATATAAGGAAATATTCCATATTTAATTATGGAGTGTAGAGTTTTCTTAACCCAGCATATTTAATTTCTTTTTATTTACACAACCATAAGTAGATCTAAACAAGTAAGGATACGATACATTTCTGGGTCTAGGAGGTTTTTTAATCTCCTTAATCTTAAATAGTTCTTAACATTATAGAGTACTTGTTTTAAGCTTTGTTAAGTAGAAAATGAAAGAAAACTAACTTCCGGAAGTAGAATTTTATATACCCTTAAAGTTTGCGATTGAATCGTGAGATTGAATTGAAAATCAATCATAACTATGCCAAATATAAATTAATTTCACTTCGGAAACTATTTCTCTGTTAGTTTTTGTTCGCTTTATAAAACGGAATATTAAGTAGAAATATTTATAAGAATTACAATTTTACAACATTTTCATAATTTTAACGATGTAACCCCTTATAAAAATGTGAAAAAATTGTTAAAAT